CGACGGTGTAACCATTTTGGTGGATGATCTTCATCTGTTTTACGATCGTTGATTTGCCGCTTTCTCCAGATCCTGCGCGAGTTTAAAGTCAACCATCAGCTCTCCTCCAAGCGAACACCCGAATGCCTACCCAGAAGAAGAATCTTGCATTCTCTTCGTAGCCGCCTAGAATCTTCTTCTAGCTTGCGGTCGATCTGTTGACTTCGCTTCTTCTGTTCCGCGTCCCCCGCGGACTCCGAGCTGAAACACGACCCCATTGCGAAATCGTCAGTAACCCAGACCAGCAGGGAGAAGACTCATCCACCACGCGCAGGAACAAAATGTGCCGGTCAAGACGGCCGGAGCCTTCGCTTGTAAGACTGCCAAGCGCCACGCACGGGAAAGGATCAGCGCGACCAGGTGTGGAAATAGGGATACGTGAGATCAGAGCCAATTTCAAGAGGACCTAGGTTGAGAAGGTGTCAAGGGGAAAGGCTGAGGTCGAAGGAGTTGCGACAAGCGGGTTTAGAAGGAGAGTTGTTGAGTTCGGGTCTAGCGGTTAGGACGGGGGAGGCGGAATATGTGTAAACGCGGAGAGGCAGGGATGACCTCAAATTAGAGACTGAGCTTAGAGAGTGATAAATGTGAGAGTAGAGTCAGGGTAGAAAAGTGTCCTGAGTCCTAAAAGAATCAGAGGTAGAGTCAGTGCGACCATCGTCATGCTGGGGGAGTGGAGAGGGAGTGTAAGATATGTAAGAAACAGGTACGGCTCAGCTTACATTTGGTAATTAATGTAATTAATCCTGTTTTTAATTTCTTTTTCTTTGTGGTTATAGGTCTTGTATCTTGTATCTGATATGCAATTACCTATATCCAACTGCATCTTTGGGCTTCTTGTTAGATCTGTTCATTTTCTTCTTTTGTCTGGTCCATATATAGCTATGTCCCAGGTCGGTGTAAGGAAAAACCCGGGGGAAACGGGCACGTTCTGCTGTCAGATCTCATTCATTTTAGGCCGGGCAATAACCATCCCAATCACAGATCGTAATACTAGAACTCCTATCAACAAGACTGTTTAAGCGACAGAAAACAGCCCCGGGGGCTCTAATTGAACGGGGCGCCACCAGATGACCCAGGCTGTGCGATCATATGTTCTTATCATGTATCTTCGATCGGAAGTTCGATCATCTTATATAGATTCTATTTACCTCGAATCTCCAATCCAAATCTCTGATTAGGAGTTCTGTACTCCGTACCGTACCAAGTATTCCGTTCCATACTCTTTTAACCCACTCTGGAGCTTTAAAGTGGAGAGTACCGGCAAAATTGGGGCACTGCCTCAGGCAAGGCGGGGTTGGGTTGGGACGCGGAGTACTCCGGACAGCTGGATAGTCTCCATTATATAGGATTGTAGAATTGTATACTTATAAATGCTATGGTTCTGTTGATTTGCATGACCTGCGTGCTGCTTTCATCCTGGGACCACTGACTTCTCTTGGATATGCGGTGAAGCCGGGCACTGACCCTCTCCCCTCACGACAAGGAAGTAGATTCAGGCTTGTAGACGGATGTACAGGGCGCACTGGCAAGATCAAGGCTAGGAAGAGCACCTTGACATTGGTATTATTAATACCTAGGCAGTGTGAGGTAGAGAGGTAATCGTCAGGCTCCACGGAGAGTCACTATATATATATCTCCCATGAATATATGTTTGTATGCGAATGTGCACATGTCTATCAGGTACACTTAGGGAATACATCCCCGGAGATATATCTCCAGAGTTTAAAATAAGCTGCATTCCTGTCCAGTCAAGCACCTCATTCAAAGGCCTTTGTTGCATGTACTAGTTGTCCGCAGTAGCGTGGCAGGCATTGTTTCACATGTCCCAGCCGCCAAATTGCATCCAGGAGTTGCATTGTTGTAAGCTAAGAAGACACGTCAGAGAATATTGGAGCTGGCCTATTGGGACAGTCAATTGTGCTTTGATAGCCGGAGGGATGTGCTCTAGGCTTGGGGAACGGACCTCTTTTACAGCAATGTCTTCCGGGACAGTCTACCAGACCTATAGAAGCACCAGAGAGGAAGCTATGGTAGAGCTTATATACATGTAGATTTGGTAAATTCCGATATCTACCATGTCTGCTTAAGGGGGTTGAAGGTGAGGGGTTGTACTCTGACCTGCCAAGGTTCTCAATAGAGGCCCAAGAGCTCTCCGTATATGGTTCTCGAGCGAGTTAAGCGCAGAATTAAAAAAATATATAGATATACATAGATAAAATTTACCGCATTGATCTGTCTATACAAGTTCTACAGTCTATATCAACGATATCAACGAGCAATCCTGTTCAAGGGAAACATCTTCCGGGATAAGACCAGGGTCTGGGCCGCGTGGTGGAGCGAGGGTTACCTGCCAACTTTGGAAGTTCGCATAACCAACACCTGGACATGAGATAGGATGAGAATTGTATAGTTGCAAGGAACAACACCTCCACAGAGATTTTAACATAGAAATACAACCACCGTGCCAACCTGCATATAATATTCAGAGAACCCACTTTAATACACGGGCTAGAAGCTGCTGAGTCATCCACATAACCGGACTTCGCCAACGTCATCGGCCTTGTTTTCTGCGCTTTTCACCCAGTCCCTTCCCCACACCTGTTGCCAACACACTTGCTTTCTTCGCGACCCCTTTCTTCTGGCAATTTTCTCTGGAAAGCTACCATCTTCACTCTCCTTCGTCTTGTTTGACGTGGAATTCTGATAGGAATATCTCTCTTTCTCGTTTACCGCTTGCATACCCCCACCTTCCATCATGGCGGAATTCGTGCGTGCCCAGATTTTTGGCACCACCTTTGAGATCACCAGCCGGTTCGCAATGCCCTGTTCCTTGGTATCTACTTGGGGTGCTTCATAAGCGCCTTGAGAGGATGTTGGTGCTAACTGATTCTAGGTATACGGAACTACAGCCGGTGGGAATGGGTGCCTTCGGACTGGTCTGGTATGTTGCATTATATGTCGCACAAGATATTTCCAAGACCAAGTATATACTAACAAGGCCACTAATACCACAGTTCGGCCAAAGACCAATTGACCGCACAGCCAGTCGCAGTCAAGAAAATCATGAAGCCGTTCAGTACCCCCGTTCTGTCCAAGCGAACCTACCGCGAGCTGAAGCTGCTCAAACATCTTCGCCACGAGAACGTCCGTACTCCGTCAAATAAATGGACTAGTCTTACTTGCTGACATCCCACAGATTATCAGCTTGAGTGACATTTTCATTTCGCCTTTGGAAGACATGTATGTCCCCCTTACCTACAAAGCGGGGTGAACAGTATAAACTAACGACTACAGCTACTTCGTCACCGAACTTCTGGGAACTGACCTCCACCGACTTCTCACTTCGCGCCCTCTTGAAAAGCAATTCATTCAGTACTTCTTATACCAAATTCTGGTAAGACTTCCACGGGAATAATACCCGGGGCACCGGAATCTAACGTTCTTATAGCGTGGCTTGAAATATGTTCACTCCGCCGGTGTGGTCCACCGGGATCTCAAACCCAGCAACATCCTGATTAACGAGAACTGTGATCTGAAAATCTGCGACTTTGGTCTTGCTCGCATTCAGGACCCGCAAATGACCGGCTATGTCTCAACACGATACTACCGCGCGCCCGAGATCATGCTCACCTGGCAAAAGTACGACGTCGAGGTAGACATCTGGAGCGCGGGCTGCATCTTCGCCGAGATGTTGGAAGGAAAGCCGCTGTTCCCCGGAAAGGACCATGTCAACCAGTTCTCGATCATTACGGAGCTGCTCGGTACTCCTCCCGAGGACGTGATCCAGACTATCTGCAGCGAGAATGTGAGTTATGCTTTGTTTAGAAAGACGAGAACATGCTAATATATGGTCTAGACCCTCCGATTTGTCAAGTCACTACCAAAGCGCGAGCGCCAACCACTCGCAAATAAATTCAAGAACGCCGATGCCGATGGTACGTCATAGTTTGCACCATAGAGTTGTGAACAATGCGCTAACTTGTTTTTTTAGCGGTTGACCTGCTCGAGCGGATGCTGGTTTTCAACCCGAAGCAGCGCATTCAAGCCACAGAAGCATTAGCGCATGAGTACCTGGCGCCCTACCATGACCCCACCGACGAACCTGTCGCACAAGAGAAGTTCGATTGGTCGTTCAATGATGCCGATTTGCCGGTAGATACTTGGAAGATCATGATGTACGTTCCGAATATGTTACCGGCCACGATTTTTTTACTAATTTTCCACCCTAGGTACTCGGAAATCCTCGACTTCCACAACATTGAACAAGGCAACGAGGCTGGCCAAGCCTTGGTACAGGGCGCAGTACAGGGCAACGCTACTGGACAGGCATTCGCATAATGTTTTTGACGTGAGACCTTCCCCCCCCCTCCCCCAAGAAACGCTCTTCTGCCATTGAATTCCAGTTTCAAAAGTTGAAGTCTGGCTCTATTTCTGTTCAAGGGTGCTACGAAGCTGGCGTATTCACTGTGTTTTTTATTTTATTTTTCATTTTCTATTTTGTTCTTTTTTTATTTCTGGAAATCCTTGTCCATAACTCTTCCGGCGTCGTCAAGAATTGGTTGGTGATTAAGAGAAATCATACGGGGAATCTGATTCAGTTCAGCGATGGAGCACCTCATAACCTATAATCCTTTGAAATATCTACGCAATCTAAGTTATTTCCTCAACACCACGGAGTAGTTACCTACTACTAGTAGTATATCACTTTTCCCCAATTAGCCTACCTGTGTTGCATATTGGCGGGGCTACCCTCACCGCCCGCTCCCCGTGCGATAACCGTATCAGCGATGTTCCCCTGTTTGCGACGATCTCAGTCTCATGCGAAACGAAACCTACGTCGAGGTTTTGGAGGAGAAGCAGCTACTTTCTACATGTTGCAAACCATTCATTTGAACTGCGTATTCTCGGCATTCTAATTGCATTTCTCAAAGCCGCACCGAATCCGTTCGAGGTTCGGCGCGATGGCTGTCCATCATAAACAAGACACAATTGTCTTAGTCATAGATTTCCACCATGCACGGTGAGCCACGAGACACTCGAGAGCCGAACTCGTATCGTTGAAAAGAATACGAAGACGGACATAATGGAACCTGGCTGACTGAGACAAACACCTACAGCGGCCCTGAAATTGAGCATTGCATTGCCGAAGAAGGAACCGACCCAGCAACCGAGAATGACTGGTCTCTGCTCCCATTCATGGCCCTATCCGACGGAGCACATCTGTACGATACCCCTGTCCCCGACACGCATCTCGTTTCCTCCCTTCTTTGTCTCCTCTGGCGCAATCCCGCGACAAGGAGCGCCGATTTGCGCCAAACCCACTAACTCGTCGGATCGCAGATCGACCGAGGAATTCTCATATTTCACACTCTGCCGAAAGGCCACATCCACTGCGCCTGAAACCTCCCTGTTCGGCATCGCCTGCTCCCGCCAGATTGATTCGAGTCTGCTTATCAACCCGTCGCCCGATGTGACTCGGTCAACGGTACAAAAGGCCGTCGTGGTCGTGACAGATACTCCGCAGCGAGTAGGTCATTTGCGCGAGAAGCTCTCCGTGGTGACTTCGGCTTGGTTCGCGCAACGGTATGTGGAATATACTTGTCCCGGTGGGCTATTTGCTTCCCTGATGCGCTGGCATGGAAGTGGAATAGAACCTGGCTTGAATGGGGAATCTGGCTAATTCGGCACTGTTATAAACAGTGACTTCTCGGATATTGATATCTTGAAGGTATGTACTAGTTGCGGCAATGTATAGAATGAAATGCTGACATGGATACAGAAATTCCGCGAGGGCTTGGTGATTTCTCTGTTGAATGATGGCCCCAAAGATCAGAACTTGGGTAAGGATATCATCCTCTCCGATATGTGTGAAGCTTCGCTAATTTATGAAGGCCTCTCGCTACGGGAGATGATTCACGAATTCAAATTTCAGACTTTGGTTCTTTTTAAAGCACTACTGTTGCAGCCCAAGATGCTTTTCTTCGGGACGCGCTGTGAACGCCTATGCATGATTCAGTTTTCGCTTATTTCTTTAATACCCGGCCTCATCAACAGCTTGCAGGACTGCGCAGATCCTGCTTTTGACACCTACTCTCAGACTGTTGAGAAACCAACATCTCTCAAGACGAGTGACAGAAGTTCTTTGTTGGCATACATGGGGCTCCCATTGCAGATTTTCGGAAAGGGAAGCATGTTTGGCCCCTATACACCCCTCCAGCTGCTGGATCTGCTGGCAGATGATGGCACAAAATCTTATGTGGTTGGCTCAACAAACTCGCTACTTCTCCAGCAAAAGGACCGGTACAGTGATATTCTAATTAACCTTGACGAAGACAGTATCGTCATAAATTCTCCTTCCCTCCGCAATGCCCTAGTTCTCTCAGCGGCCGATAGGCGCTGGATTGACCTGCTCACACAAATTGTCAATGACACTTGGGACGAGGAACATCCTTCACAACCCAATACCCTTGGCTTTATGGGCTCAGAAGAATTCATTCGACTACAGTTCGAAGAATACTTGTTAGCATTATTATCGTCCATGAAGTACCACGAGGAGCTCTACCCATCCGACGTTGGAGAATCGGCGGCTCGCAGCAGAACCCAGCTGCAAAACCTCAACATTGAAGGAGACCCTGCCACCGACTTCAATACAGAGTTCCTTACCCAGTGGAAGACCACATATAATTACGCCCTGTTCTCACGTCTCACTTCGGATGCGCTCCTATTTTCCATCACTGAGCCACGACACCCAAGCGCCGGCGGTCTGACAATGGAAGATGTCCAAAGACGACTCGCACAACAGGTAGCAGACCTCCACCTTGATGAGCGTGTCCGGGAAGGTCGCGAGGCTCTGAACCGCCACTTCTCAACCGGACAAAAAAAAGTGAGCGCGGCATTTACCAGCTTCTGGTCCGATCTCGAGACTATGCGCGAAGCGCAACGCAAACGCACCGAAGAGAGAGCCGCCTCCCAATCGCAGCGCACCTCCATCGACAAAGAAACCCCAATATCACTAATACCCACTTCACCGAATCCCTCCGATGCCTCCTGGTTCGCAAACCGCCCAAGGGCATCCGTCGACCTGACACAGGCTCAGGCCTCCGTGAGCGTAGCTAGCCAAAAAGCCGGCTCGTATCTTAGCTCGTGGGGCACCTGGGCGAGCGAAAAGCGGCGCGAATGGCAAGAAAAGCGCGTGACATCCCCGAGCCCAAGTACCTCTCCCAATGCCGAATTGACCTCGGCATCCACCCCGATCTTGTCCATCGTTACCCAAACAGCCGAGATGGACCGCGGCCGCCGCCGCTCCATCCTGCGTAATAGCGAAGGCAACGAGAGCCCCAAGGAGGGTCTGAGCCGCAGCACCAGTCGGAGAAAGAGGTGGAGTAATATCATACTCAGACGCGATAGCGGCGAGTTCCAGCGCTACGAAGACGTCCCCACGTCCGATTCTATCGAAACTCCCTTCCCCAAGTCTCCCCTGTCACAGGGGTTCCCGGCTTATGATCCGCACAAGCAGACCGAGAACCTTAAGCAAGATGGAAAGGATACCGTTGATGCAGACGGGTTCGCCCCTGTGGCTCTCACGTCGAATGAAGGCCTAGGGTTGAGTCTCAAGACCGAGGAGACTGTTCCCCAGATCCAGAAGGAGCCCACCCCCCCGAGCGGCGAGGAGGTAGATACACCGCTTGAGGACTTGGCGACAGGGCTCCCTGTCAAAGAGGAGGCGCATCCGGTCCAGAGCAAAGACTCGTCTGGTACGAACTAGTGCGCTGGACTTGGGACCTGGATTTGATTTGCGTTTTATGCATCTAGGGTGATTCAGCACTTCATGGACTTTCGGTCTTCTGTTCTCTGTCTCTCTTGTCGTCTCTACTTTGCATAGCATGTCCATTCTAGCACAGTTCTTGTCTTGACTATACATAAGGACGCACTGGGTCTAGCCAATACTACGCATATTGATCCGCTGAATGAAATATTGAAGTGAACGTTTCTACGATGTTCAATATTGATCAGCGTTGTTTTAATCTTCGAATACCTAATAGCCAGCTATGCAGAACATAATCATGAATTTATTGTATTTTGTTATTTTTTTTATTTTCAGAAAAGAGAAGAAACAGAGAGTGAAGAGCGAAGAGCAAAAAAGCAAGGAAAATAATCAGGTCATCATTTGTTTGTCGTCTCAGCGCTATGAAGAAACATAAGATAAGTCGCCGATACAATGAGAAGAATTCATGCTCCTATCAGCCTGATTCTATCCGCTAGCTATCCATTGTAGGAGTTCTATCCTGGACCAGCAGAGGTCCCATACCCTTTGCGGTGCTATTTCATCATCGATGGTATAGAAGGGTAAAGGGACACAGGAAGCCACTGGTGTCGGAAAGAGACAGTAGCAAAAGCAGAGAGCAACAGAAAAAGGAAATAGAAACGAGTTAATTGTGCAATATTGGAGGAAGTGGGCGGGAAGGGGAAGGGGGAAGGGGAATTTAATTCGATTTAAGCAATGTACGAGATTTCATCGCCGTCCATGCGCTCAATGTAATCCTTCTCCATAAGGGCTTCAATGTTCTTCTTGATGTCGGGAATTTTAGGCGGGAAGCGGGATTTGACCTGCTGGATAACCTCCTGAACAAGCTGTACATGCTTCATCTTCTTGCGTGACTTCATGATTCGAACAATGGCAGACTATAGCAAGGTTAGGACAAATAGACTGTGTGGGGAGTGATGATTAGGTAGGAGACATACTTGAAGCAGAAGCTTCCTGTCCTCTTCTATCGTTTTGTGTGTGTCGTCGGCCTCAACCTTTGCCTCAGACTTGATCTGAATGTTCAGGTTGACCTTGACCTTCTTACTCTTGAAGTTGTAGTTCAGTGTAAACGAAGTGGAGGGCTCGGGCTTAGCGCCCTCGGGGCTGGCGATGAGGACTTTGGCCTTGAGCAGGATGCTAAGGTTGGGATCGAGGATTTCGGTAGCTAGGGTAGTAGCCTTTTCGATCTCACCGTAGGACAGAGTGTCGGTTTCATTGAAGAGAAGAAGAATGCCCATCTGATAGGTCGACACCTGGAAAGTGTAGGGCACCTTGGCGTTTTTGATGTAGTTAGCTTTGATTTCGCCCTTGCATAGCTGCCACAGCCATGTCAACTTGCGGCCGTTGTGCTTGTCAAAGTAAAATGTCTGGAACCGTTCGGCGGTCTTGACTATCTCCGGTGGCGCAAGGAATGGGGTGGTCGGGGCATTGAGGGGCCAGAAGCCAGTTCCCAGGATTTGGAAGTGGGCATCGCACATTTTCTTTCGGTCTTCATCCTCTAGTACTTTGTCCTGCCAGACCTTGTAGTTGTTATTAAGATCCTTGGAAATCTGCATGTCCTGGAACATGCGTTGCAGCTTGTTGGTATATTCGAAACCACACGCCTCCTTCAGTTTGCTGATCATGCTTGTTTCAGCATCGTCAGAAACAGAGCTCACATGGACTAGACGTTTGGCGAGGTTCTTGGAATAGAACTTCTGGAAAACGTCTTTGTCTTCGATGTACTTGAAGACTGTCATGATTTGCACCAGCATCTCCTCAAGCTCCGACTCTTCAGCCGACTTGGATCCTTTCTTGAGCAGTGAGTCCGTATATTTTGCCAGCAGTTCGGGAGACTTAGAAGAGCTCGTCTTGCAGACGCGGTTTCGGTTGACGAACTCTCGGCAGGCGTTATCAAGGGAACGCACGAACTCGGCCTCGCCATTAAAGGCCTCGTCGACCAAGTTCTGGTACCTTGTGTGAACTTGCAGTAGGGCATCGACATACAACTTGGGCTCGAGTGTTTCGCCCTCCGAAGCAACCTTCTCGACAGCAGCCAAACCAGCCCGTCTCACGTGGTTCTCAAAGGTCGCGCGCAGAGGATCCAAGCCTTCCTTGATCCTTGATAAGAGTCGATACATACGAGCAAGATCGTCCTGACGTTCGTTATCCAGCAAGACTTGGAACTCGTCGCGAAGCAAAGTTGAGTGGGCAGTGACGAGAACAGACAGGCAGGTATCGGTCAAGCTCTTGGTGACATCTGGATGCAAATACAGACCGACCCGGAGCTTCTCCTCTTCCAGACGAGCTTCTGCCTTCTTCATGTATTCCACCACACTATTTTCGGCCACGAACTGCCGTGACTCATTTTCATAATAGCTTCTGGTGGCACGGATGAACGGCTGCTGGAAGTACTGCCGATAGACATCTAGTGTTGACTTAGAGCTATCGTTCTCATCCAGACCCAGTGACACGAAGGAGTCCACAATAGCTTTGATCTGGGACTGTTCGATGGTTTCGCCATTCCGTTGCTTCTCGATCAAATTCAGAACAGCGTCCATGACCTTCTCATGGACTTTTTCGAAAAATTCCGTTTTCCATTTAACCAAATGCAGAGTGTAAACATCATAGACATTTTTCTTGCCCTCGTCGATCTCACGCTTGACCCAGTGCCGATTGAGGTAGCGGAAAATGTGGTTCACGTACTTGGCGGCGGTCGTATAGCGGTACCATTCGCGAATGTAGAAGCCAAGAAGGCCTTCCTCGGTGTGGCTCTGTGATTGTTTGTAGACCTTATTCAGATGGGACGAGAGGTATTCGCCGAGTAATTTGTAAAGTTCCTCGCCGAGCAGATGGGCTTGGGTCCAGGTCAGCTCATATCGAGAACTGGCATACAGGGGGAAAAACGAACCCCCACGTGATCCTTGTAGGCCTTGGCCACTAGCGACTGCTTTTTGGGATGTGCAGAAGTTATGGACAGCCCTAATATCAATGTGTGAGTGTGGTTCTCGTCAGAGAAGTGGTGTTGAATCTTGAACACACGTGTACAGAGCCATGTACTAGACAAAAACAACCAGTAAGCTTCTATTTTTTAAACACCCTCATCGACAGGGATCGTTCGGCATTTCACTTACGGTCTTCATATCGATTCCGGCGTCAAGGTTGAGCATGACGCTCTCGATTCCTGCTTCTAGGAATGTCCAACTAACCCAGTTAGCTCATGCCATACCATCGCATTGAAGCAAAATCCCAATTCATTGTCTGCTCACGTTGAATCAAGGTCATCCTTGTGAGGTACCGGCGGCATCGCGGGAGACATCGCGGTTGCAGGGGAGGTGGGATGCGGAAGAAGGTGAGTGGTCCAGGCCGAGAGTCCTACTCCACTAAGTCAGCAACGCGCTCTTAACTCTCGATAGTAACCAGTAGGTTACACGTCATGAATATTACCTCAAGACGGTTGTAGCGCCACAAGTCACGCCTCAAAGGATCTTCGAGTGATCGAATGAGGGTAGACGCTTGGGAGGAGGGGTTGTTGCAAGAGTGGGGTCCAGACAGTCGAGGAAAAAGAGTAAGACGATATCCTCGGGAACGTCTAGAGCAAAGATTGGAAAAGAGATAAGGCAGAACAGGAGCAGAGAAATGATGAGGCTGAGTAGGACCAGCGTGGGGATGATGGCCTTGTTGCCGCAGGCGGTGAGGTGGCGGAGCTTTCCCGCTAAATCTACATCATCGGCTTTGATGCTTTTGATCAAAGCGAATCTAGATGCTCTAAGTATATAGATTATTATTTCTTTATCAGACGATACTTTAGCATGTGGTGATATACATGTATTGGGGCTTTGGTTTCTCTATAATAAACCTGTCTCTATATCTGTATCACGACATATATCTCTAGTGAGACTTGATCCATAGATCTATATTTATACCCAGTACTAGTACGGACTTCAAACTCTTCTAGACATATAGCAAAGCTAGGCTGTAAAAGAAGCACCCTGCTGTCTTAGAATCTTAGAAACAGATGGGAATACATGACTATAACCTTCAAGTTCCCTGATCAGGTCTAGTCTACGTGTGTACTTTGTAGTGTACAAATAAATGACGACATTCGCATATCTTGAGACAATCGTGCCAAGCTAACACCTACGGCTGCAAATTAGGTATCTTTTATATAGTAACTTCATACAAAAGGTACATAATCATAACATCGATTTTAACTCCCAAACTAGTTAGGAGAAAAATATGAAGATATATTCAACTAGTATCAACCCTAGTAAGAATTATCATGCTTGAAGAAAGATATGTATTTTAGAGTGACTTGAACATCTACGGAGTAGAAATATCCCACTCAAGATCTTCTTTTCGTCAAGCATGCTGCAGGATTCGACTGGATGAAAAGTCATCTCGGACACAGAAGGGCCCGGCTAAGCAAAAGAGAGCGAAATTCTTGTTTAGAATGAAAATCATTTACAATAGCATCATATAAATTGGTGAAACTGATTTCAGGCCTTAATTATATACAACAGAACCTGACAAACACGGCCCCGAATAACTATTTCTGGAAGAAAAGTCGATACTGCGCTAACCTTTTGTATGAAGTTACTTTATAGAGAGTATAAGATACCAATCAGTATGATTGCAAATGGAATTTTGCTATCGGTGCAGCCAGCCCACCACACCGGATTGCCATGATTAGTATGTACGAAATACGAAAGTAGTAAAAAGTGCCAATCATATATAGCCAGGAGAATGTATGGTCATTAACCTACATACCTGAGGTTCTATGTACTTTATTGACAGCCCACCAAGGATGATGTCATACCTGCGCGCCGAGGTATTACCGCCCAACCTACAACATAACTCCTCCAAACATTTCTCCAATGCAGAATGAGCAAAGCAAAAACAATCACTCGCAATGGCCATAACTCCACAGTCAGACATTCAAGTGACCACTCGCCAAATCCCCGAGTGGCAACGTATACCGAACACTTCGATCCAATCCAAGCCGCTCATGATATACCATGGGGCCTTCAATGCCACAGCTACAGAGCTCGAAGATCACCTGGAGGCAGTAGGCGAGGTTGTTCCTCAGTGGGTGTTTAGCATGTACACCCAAACCCACTTTCACTCCACAACGCCAGAGGTGCTCGGGGTCGTTTCAGGGAGAGCACGTCTGTGTTTTGGAGGCGGAAAGAACCCCGGACGATTTGAGCCAACGGTACAGCGCGGTGATTTTATCATTGTGCCTGCGGGCGTGGGTCATCGACTTTTAGAGGACCTGCACTGGAATCAGGAAGAGTTCCAAATGGTGGGCGCATATCCACTCGGAAAACAGTGGGATATGTGTTATGGGAGGCCAGAAGAGGAAGCAAAGTTGCGGAGAATCAAGGATGTGGCGTGGTTCCGTCAAGATCCATTGTATGGTGGTGACGGCCCTGCCATGCACGTCTAAAATTGCGCCTGCGCAATATCAAGTATCGCTTAAATGGTATATGTAATCAACAGCTAAAAGATTCATGAAACACAACAAGGCTCAAAAATCACTGTGTTACTCTCTCGACAAGCCTATCAGAGCGTTAGAAAATGGACTGAGTATGCCAATTATAGACAGGGGGGCTTACCTGAGAACACTAATGGAGAACGTCATAAGCCAAGCCAAGAGCGCGACCAGCAATACGGAAGCAAGTGCCTTTTGTCGCGTACATATCCCATCATTTCGAGGATCGATTGTTTGGTTGACCTCCGCTTCGGTGCAGGATCCTGTCACCTCAGAAAGTGAAGCAAATGCCAAACTAAGATTGGCGGAATCGAAGACGATAAAGAAGATATCCAGAAGGAGGAGACGGGCTTTAGCAGAAGGAGAACGCAAACCCAAGGGCTTTGACGTGTATTCATCGAAGGTGATGTATAGGAGGTAAACCATGGCGACTGCATCGACGATAATTGCCATCAATGCAGATGGGCCTTGAGGGTGTGTCCCTTGATTAGCCATTTGCTGAATTGATCCACCCAGGGCCAGTGCAGAGAGTGAGAAGCACCAGACAGTCATTCGAAGAATCAACGGTACGATCGGACTTCGCAGAAGCGTGTTTCTGAAACGCGTGATCCAAATCTCCCTTCGCCCTCCGCTGTGCAGCGGGTACTCCGGACTATCGCCCTCCAAATGCTTTCCTCGCCATGGTTGCGAGTAATCACCATGATTCTCATTCAGCCATTCTGACGTGACATGCTGTTCCTCTCTACCGGGCGGTCGGGGGTATTGGATCGCTCGTGAGAATGTCACCCAGCGTGATTCACGGTTGACCATTGGAGAGTCCTCCACGAAGAGGCCATTGTTGGTCGTGTGGTTAGGTTTCGGCTTCGAGGACGAGTAGGGCGAATGGTTGTGCTGAGCGACACACGCGTCATTTGGTTGGGAAGGGAGTAAGCTATCGTTTGCCGTAGCTTTATCTCCGTCCTCCTCGGGTTCGTCGACCGAGCGAATCCAGGCTATAAAGACTCGCTATTAGTGAGTGATCGTCGAATTGAGCTTTAAATGGAACCATACCAGGTAAAGATCGCAAGGCGAAGCGTTGGGAGTATGCGATCTCTTCCGCTGTCTGGCCCTGGCCATCTGTATGCGCAAGTGATAGATCGGAAGCTTTATTGTGAACAGTGGGCTCAGTCTCAATGCTAAGCTGGGATGTCAGGGGCGCCTCTGGAATGGGCGAACACTTCTCTGTCAGCTTGTCACCAATGATCCGCCCTGGAGGGCTGTCTTTGGAGCTGTGCATAATACAGGACAGAAATTGAAAGCTGAAACCCGGGAGTCGCGGGAAACTTCAATCAATAGTTTGCCCGCGAATCCCCAATTGTTTCTTGTTCAAGTATGAAGTTAAAGTGTTCAGGGACCGAAACCAAAGTGTACGCGGACCTCGGATGACGTCTGGATTTATGCGCGTGGACCTCCAGGCCTGCTTACTCCCGCATCCCTTTTTCACCCACACGAAAAACAGGATCAAGTTTCAATGAACGTTTAATTTCGAAGTCGTCCACAATATCTCTTAATAACTATTGGATACCTATCAATTATCTTGCCCGCGATCAAGCGATTCTCGATTGTTGAGTGCCAATTGCCAATTTTCCTAGGCATCCACCACCATGCGCCTGTTCCTAATTCCGATCTCCACAAAGCGAGTTCTCGTATATGCTCGGCCCCTTAGCAAGGACTTAGCGAAGGAGCTGTCGGTCCTTGATAGGATCACAACCAAGGCGGCTGAAATATGGGCCAAGTGGGAGGAAGCCGACAAAGGATGGAAGATGCACCTTGTTCGCTGGGGCAATCGAGTCCAGCAACGGATACCATACGAAGAATGGGCCCTCAAAAGCATTCCTTCATTCAAGACCCAACAGCGAGTGAATGGGGATCATGGGAAGACTAAGGTGGATGTGCTGTTCCCTGGTAACGCGGTGCGATTGGAGCGAGTTCAAGATGTACTGCGCACGGTCGCCACGGAGAGACAGGAGCTTCATCGGAAGAAGATGATGTGGTGCTTAATAGCTGCGCCGATTACCGCCCCACTTGGATTGATACCAGTGTATGTGAAAGACATGAGCCTTCTCCGGTGATATGGTATACTAATAAAGAGCAGGGTTCCGAATATTCCCTTTTTCTACTTGGCATATCGGGGCTGGTCCCACTGGCGCGGTTAGTTTTGATCGTCTACATTGCGATGGCTCATAAAACTGACGAGAATACAGCATTGAATGGTTCAAAACACCTGGAATTACTCGTCGGACAGAATATCCTCAACCCTATCTCATTACCGGGGCTAGAACAGCTATATGCCAAACGCGTATCTGGAGTACTGGAAGGTTCCGCGACCGAGCCATCATATTCCGAGGTTGCCGACGACATAGAGCAGAGCGAGGATCGGGTCCTGTTGAAGATGTCTGATGCCAAGAAGTTGGCTACGATCCTGGAAGCGCCGGAGCTTGTTTTGGAAGCTGAACGAGCGATTATTCAAGTCGGTGAGCGACTCGAGGCTGCAGAGAAGACTAAACAAGAGAACAAAGACGAGAAGAAGGATTCATGACGCCGAAGATTTAATCGCTACGTGAGGACAGGATAACGAGTTCTCCTACTCAACACAGGAAATCATGTACCATAATGCAAGGAACAGATAGATTCTAATAGATATCCATGTGAAAACTATGATAAACATTTCAATATAAATACTACAGAGAAGGATAAATACATTGTGAGCCCAATGACCTCAGAGCCCCTGACGGAAGTAGGTAAATCCGAGTCTCTCCCCCCATTGTTCCCACCTCATCCTCTACCACGTTTATCGGAGCTCCATACATCATGGCTACTAAAAAGATTGAGCAATGGGAGATTGAGCGATATTGGGAGATCTTCGCCTCATTATCAAATGGTCAAAAACACCTCAACAGCTCCCAGGCCGCCTCCGTGCTGAGGAACAGCCGGCTGCGCGATGATCAACTCGAGAAGGTCTGGGACATTGCCGATGTCGACGGAGACGGAGAGCTAGATTTCGAGGAGTTCTGTGTTGCAATGCGCTTAGTCTTCGACTTAGTGAATGGTGTAAGTGATCCATCCTCCTGAATAATTATCGGATCGCTCTAACACAAGTCTTATCTGCAAACAGGAACTACAAGATGTCCCAAATGTCCTGCCAGATTGGCTAGTTCCAGAGTCCAAAGCACATCTCGTCCATGCGACCCGCGCACTAAGCAGCGGACAGGAGCAGTTCGAGCGGATAGAAGACGAGGACGACTCGCTCGGCCTAAAGGACGGCTTTGATTGGTATATGAAGCCCGACGACAAGAACAAGTATGCCGAGATCTACGACGCCAACCGGAACGCGCGCGGCCAAATAGAATGTGAGTAGCCCTTACAGCGTGCTGTGCGCGCCCAGAAAAATACCCCGCTGACAGACCCCAGTCCAACAATTACAACCGCTCTACGAATCGCTCGACGTCCCCGACACGGACGTCCGCTCCGCCTGGAACCTGGTCAACCCCTCCGCATCACCCGCGATAAATAAAGATGCGACGCTCGCCTTCCTGCACATATTGAACTTCCGCCACGAGGGTTTCCGCATCCCACGCACCATCCCCGCCTCGCTGCGTGCCTCATTCGAGCACAACCAGATTGACTACCAAGTTGATAAGGCGCGACCCGCACAGCGTTACGGCGTAGACGGTGACACCGAAACACGGTCAGGCCGCAAGGCCAAGTTCGGCGATACCTACCTCGGCCGTCTAGGCGTTGGTGGCAAGGGCTCGTATCAGCCCAAGGGAACGGATTTCAGCGACACGATCCAGGACGAGGAGTGGGAGAAGGTGCGGCTGCGCCGCGAGCTTGCGGAATTGGAGAAGAAGCTAGAATCCGCCAATAAAGCCTCCGAATCTAGGCGGGATGGGCCGCGCAACGATGGCCGGCCCAACTGGGTTTTGATTAAGAAGGAGGCACTCTCGCTTTTGGAGTATAAGGAGCGGGAGTTGCGCGAGTTGCGTGAGGGCACTGGCCGTGCTAAGGATGGTCAGGATTTGGAGCGACTCCGGGAGGATGTCAAGGCTGTTGGGGAACAGGTGGAAGGGCTGAAGAAACATATGGCCCAACGGCATGATGTCCTTTCGGATCTCCGCAGCCAGATTGAGGACGAGAAAGCTCGGCGGTGATTGACTACTGTGGATGTGGACTAGCGGAATTGTTGGCCTAATACTTTTTGTTTCTTGTTTTCTTTCCATTGCCCCTTTCGCTGCATATATGTCCTACCTTCTTGATTCTCGCGACTATCATGTACAGCCATTTTCTTGTTAGGGAGCTTCAGGCGTCAAATGGATAGTCTTTGCATCTTTATTTCTGACTATGGAATGGGGGCTATGTAACTATAGTGCCGCTAAGGCTCAAGTTATGGTCCATCCTACGCACTACAGTGAGTTTATGCCACTCTATATAAATGGCACTGCACAATCTTTATTGCCGAGTGTAAACATTGAACTAATTGAACATACGGTATAATAGCAATGGTCTAGGTATCTAGACTAGGGAACATACACGAATAAGCCACCCATCCGACCTTGTAGGTAAACGCCAACCAAACCAGCTAGCCGACCAATAGATATGGGTACCATCCAGTAACCTCTAGATATCATCCAGCGTGTAGCTTGGATGGAAGAGAAGAAATAATGTAGACAGCCATTAAACATCTCAAGAAAGGATGCTCTCACCAGGATCGCGCTTCGTTTCAACCGCAATAAACGTATCCCCTTTCGTATCCAATCCCTTCTCAGCACGCAAATAAGCCTCCTCAGAGCGATCGGTTAAGATGTCAAGATCTTCATTCGACAAGATCGATGCAGGGTCGGCGCCAACGTCGAACCGCTCGAATTCATTCTCGCCAAGAACCTTGCGCAGTTCTTCGATATCCTGGGAATTCGCACTGGGGTCGAGCAGGGAGCGGAACTTGCCTTTCTGAATTACCAGACGTTCGAGACGGCGCTTGGAATCCGCTTTCTCGAGGAGTGTCTGCTCAACCGTACCCTTCGTTGCCAATCTGTAGATAATCACTGGCTTGGTCTGGCCAATGCGGTGGGCTCGGTCCTGAGCCTGAAGATCCTGCTGCGGATTCCAGTCAGAATCATAGATAATGACGGTGTCGGCAGCGGTGAGATTGATTCCTTGGCCACCAGCTCGGGTGCTCAGGAGGAAGAGCTTGTGATTCTTTTTGGAATTGAAGTTTTTGATCTGAGCCTGACGCTCTGACTGTGCAATAGCGCCGTCGATCCGGCAACACTCCCAAGACCGAAGGGTTGTTGCCCACTCTTGAATGATATCGAGTTGAGTTTTGAACTGAGAGAAAATTAAGATCTTATGGCCCTTCTGCAGCAAACACGAAACCAAACGGTCCAACAAAAGCATCTTCCCAGAGGCGGAGACGAGTGTTTCGTCTACAGAAGAGGACTCGTCCATCCAAGGCCAGTAGAAATTGTGCGGAGAATTGCAGGCAAGACGAGCCTGCAGAACCGGGTTTTGCATCTTCTTTTGCCCAATCTCTTTCTCTGCAAGATAATATTAGCAAAAACCAAAAAATGATCTGAAAATGACGTACTAGCAAGCTTCAGATTCTCAGCCTGCTGCATCTCTTCAAGCTCAGTATCGCTGGGATCGACCTGCTCTTCATCTACTTCAATTCCCAGCTCGAGTTTGCGGAGGTGCTCATCAAACTCTCCTTCGCTTAGATCATTGTAACTCTGACGCGTATTGCGTCGGGAACGGCGGCTAGAATTATTTCTATTGCTAGCTGGCGTGGATATCCCGCTGGGTCTGGCGCTCTTGACCGGCGTTGTATCATCGCTACTCCGTTTGCGCTTCATACTTTGCGAGCGCGTAGAGCTGCCGCTCTTATTCTCCAGTCGCTCCAGAGCTTTTCCCTCAAGGTATTGACGCCCTGTACCGTTGATTATCTCCCGATATAGATCTTTTTGTTCGGGAGTCAGAGGGGCGTACAAAATGTACTCCCGCTTCTTGGGGAGGGTAGTTTCCACATCTGTTTTGAGACGTCGCAGAAGGAAGGGCTTGAGGATGGCATGCATACTAGTAACCAAGTTACGCTTGCGTTTTTCAACAAGATTTGCCTGGCCCTTGTTGTCCAGGACTGAGGAGAAATCAAACCACCCCTCAAATGAGTTGAGGTCATTGAAAACTTCCGGAAGCAGGAAATGTAAAAGTGACCACAACTCTGAGATGTTGTTCTGAAGAGGTGTTCCAGTGATCAATAGACGATTGGCCGAGTTATAGGTCAAAAGCTCTTTGATGAGCTTACAATTCATGTTCTTCAAGCGATGACCCTCATCCTATAAATCGATTAGGGTCGTGTAAATGTTGTAAAGGAAAGGGATTGAAACAAACGTACAACAACAATATAACGCCATTGATATTGAGCCAGGAACTTCCGGTCGTTCATGCAGATTTCGTAGGATGTGCACACCACTGGGAAGTCCATATCTCCCTGATTTTTCATTTTCATGTGCTTGTTGCGCATGACAGCTCGCTCATCTTTGGAGCCGTGATACAAGATCGTTTTAATTCCCGGGGTCCATCGGGCGAACTCATCTACCCAATTGCTCACCGTACTCAGCGGTGCTGCAATCAAGAACGGACCCGAAACATTCTTCTCTTTCAAGAAAGCAATCATGGAGATTGCTTGAACAGTCTTTCCAAGGCCCATCTCATCGGCAAGAATGCCACAAAGCCCATTCATCCATAGCGTCTTGAGCCATTCGAGGCCCTCCAACTGATATGTTCTCATTTTGCCACCGCTCACAAGTGCTGGCTGCTGTGTCGCGACTAAGTGCTGCTCACCAAGAGCCGTGGGGTTTGCTTCGTAGTCGTCTGCAGCCTTCTCAAGGGCTTGCTGCACCGAGGGATTGTCTTCAGTCACTTCCACGTCGGCCTTCTTGAAATAATTAGAAATAGAGCTGCCATTGGCGGCGGCTGCCCGCCTAGGCCGACCTCTAGTCGATCCTGTGGTCTTTTCCTTGGCGCCCTTGCCACTAGAGGATGTCTTCTCCTCCATCGCATCTTGAGTTGGCCGAGTTCGAGTGGTTCGGCGAGCAGATTCAGCATGAGACTTGGCTTTTTTCTGACTCGCGGCAGCTTGTTCGTTGTGCTTGATCGCTGCCAAGCGTGCGTCCTCTTGTTGCTGCTTCATTTTATCTGACATGATAGCGACAAAGACCTGCAGGTACGAGAAGATATGAGACTATTTGATGAGATACGACGAGGATGGATTGGACATACGGAGCTGGTTTTCAACAAGTGCATCAAGGCCTTGGCCTTGCTATCCATCCCCTCAACATCTTCTGAATCGGTCAAATCTGCTTTAGATTTGTCGTCTTTATCATGAGAAGACTTCGAGTCAGCCTCAGTTGGGTCTGTGAGCGGCGACGAAGGAATGACCGATTCGGGCGCCGTAGTCCCCGCACGGGAATCCGTGGGAGTAGCTGTGTCTTCAACAGACATTCTGTCTGATAGAATTGAGTCACAATATAAAGAGCGTGAGTGATCTAAAGCGAGTACTAGATGGATGGAGATGGTACGTCATTCGCAGGGGTGCAGAAGTTTTCGCAACGTCAAGTTGCGCTGGGAGGGGAGAGATAAACGAATGTGATACCAAGGGATATTGTATGTACGAGTTTCCAACAAATGGATACTCGTAGATTGGATGAAAACTGCGCACGATTGGACGGCAGTTTGTGATATATCGGAAATCGAAGTAAAGCGCGTCCTCAACGCGGCATTTCGCGTTCGACGCACGGACCAGGTTTAGATTAGACGTCCAGGAACTACGGATTTCACTTCAACATCATTCAAGACAATCATACATTATTAATCTTACATAAAGGAACCATGTAAGATGGTTCAGATGAAGAAATGGTCTCATATCTTTGAATCCTTGTTTGTTCCATATCTCGTGGTTGTATCCCTCTACTGCGGAGAGGAGGAACAGCCATCCGTCGGCACCAGCATTACATCATCCATAGACACCTCAGTGGTGGAGCTGATATCAGTGGAAGTTGGCTTCGCATCAGGTAGCTCGGGCTCGCTTTCCTCGGGCAGCTCGATAAACTCATCCATGAGGCGGTCAATGTTCATATTTGTCATTCCACGGTGCGTCCGGGCGAATAATTTCGAATGTGTCTCTTCCTCGACTGGCTGCATCGGGGGCATCATCTGAATGGTTCCACGTGCGGGACTGATTCCAACTCCAACGCCCTTAACCTGGAGGTTTGGCTGGTAGTTGTATCGACGGCGCAGCCCCTCTGCCTTTGCTTCTAGTTTCTCAAGCTTAGCCTGCTGTATGTCTCGACGATACTTGGATTGGCTCTCGGATTGGTGGGGAACTGGCGAAGACCAGTCGGTGAGGACTCTTCTGAAAGGTCTAGCAGGTCGTCTGAAAAAGGGCTGGGCGAGACTCGCATTCCGCGGCTCCTTGGACGGTGTGTCTTGTAGGGACCCCTGCGGAAGTGATCCTGGCATGGCGGTCACCTGTGTCTGGGAGGACAGTCCTTGGAGCTCGACGCCGGCGTCCGTGCAATGTTGGATCCGTGCCGCGTTGTGTGGACCGACCTTCACCTTGACCAATCCATTTAGCTGGTGCTTTGTGGTGTCCCACGACAAGTCCGGCTTCCGTTTATAATACTTTCCCCAGTCGACGATGGGAGCCGGGTCAGTGTCGCGTTTGATTAAATCCCTGGGGTTTATTGTGCCGTGCATACCAATGCTTTGAATGAATTGGCTCTTAGCCCTACTGGCTGGGTCCATGAAAGGATTGATTATGTCCTCGGTCTCATCGGGAGGTGGAGTGACTCTCAGGTTTTCTTTCCATTCGAACTCATCGGGCTCATGGGAGTGCTCCCCGGATTCTCGAAGCACCACCAGGCTGTCTCCCCAATCGCCAGCATATCTTCGAGGTAGCCCGTGCTGATGCAGGAACTGTCTGGCTTTCAAGAACTCGTGGGATTGACACATCAAGAGGTCCGTGTAGCCGGTGACCAACAGGTTCTGATGGGCCTCTCGGGTGATCCTTTTGAGCACCAACTGAGGTGGCGGCTTGAAAAGCTTCAAGTCGCTGTTATCAATTCTCATAAGCGCCCTGCGCTGTTTGTGCCGCATTTTCTCCAGTATTTCATTCTCCCTTTCGATCTGTTTATTGCGGATGCCTATGTTAATCATGAGCTGCCTTCGTTCGTCTAGCCCAAGCCCAAGAAGGTCGCAAACACGTCTCCAGCTATGAAACTTCATTATGTTTTCGATGATCTCGACTTGCATAGCCTTGTGCAGATCACCCCATTTTGGGTTCGGGATCTAAAACAACGACACATTAGACTCGTTCAATTGTACTAACACAACAAAAGACACGATATACTTACCGTATCAAGGAGCACCTGAGTCGCATCTGGCAGTGGGTCGTCATCACTATCCGGGGAGGTGGCCATGTCCATGTCAATGTCCTCGGAACCCGGAAAGGCATCCACACTCATGCGCGCCAAATTCACGTTCCTCGCATACACCGGATTGTCCATGTTGTTACTGGCGAGGTGGTTGTCGATATCGTCCATCGAGAGTTCTTCATTTCCAGACGGAGGCGACGGGACCGACCTATCATTGCGGAAAGCAGATGTAGCTTCGCTTGCGTGTACGTTCTGCCGGCTGCCACCAACACCGCGATTATGCGCTGAGACGGTGGAGCCACGACCTGGCTGTGGTATGTTCAAAGTGGGAAACGCAGCGGGTGGCAGGTTGGGATTGAATGGCACAGTGTTTGGCTTGCGCCCCTGTTGTGGGCGCGGTTTACCTGTTTCCCCAAGCTCCATCGAGTCGTCAATGGAGTCATCGCATCCCTGGCGCAGCGAGACCCGCGATGCTTCGTATTCATCCTCGCCATATCGCACTGGCGCGCGGATACTGTCGCGCAGTCGCATTCTGCTCATTTTGGCGGCGCGTTGGGGCGAGGAGCGAGGTGGGGGACGAGGTGTGAGGCGATTGATGGTTAGCTGGGGTGTATCGATGGTAGGTACGTGCTAAAGGTCAATGTGAAGCATGCACTTCATCGTAGGATGCGATGGGTGATCGTGGTGGGATGATCGTGAGATGGAAAGGTTGTCGCGCGAGATGAAAGAAGAGAGAATAAGGGAGAATTGGGATGGCTTTGAAGTCGCGCAAAATCAGTGCGAGACTCGAGCTCTCAGATTGAAAGGAAAACACAAGGTAGGGGCAAATTGAGTCGAGAATCGACAAGGTGAGTTCAAACGCTGGGTCAGATGCTTGAGGGCAATCAACTTCCGCGTGTCTTGAGACTTGCCAGATTTTGATATTGACCCCATCATTGATTTTTCTACAAATCTGTAGACGTATGCTAGACTGAAGTCTTGCCATGTGTATGCTCTTACGAATATGAAAATAGTTATAAGAATGCAATGGCCAGTGAATGACCTGGATGTCGGAAAAATAGTAGAATGAGCAACTGCAACTGGGTATTTGCACACAAGAACCATGAAGCAATAAAGCAGACAATAAAGCAGACATAAAAAGAAAAGCAGATACCCACCCTACTCTACCCAATGTAAAGAATTCCCTTCATTCCCTTTCATCTTTCAGCATATCCATCTCCCTCCCCATCTCCATGAATGACAGTGCCATTCACATCCCAAAGATACTCGAAACAAACAACCTCGGCTCACCCTAGACTACGCGGTCCTGGAAGGGAGCATTCGGCTTTCGGTCATAGAAGGCGTCCTCATCCTCATCCATATCCATTTCACCCTCATCCATGGCAATATCATCATCTCTCTGATCGTGGAAGCTTCGCTTCTTTGTAAGCGTTGGCGACAGAGATGGCGGCGCAAGACTCGCAGCGCCATGAACAGTCATTTTTTTAGCACGCTCAACATCACGCTTAGCAGCAAGAATGGTCTCGAAAGTAGCGAGGACGTATTTCATATTTTCCTCAATTGAAACACAGAAACGACGCGCCTGAATCATGTGCGTGGCTTCGACAGACAGAACATTGAGCATAGCCATGATATAGGCAATGACGACAGCAGCGGAGCGTTCATTCCCGGATTCACAGAAGACGAGGACTTTCCTTTTCGGATAGCTGGCTGACCCCGTTCCATTGGGTCCTACATCCACACCAGCCAGGTGATCATTGATGCGGCGGATAGCGCGTGGGAATGCAGAAATGAGCTCTTGGTTATCAAGAACATCAATCGTGTCTGCCATGATACCGACCATGGCGGCCGCCTTCTCGCCTGAGACGAGGCGTGCGTGAGCAGAGTACCGGTTTCGAATAGCAAGAATTAGTGTGAACTCTTGGTTGCGGATGTATTCGGGATCACGTAGACATGATGAAGGGCCAAGAGATAAGAATGGAAGGATGGACTGGGCCTGGCGACGCATATCGTATTTCCATTGAGAGGGGTTGAAGCGGCGGGTGAACCCACCTAGATCGACGAGGTTGAAGAATCCTGGGCAAACAAAGTCGCCCTCTGCAAACTCGTGGGATTCGCGGTCTAAAATTTTCTGGTCGACGATTACAGTGTCATCGTCAATCATGTCTGGTCCCCCGTAGAAGCCATGCCCAATAGGTCTAGTCACAGTTGGGTATCGCGGCGTAGCTGCGTACTCTTGTGTGCGAACATAAAGAGACTGTTCGTCTTGGGACATAGGCACTCTCTGTGAATCACCGCCATTAGACATTGTGTTTAGTGGGAGTTTCACTATGACACGTGTAGACCGCGTATCAAGTACTGCTGGATTGGTTTATTGACGTGAACGATCAATTCGTGATTTCAAGCAGAGAAAAGGCATAAAATTCAATCGACGTCACTCAAAGTGTAGGAAACACTGGTAGTGGAGACGCAAAGAATGAAAGCGACAAGTTCAACAACCCTAGCAGAGTCGCTGGAAGTAGTTTTAGGCGCACAGTTTGAAGCCAAAGAGCAGGGTCTAAAAATAGCAGTTCAACGGCTTCAACTGGCTGAATGATGAATGTATTGAATAGCTTCAAGATGGTTGCAGATCCGACATCTCTATGGGGGGAGAGCTCAGGTCCACCCGTGGGCAAGCTCTCCCGCGCGTGGAGCTTAGGTAAGACGGTGGATGCACCTGGGCATCCAGGGTTGAGGCCTGTGCCTGGGCACTCCCTTCGTATATTGACTCTTTGCCATAGCTTTTGCTTCAATTTGAGACTTCGAAGTGGTGATCATTTGTGCGAACTTCCAAGTCATGGAGGTTGCCAAAAGGGGAAAAAACATGGAAGTCCGAATAGCCTCGCATTCTGGTCCTGGAATGACATTGCAAGCTCCTCCACAGCCAGGTCGTATGATCATGCAGAATGTTGCAAAGCTGACAGATGAAGATGCCTAGGTGATTCGAACGACTGACATGGTTAGTGAATGAACTAGACTCATTCACCGCCCGGTCTTTGCAGCCTTTACCAGAAACTCGACCATGGCACAAAGCTGAACAGATCTTCTAGCTTTGAATCAGATCAGATCAACAGCTCCTATGTTTCTATATTTAACTCCATGAGCTTCTACAAAAGGTACTTTATACTACTACTCCTACAAGGGATAAGTCACCAGCAATAACTATATCAAATCCTTTGGGACGATCACGATAATGTGCCTATCTGCTCGAAAGTGAGGTAAGATATGTTTCATTCGATTCATTGTGCACAAACTGTGTCCTTTGAGGGATTCAGATCATTAAGGGAAGGGATATATCCGATGTACAATATATATTGAAAAATCACAGCATCATCTCCTTGTATATATGTCGTCACATCCTTCCGATTATGTAGTGGTTTCCATTTATATCTTTGGAGTTTAGGGCTACGTGTGCTTTGCAACATTTCAAATTGTCCTAAAACCAAACTTACGAAATAAACATTCAATCTTACAAAAACTATGACATATAATTGAAGAGAGTGTTTCATTATCCGCGATCTGTGTAATCGGACAGAGACAAATTCTTGACGAATGCCACACCTGAACAGTGGAAGACACGAAAGCCACACAATAGATACACAGATAGCCATGTCCTAGATATGGAAAAAGAAGGACCCAATGGATGTTCCAATGGGGACGAATGATATCCCAGGCCAAGACCCTTGAGCAAAAGAAACAAAGTGGTAAAAAAAGTCCTGAGAGGAGCAACGATCGTAGAGAGAGTCAATAAATCCGTGCGTCACCCACACCGGAACATAAGGATTGACAAGAAAAGAGTAGATCATACTCAAGACACATACATCTTGAGAGGCAAGGAAATTCGTAATGAGCGTCTAGGTGGAGGACGCAGAAATAGAACCGCCAATGAAGATGAAGAAAAAGAATCCACAGTAAAGCTGAACCGAATAAAATATGTACAAATCGGGTGAAAGAAGACGCCCACGCTATCGCAAGCGGGCAAGGAAGAAAAGGGGAGTGAAGTGATGTCTCAAAAATAATTGCCAGGATGTCGCTATGCCGAGGTTGCGCCGTAAATCGAAAAAAAAATATCAAAACCAATACGCAACGCGCGCCTATGACTGCGACCGTTCGTTTGCTGGTGCCGCCTCATTGGATGACTTTTCTTTGTCCTTAGGTTTCCAGAAGTGCATCATTCGGCTGAGACGGCGGCCCTTCTTCTTCGTTTTGTCGGATGAGTTGCTAGGGGGTTTCTCCTCCTGATTGAGCTTACTCCGCTCCGAATGGGGACCGACGACCAGCTTGGAAAGGCTAGCTAGACTAGAGCGTTTGGAGGCATTAGCCTGGCTTGTGCGTCGGGTACCGGAAGCTGAGAAGGACGCTGCGCGGTCATCAGAAAGACGCCCACGGGGAAAGAAAGAAGCCGCCGAGAAACGATTCAAAGTGTTGGTCATGGTCGATGCACTACTGGTCAAAGATGGAACATCTTCAACCGATGCGTAAGGATGTTCAGCCGAAGGAAGCTGATGATATGAGTGGCTGGAAAAGTTCCGGTCAGTTGAGGATGCCGCAATTGACCGCGAAGCATCTGGAGACGGGAAAGATGAGTCAGACGGCGAAATCCCTGGTTGTAAAGAGAAGGGCGGAATGCTAGGCAGCAACTCCATGGGTGAGGTTGCTGGTCGCTTGTCGACAGCTAGGAATCGAGGAGAAATGTCGGGACTTGGGGGTCCAATCAATTTATGCCCAGATTCTTCCATCTTTAGAATTTCCACGGGGGTTCGAGGCTTGCTGGCGAAAGGATTGCTGGCATTGTGTACCTGCTCGAGGACACTTCTGTCATCCAGTTGTTCCTGGCTCAGATGTTTATCGCCTTGTCGAATGCCTAAGCCAGCATTCTGAGAGGAGACGCTACCGGTGGGGGGACGAGTCAGAGTATCACTACTGCCAGAGGTAGCGTTGCTGTGAATAGATTTCGAGTCGTCCTCCGATGATGAGAAAACTGCGTTGTCGATCGGTGACGCGTTCACCGGAAGCCGCTCGCCCTTGGGCGATTGGGAAGCAGCCAAGAAAGCATCCTCTTCCTCCTCGTCAAATACATCGGGCGTTTCGACCGCCGGAGTCGGACCCAGACGGAATGCGCCGAGAGCAGTGCGGTCAAATGGTTGAAGCGCCGGTGCACTTTCCGTGCGCCGATGGTACCGCATCTCTGGGCCGACAAATTCACCTCGTCTTCCGCCACTGTACATCCGCTGTGTCGCAACTGAGAAGTTGTTGTTGGGCGCACCCTGAGTAGTTTGTCGCATATCTGGAGTGTTGAAAGGACCAAGCGCAGCATCGAGGTCGATGACAGGGCTACTTAGTACATTGTCGTGGGAGCCAACATCCTGTTCATAGAAACTCCTCGGTTTCCATGAGCTCTCTAGAGACTGCGCAGGCAAAGAACAACCATCGGTATCGTTATTTTGAATGGGCTGAAGCGCAGAAGAAGGCATCGTTGGATTGGTCGGAGTCCGGATGACAACGACGTCATTATCAAAATCAACATCTAAAACCGATCCAGTGCCCGAGACGGTCCGAGTAAGAGCAGGTGGACGAGGTGCTGGAGCGCGAGGTACAGGCGGCTCCTCCTCTGTGTGAACCTTTGGATGGCGCTTACCCTTACCCTTGCTCTTGGATCGAGTCAGAATGTGACCGGCCCAAGAGCGAACCCGTTTCTGCTTCTTCTTTTTCGACTTGACAGGGGATTTGTTGTCGGACGAATGCTCAGTTGCTTCATCGCCAGATGTGTCGGAACCAGTGTCAGAAAATGAAGGCCGGTAGTGGTCTGCGGATTGAATATCATCGGGCGAGAGAGTAGAATCGAGATGCGGTGTTGATTTGCTCTTTCGAGAGCGGGAGTGCCCAGCGGCTGAGTGCGAACGTTTGATAGATCCGGAGTCGTCATCCATCTGCATAAAATCCATGACAAAAGAGGCATCCGCGGTTTTTGGTCGAGGTTTTCGGTCGTAATCGGGTCTTGGTGTTACCTGATCTGAGAGAGTCGGCGTCTCCACCTGTTGTGACTTAGTTGTAGCAATATCGGAGATACCATGCGAAACGGTAGAGACTGGTCGTTCGGCATTCGAATTCTGGTTGTCCAAGGCCATTTCCACTTGAATGGAAACCGGAATGGAAGGTACAGGAGGAACGGGAGGGAATTGTGGAGACGCAGGCGGCGTGGGACGACCGAGAGTAATAGCGGATTGAGAGAGCGTTCGGGAAGGAAGATCGGATGGAGATTGGTGGTTAGGTTCGGCGGGTGTAAAAGGCGCACTTGGTGTCCCAGAATTAGGACCAAGCGCCTTGGTGATGGAATTCAAGTCGACATTAGATATGGCGGCCGAACGGCGATGGGCATGGTTCCGTCGTCCAGGAACTCTACCAACCCCCGGTCCTGGGGGTGGAATATGTTGATCTGCCATCGAAGCCGCCCGCCTGTGACCTGGTCCAACTGATTCCGGTGTTACCAAGAAGTCTCCAACAAACTCACTCGGTCGCCGACGGTGTCCACCCGCGCGAGGATTCGATAAACAGGGCGCTGAAAGGTGTGGGGACTGCTCTTCCGATCCGGGATTAAAAGAGAATGCGGGCAATGCGGCTCGTTCCCGGCGCTCAGGGGGGTTTGATTGGGTGGGGGCATCGGGGTCCCGTGCTGGAAAAACGAATGGGGGATTAGGCAATGGTGCGTGCATGTGTTGGTGACGATCGGGATCGGGATTGTTGGAGTGGTTCGAAGTATCGAAATGTGGCGAGAAGCCCGCCTGGGACTGCGGAGGAAGTGAAATCGAAGCCATGATTCCAAGAGGAGAGAAAAATAAAATAAAAAAAAGGTGCGGTAATAAAGAAATTTAGCGGAGTGACGACGAAAGCCCAATAAGATCCAGATGGGCTCAAGACCTCCAGACCGATTTCCCTTCAGCAAGAGAAAGGCTAGGAATCTGGAGGTCAAGCTCAAGCACCTTGGAGGGTCATTGAATCCGCGCCAGGCAGAAAAGGAACGAGTGAAATCAAATTGAAGCGACCACCGGTATCCAAAAGTATGGAAAATGAACGGACGGCCACGACGAAGGCCAAAGAGGGGAGGGTGGAAAAGGTGGTCGTAGAGAGGTTGAAGAGGAAGAAGCCAAAGAGAACAACAAATCCGGGAGGGGGGAAACCTAGATGCGAATCTGGAGCTGTAAGTTACTTACCATACACGGTATCACCCGTTGCCATCCGGGGGGCAAACCAATCACCGCCGATTATTGGAGCGATGAGATTACATACGAAGTTATGGTTGATGGTTAGGAGTTGCCTAGACGCAAGCCAGGGTAAATTAACCCTGCTTTAGTGATATGAAGGAATAATACAGTATGCAGGTAAGACATTTCGGTGACATCTGTCAAAAGGACAGGGCTGTCTCTGAGGAATGTAACTTTTCGCTATAACTATTACTATTCACTTTGAATAATATCTTCAAATCTTCAAGTAGAGGACGTCATGACTTACTCCGTAGTTGCCACCATACCCGTATCAAGTCCAAGGTTAGCGGTGCTCCCGTGAAAAGTGGTTCAACTCGCATCCACCGTACTTTATACCGTTCCTGTAATCAAGGCACCTAGGTATTTCAATCCTGGGGTCCTCAAGGCACCAATCAACAGGGCGGCGCATCCGGAGAAAAACGAAGTGGATATTGTCACTGCCAATCACTTGGTCTAAGTGACCATCCAAATCTCGCTTGACCTGGTGGGTCCCGGATGGATAGTGCGCCACGCTGGGGGGGCTGCAAGTCAAGGGGATTATATTGTCGGGGGAGCGGTGTTGAATGCCGAGCCAGGGCCGGGCCTTGAAAACGAATGCATGAACATGAATTGCTCGTGGATTGTCTAACCGAAGTCATATTTCCTCTGTGAATGCCAGGAGATTGTCAGAGTCGAAACCGAGCTTGCACTCTCCATCGCTTGTCTTGGCTGTGGAGGCAGATCGGATATAAATAGTGGCGCCAGACATATCTTAGCGCCATTTAACAGGGGGTGAAAATTACTTCCAAGACAAACGGACAAACGGACTCCCCTGGCGCTGTGAGACATTATCCCCCCCTAGCGTTCGGTGGACCAGTTTCTTTGTTTAGCCCAATAACAATGACAGCTTTGACGGGGACGGACCTGCAATTGCATCGTGTGGCTGATCATCGCGAAATCAATTGGGGCGGCTGATCCTGGCTTTGGATCTCGAAATGGCCTGCATATGCATCTATACCACGCCTTTAAAAGCTGACTTGTCGAGCAGCTCGCGCTTGTTGCTCACCGTTTTTCTTGATTTTACTGCACGACGGAGTAATTTACATTCAGAAGAACTCTATATGTATAAATACATTATAAGCACCGGGACTATCACGATGATCATTGAATATTAATTTGCGCTGTGGATCTGATTCGCCATCATACAATGGCTAAGTATATATGCGAGTACGTTGCATTAATCTTAAAGTCCGGAGGTGCGGGATGCCGATATCCATATCCACGGGAAACGCATCTGCCTTCCAAGGCTCGATGTAAAGAAAAACTCACTCGGACATACCCGAGTTGAACGATCGGAATAAATTTCATGATGTCACAGTTGGGTCTTTGTCGATACATCGAACGCTGAACCATGGAACTAATCTGGGGCAGCCCCAATTATAGGGCCGAAGTTTAAGCGCATCTACAGGGCTTGAAGCAAGTATAGCGTGTGAAAAGATTAGAAGTTTATACGTCAGAAACGCTGAATACTAATTCAATGCTGTATGCCAAAACATCCCGAAGCACACCTCCGTGGATCCATCTATGCATCACTGTCAGACTCGATCTCATCGTTCTCTAGATGCTTCTTCCGCTCCTCATTCATCTCTCTATACGTGCTGATGCTCAGCATGAAAAATGCCACCGTAATCAAGACGCCTCCAATAATCGAGGCTAGAGAAAGTGAGTTCCCAGTTCGGAACCAGTCCACCAGAGCGACGAGGAAAATAGTAAGGAGCGCGGCGACTGAGGATAGGACGGGCGATGTGAGGGAGATGAGCACAAGGAAAGAGCCCGAGAACGCTATCTTAGTGTTAGCTTCTGTGTCTGCTTTGAACGCTGGTGTGGTACTTACTAGCATTGGCACCCACGGAAATGAGCAGCATCCATGCTGCTTCGCCAGTCGGCCATTCAAATGTCTCCCATCCTGTCCAGTGCAGAAATGGTAATGGGATCCATAGTACCAACAGGGTGAAAGCCCCTATTAGACTGCCAAAAGTATTGGCAAAGATCGTACCCCGGCCAGAGCTGGTACCTTCCGGAGGACAGGCAAAGCGTTTATAGAGAACCTCGTAAAGGCCATAGAGAATACTTCCAACGCCGATAACAATGTTTCCGACCAATCGGTTCTGTCCCCCGTTGCCATCTGTGCCTCCTTTCGGGACCTTCTTATGAGGCCCATCCCCATAGGCAACGACCATGACGCCGATGGTAGCCACGGCCACGGAAAAGACCTTGTCAATTCGGAGTTTCTCCTTCAATAGCGGAATCGAAAAGGCATATGCGAAGAACGCCGAGCAGTTATAGATCGCCGTAAGGTCGCTGGGAGTGGTCATGTTGACTGCCACGTACCATGATCCTCCAGCGACGGTGAGAGCAGTAGTCACAAAGGCGGTGGTCTTCAGCATATAGCGGACCGGCGATTGATTGGACGCGCGAGTACTCAGATGTACTTCCTGCGATTCTACCATCTGCGCAGTGGTACGAAGGAAAAAGACATGGCGCCGCCAGAAAACATCCCACGTGAGCTTCCGTTTCTGTATCCGAAGGATACCCAGCTGGACCAGCCAGAGCAAGGACCACGATCCGTGGGTCATATAGCTGCATAGGGAAAGGAAATGGTAAGCGATTACATTCCGGGAAAGAGGTTCCGCATGGGCTTGTCGCTATCTTTGCGCTCGGACTTACAGCATGCAATACGGCTTCTTCCAATGCAACTCATTTTGAATGTATGAAGCGGTCTCCGTTTGGACCACGAAGCTAATCAGACTCAGCACCAGGAACCCCGATGCAACCATATATTTCTTGCGGGTTGCCAGGGCAGCGTCGCGTTCCGGACTTTTACTCCGAATTGTCGGCCTTCGTGATTCATGCAGCATGGGCTGGCCTTCTGTGTCATAATTACCGAAGCTCGAGCGCGGGCGGGAGCGAGGACGGTCATCTTTGAGGAGGGGCTGTTGCGAGCGGCCGTCGGTTGGACGGTGTAATGGGGGGCGATTGACAACCATTTCGTCGTCAGAGTCGGAGTCGTGGACTGCGTCCGGGGTTGAGGTCACCCGCGGCTCTGAGAGCTCAAAGCTATCCGAAGCCACAACGGCGATGGTGAGGGAAGGTGCTAGTCGGCCTAACTACCTCGACATGAATACCGCCGTCAGGGGTGTTCTTGTCCGATTTACTGTGCCGGCGAGATATAGGTATAAGGAGCCAATGCGTGGACTATTGGAAGGCCACCATCCAGATGATGCAGATAACGAGGGTAGATTTATTTCAGAAAAGGTTACCCATGAAGCCTATTCCACGTGTTCAATAGATGCTGCACAACCTCGGATATGCGACTCGGCACCGATCAGGGATAGTTGTAGCTCGAATAGTGGGTTCAATCCACTGAGTAGGGATTATTGCATCGTAAATAATCAAGGTGCATCAAGAGAGTACTCGGGGTGAAGATGGTCAAGAATCCGATGAGGCGGATCGAAATGACCGCTTTCAGGTGTCATCATCACTGGATCTGACCAGATCACATGATTTCGATCGTGGCGCACGCTATGCCGGATTCGAGTTAGCGAATGCATGTCATTCGGCTATTTTTGGATTTGGAGGCAGGCAATGCCCCTGGATTAGACCAGAAGACGTGGTCTGCGAATTCGTTTGCGATGCGATATGTATTAAGATATATTGCCCAACGATGAAGAATCTGACCACGATTGTCAAATGTTTGGTCTTAGTCCATCTCCGATCTTTAAAGGACGATGAAGCTCATTGGGTAGCATCCAAGTTCCTCGAATTCTCATTGGTGCTCACTAACTATGTACTATTCATATAAGGACCTTGTGGAAAATCTTAACATTCCCTTTTCTCTCACTTAGGCCCAAACACCGCCTTCTGAGTATCATAAGTATACTTGAGATCTAGATGCCAGTAATTGGGAGAAGTGGCCTTGGCAACCAACCAAGCCTGGTCCAAAGCCTGCACAACCTCTTCTGGGAGCGGTCCCTTCTGGAGATCGGCGAGATTAGTCTTAAGCTGCTCGAAGCTGCTGACTCCCACCAAGACTCCATCCCGACCGCCATTATCCATTCTCAGAGCAGAGTGATGGCGGATCCAGCGTAAAGCCGTCTCGACAAGTGTGAGACCATGTTTCTCTACGACAGGCTCAATGATACTCAAAGCTTCGAAAGTGGCATCTCTGAAGTAACGTTTGCGATATCTGGGTCCCGCAGAGCCCGCGTCGCTGTATCTGCCTTCCGCAGGGATATCTTGCGACTTGTATTTTCCGGAGAGAATACCACCAGCCAGTGGGTTGTAGACAACGATATCAAGACCGTACCGGTGGCAGGCAGGAACGAGTTCAGTCTCGATGTTACGTGCTATCACTCTGTCAGCCGAGTGGCCATGACCGAAAACAAGAGAAAGGACACCACCTACTAATAGCGTTATACATGGCCTGGTAGACTGTTGGACGGACCCATCCTCTTTCAGCACAAAGGACGCAAATTTCGGCCACTTCAAAGGCTGTAAAGTTGCTCAGACCAAACTGTACGAACTTGCCCTCCTTGTGCAGCTGGTTAACAGCCTCCAGAGTTTCAGCGAAAGGAGTGGCACGATCTGCTGCATGCAGATAGAAAATGTCGACCACATCGGTCTGCAACTCCTTCAGAGAAAGCTCCAAATTCTCACGGACGACCTCCGGCTTGTGGAAGCCGGGCTGATTTGGGTACCATTTCGTGGCCAGAGTTAGTCCACGCGACTTCCAGTTCGCCTTGGCCGTGAATGCCTCCTGTTCGCCGCCGATGTAGATACGAGCGGTGTCAACCTCATTGAACCCTTGCTGCTGGAAGTAGTCCAGGCATTTATTGAACTCATCCAGTGACGTGATACGAGCATCCTTGGCCTCGGTTGGGCCAAAGGTCATCAACCCGAGAATCACTCTCGGCTGGAGTTGCTGTGCGATCAGAGGCATGATGGGAATTGAAATTTCCTCTGCGTAGGTGAGGTGTGTTGAAGGTAGGATGGCGTGCGAGGACGGCGGGGTTGCTGGGTGGAGTGGTTCTTATACTAGTGCTAGAGCCGGAGGGCTGGTGGCACAATTGGATTTGTAAGCCATTTCGATTGATAACCTTGGAACGAATAAATTCCTTGAGAGGGTAGATAAGAAAATTAGCTCGTTCGGCATGTAATAGCCGAAGCCACGAAGCATATTGCATAAATAAGCCATTGACTTTTGGAGAAGTAGTCCGCTAAGCTCCTAGGAGATGGTGGGGTTGTGGAGGGTCCGATAACCGATAACGGAGCTGTTTGCGGTCTCCGCGGACATTTTTTTCCCGGAGAGCAAGGAGTTGTCTTTCCAGCCAAGTGTATTCAATTCACCTCATTCTTGGAAAAATGAGTCCCATTCTCGAGCCGCGATATGGCGCAAACGAGATCATCCAGCTGGATCCGAGAAAAGGGGAACGGGATTACAGCATATTGATCATCAACCCCAATACCTCAACGCATATGACCGAAGGCCTGAAGCCTATATTGGCCAGCATGAACTACCAAGACGTGCACTTCGAATACTTCACTGCTCCAGACTCCACCCTGGATATCGACGGAGTCGAGATCGAGCCAATCGCCAGCATCAATAACGCCGAAGAATCGTGCAAATCGGCATTGAATTGCTGGCCCGTACGGGAGTTTATCGGCAATTACGACGCTTTTCTCGTAGCGTGTTACTCCGCGCATCCATTCGTCGGCAGACTCAGGGAGGACATCACGGCAAGCGAAGAAACGAGCTCGACGAGAAATAGATATGTCACTGGAATCTTTGAAGCATCCCTCACCGCTGCGCTCTCCTTGGTTAGTGGGTTCACGTTGAGAGATCCAATCAACCCAGCAGAGAGGCTACACAAGTACCAAGGGAAGGGCAGCTTTGGCATTGTCACCACTGGCTCTGCGTGGAAGGAGGAGCTCACCAATGCAGTCCAGGGAGCGCTGGGTTACGACTTCGAGGACGGGAGCTCTATACACTTTGCGGGTGTTGAGACCACCGGCCTGACAGCCGTTGAGCTGCACACCACGGAGCCGGAGGAGGTGCGCCGGCGGATCATCGATGCCACCCGCAACCTGCTTCGCAACTCGGAATCTCATGTTAAGGTTGTGTGTCTGGGCTGTGCTGGTATGGCTGGCATGGAGGAAGCGGTACGGGAGGGCTGTACTCAGGAATACGGAGATACAGAAGGCCGACGTGTACGGATTGTCGACGGGGTGGTTGCCGGTGCTGGCAACCTCATCACAGCATTGAAGGCAGGATTCTAGTGGTCCAGGGCAACGGTTGGCCAAGTAGACCACTTGGGGAAGACGGTTATATCAAAATTTTAGCATAGCTGGGCGGATTAAAAGCATTTATATCTCGGATAATCAACTCTCATTCTTGCGCGAATTTATTTGTTTGCAGGCCTTTGTAACGTTGTTGATGTCCACATAAGGTGGCAAGAGCTTCTGCCTGAGGCGGCAATATCGGCCAAAAAGTTCCCCGCGTGGACGCGATACGCGTTAACGAGCAGCAACACTCGACGGCTTCTGTGAAGAAAAGATGCCAAGGTTTGTTCATTCTTCCGAGTCAAGCATAATTGACAGGTCTCTCTCCAGCTTGAATACCGATGCTGATATTGGTGGCAATTGCAGAGAAATCATCACAATCCAAGCCGGCCAGTGCGGCAACAACGGTATGTGGCTCAACTCTGCGATCCATTCCACGATCGTTGATCTAGTCATTTGAAACGGAGCACGAGAAAATATAGTTCACGTCTAACATTCGTTCTATCTAGTTGGCAGCCAGTTCTGGCAGCAGCTGTGCCAGGAGCACGGGATCAGCGCAGATGGAAACCTGGAGGAGCATGCGACTGACGGGGCGGCCGGTGATCGCAAGGATGTCTTCTTCTACCAGGTGTGTATAGGAAGCTTGCGAGGAAAATATAGGCTTGGTGGACAAGAACACTGGCTAACATATGGCAGAGTGACGACACAAGGTACATCCCTCGAGCGATTCTCCTCGACTTAGAACCCAGGGTAGGCCTCACCGATATATCAAATCGACCACGATGATTAACGCATAGATTGTTCCAGGTCCTCAACGCCATCCAGACTGGCCCCTACAAGAATATCTACAACCCCGAGAACTTCTTCGTCGGACAACAAGGTATCGGAGCTGGAAACAATTGGGGTACCGGATATGCTGCAGGCGAGGGCGTGCAAGAGGAGATTTTCGATATGATTGACCGCGAAGCAGACGGAAGTGACTCACTAGAGGGTTTTATGCTTCTACATTCGATCGCAGGAGGAACAGGCTCTGGACTGGGTAGTTTCATCCTCGAACGCATGAACGATCGATTCCCGAAGAAACTCATTCAAACCTACTCTGTCTTCCCGGACACGCAGTCCGATGTCGTCGTCAACCCTTACAACAGCTTGCTGGCCATGCGCCGATTGACCCAGGATGCCGACTCCGTGGTCGTCCTGGACAATGGCGCTCTGTCACGAATTGTCGCTGATCGGCTGCACGTCCAAGAGCCCTCGTTCCACCAAACCAACCAACTCGTTTCTACGGTGATGTCTGCATCTACAACCACGCTCCGATACCCTGGATACATGCACAACGATCTCGCCGGGATCATCGCCTCGCTCATCCCCACGCCACGCAGCCACTTCCTTCTCACATCATACACACCGTTCACGGGCGCCAACATCGAGCAAGCCAGGACGGTGCGAAAGACCACCGTCCTAGACGTCATGCGCCGTCTTCTACAGCCTAAGAACCGCATGGTCTCGGTCAACCCCAGCAAGTCCAGCTGCTACATCAGCATCCTCAACATCATCCAGGGCGAAGCCGACCCGACCGACGTGCACAAGTCACTCCTGCGCATCCGGGAGCGTCGCCTCGCTACCTTCATCCCCTGGGGCCCTGCCAGTATCCAGGTGGCTCTCACAAAGAAATCGCCGTATATTGAGGAAACCGGACATCGCGTCAGCGGGCTGATGCTGGCCAACCACACCTCTGTCGCGACACTCTTCAAGCGCATTGTGAAGCACTACGACATGCTCCGCAAGCGAAATGCGTTCTTGGATTCCTACAAGAAGGAAGCTCCGTTTGCTGACGGACTTGGCGAATTTGACGAGGCACGGGCGGTTGTGATGGATCTGATCGGCGAGTACGAGGCAGCGGAGCGAGAGGACTACTTGGACCCGGATGCAGGCAAGGCAAACGAGCTCGGAGTCTGATATGAGATATGCGATATGCGATGCTGCGATTTGATTCCTCGCCCTTTTTTCCTTTTTTCCGTTTTTACCTTTTGCGATTTGGGCCGGGCAAGGGGGTTTGAGCGTATCATCGGCGTCTGCGCCGGCGTCCACGGGTTTTTGATTCACATTTACGTTTCCCTTTTCTTTTTCCCTTGTCCAACCTTACCAGTGGATAAATATCATGAAACCAATCCCGCTGCACGCTAGTCACTATTTTAAATTGACCATGACCACGTAGGCCGTGGCCCGTGTAGAGCACGCCAACGTGGTAGGATTCTGATTTGTACCGTCTAGCGTGTTATCAGCGAGGGATCCGTGAGCAGATACGGCGTAGCGTCCTGCTACGTTGAGCGACGGTGGGGAGATGTGGAGAGGAGAGGAGACGGTGAAATTGGGTAGCGGGATCGGCCCTCACTTTAGGCCTAAACCGGGAAATGTACGGAGTATACGGAGTAGTTATAGGGCATCACCTCCTCTCTTAATCTCACCAACTCCGTACCTACTCCATACCTCTGCATATGCTGTTACGGAGTACCGATGCTGGTTATGCAATAGCTCCACGCGGATCATCCGTCGTACCTAGGCCGGGCTTGGCTCAGACGACTCGTCTATTTTATCTCGAGGTCAGAGCTCTTTTGGTCGACTTGCATGGTTTTTTGTTTGCATTGCATTGAGTGGGAGTAGTGTCGTTAGGCACTGATTGTAGTTATATTCGGGATGATATAGTTGGTAATGGAGGTGCCTGGAGTACCATAGTCGGAGAAGTCTGGGTGAACACCTTGCCACTCTGGTGGCGCAAACAGGATCTGAGATCGCATCGGTTGAGTTGGTTGAGTTGAGACTTTCTATATTAGTTTGCGACACCTGACTGGACTATCACGTGAAAGGCGCCCTTGGATGCACGGGCAATTCCACATTCCGATCATTGGGCCCGAGACCAGGCGCCTGGGTGATACGTCCGCGTGGGATGCAGAGGAATTTGGTAAAGTCAAAGAAAAGGAAAAAAGAAAAAGAAAAAAAGAAAGAAGAAGAAAGGAGAAGATCAATATTGAATACTTTAAAACTCTGTAACTATACAACATAGATAGACAGGTATAGTTCAATCACCTCACTGCACTAAATAACCGCTAACCTCCAATTCCAATATCAAATCCAATTAATTCGAAATAATCGATTGAATGCCAAATCCACTAAAACCACTAAAACCCACCCGAATCCACTTGGAAATCCCCAAATCGCCAACAACAGAACTTTGGAACTCCACTCGTTGATTCCGTCACTGTCGCCTCACTGAGTCAGCCCCCCCGTCTCTGGTTAGAACCTTGGAAGTCGGTTTCTTTGGCTTTCTCCCGTGTCTTCCGATTTACCCTATATATAGGCTGGTCGTGCTGGCCCATCTTTCCCTCCCTCCCCCTTTTACTACTTTCTTCGACAGAGTCTCTCCTCCCCCGCTCGCCTCCGCACTTGAAACCGGCGCTTATCTCAAACCTTCTCCCCAGCGTCTCGCCTTCGCTACTCCTATTTATCTCTTGTCTTTCGTCTTTCGCGAAAGAACACTTTTACATTCAACCTCTCAACCGCTCTATCTACCCCAACACTCCCAACCACAATGCCTCCCCGCAAGCCCCGTTGCAACTTCAAGGAGTGCAAGGAAGCCGCCCAGCGCATCGTCGGCGACTGCAGCTTCTGTACCGGCCACTTCTGCTCCAAGCACCGCATGCTAGAAGCCCACTCCTGCACCGGCCTGGAGGACTGCAAGAAAGAATCACACGCTCGAAATGCCGACAAGCTGAACAGCGAACGCACCGTCGTTGTCAAGGGCGTATGAGACCGGGAACCACAATCAGAAATGAGAAATAGCCGATCCTTTCGTCGCTTTTCTCTCGGCTGGAAGGACAAAGGGGGGCGCGGATGGCGCCATTATTCTTAAGGATCGCCCGCCTAGTCTATGGAGGCTCGGACCCATCTCGCCTCCTCTTTCCCCCCTATCTGTTCTTATCTGCCCCCGGCCGATCAGGTGCTATCCCTGCTAGCCTTGGCTTGGCTTCGATTCGGTCCCATTTGATCCGGTTCTTCCCTTTCTTGTGCGCCTCTGCGGTGATTCTGGATTTAGCGCGGTGTTTCTTTTCCCTCTTCTCTGATTCGATTCTTGGGCTTGGTCTCCTCTTCTATTTTGTTCGGTTATTCGTGATCTATATCTAGATCGGACTCGGTTTCTGGCCGCGGCTTATTTTGGGTTGAGCCTTCGCGGGATTCATTTGCATGGCGTTGTGCTTGGTGTTGACATCTTTTCTTTGATCTTTTGATATTTATCATTTATTTATTCTTTCGCATTTTGGGCATACCTCTTCACTTTTCGGGGACTGCTAAATAGAGCTCTTTGGGGTCATTTTAGCCATGAACTATACATATTATTGAATCTTGAGCCCCTTATTATCACATGATATATACTCCAGTGGAGTATCCTGGGTTATGGATCATCACTGAAACATGGCAGCCTTACGGAGTACAGTTGAACAGAATGTATTGAATAGTACAGATATGGTATTCTTGAATAACAGATTGATCGCATCGAAACCCATGTGAAACCGTATAACCATTTAGCCCGGTCCAATCTTCGGCCTATGTAAAATGTCAGCTTATCCAAACAACAAAGGTAAAAAGAGCAAGACGTACATATCATGATGCTCACTCAGCCGACTAAGATACTTATTCAACTCCTCCACACGCTCCTTATGAGTTTTGACACCTTCGCGCTGAAGCCGCTCATGCAACTGTCCCAAAAAGTCAGTTTCCCCGTACAACAAAGCCGAAGCAGAAAGAGCGCAAGCCCAACAAAAAGACAAAAAAGAACAACAGAACATACCCGTTTGCGCCTAACCTCCTCCGCTCTCTTCTCGGCCTCAGTCTTCCCAGGCGCATCCCTCTCTTTCTCTCTATCCTCCTCAGACCTCACACCGTCCTCTGTTTCGTTTTCCGGCCGCTTCGTATCTGGCGTCGACTCCGGCTTGGGCGTCGTCGCTTCCCCCTCCTTTTTCTTCCCGCTCTTCTTCTTTTTCTTCTCTATCCGCCCTCCGCTGACTTTACTCCCCTTCAGCTTGAGCTTGCCCCCGCCGACGGAGTACTCGTCGCCCGCCATGCTCGCGGTGCTGGGTTAGGTTCGGGGATGCAATGCCGTAGGTCGCGACTATCCAGGCTACCTCCTTTTCGTGTGGCGTGCCGCTTGTAGAGGTGTTGGGTCCAGGGGAGATGGGCGTGTGCGGCGTGCGCGGCGTGCGGAGTAAGAGGTGGGGAGTGGGCGATCGGTTTTGTGTGTTGGCGTAGATATGAGGGGTTTGCTTCTCTTTTTTAGATTGCAGTGCGATGTTCGACTGAGTGGATTGTAATATTTGGCTTGGGTGTGTTGTTGGTTGAAAATGTAGGTTCTCGATGTTCTTCTGTTGCGATTTGGGAATTCGGCCAATCAGAGGCGGTGGCGAGTTGAATACAACTATATATCAAGATGGATATACTATGCGCTCATTCTGAGGTAACTCCGATTCATTTAATAGACCTTTTTTCTCATCTTTATCTACTTTTTCTTCTAAACACTCGTAGGAAATAAATACTGAAAGAAATAATTCATAATGGCTGGATCTCAATGGGAAAGTGATGTGGAGCGCTTTCTGGACAACCTGCCTCCTTCGACAAACAAATACACCTATAAAGGGAAAGAGCAATTCGATCAAATCCTACAAAATGAAAAGCACCGTCTGCACAAATTACCCCCTCGTCAACCACTCGGGTCCGAAATCTCAGACTACTTCGTTATTTTCATCGATCCATCAACCTTCGAGCAAGACTTTCTGCTCTCTGATCTACTCGCTGGTACCAGTTTATTCTACAACGCGGCCTTGCACGCCCTGATCCTCAGAATGTCCACCCCCGAGCATGCTCAAGTTTCCTATGGACTGCAAACCGAATTCACAAAAATCTTGCTACCTATGGGACTCTGTGATGCAGTTGAAGGATTCGGTAACGTGAATGTCAACGTCGGCGACGGAAACGTGAAGCGGCCAGACTGGGGCTGGGGCCCACTTCGGCCCCCTCGTGGTGCCCCCAGACGACCCGGGGTGGTCCTCGAGGTCGGTGTTTCCGAGACTGAAACCAAATTGCGCGACGACGCAAGCATGTGGGTCGACCCCCTCAGAGGCCAAGTGAAAACGGCCATCACCATCAAAGTCAACCGGAAGAAACCTGAGCTCAAACTCGATAAGTGGGAATGGGACGCCGGTGCCCAACGCCCAAGGGTCACGCAATCCTGCGTGATTGGAAAAGCACCGAACAACGTCACAGTCTCGCAGCACCCGATCACAATTCCATTCGACCACATTTTCGGACGGGCCCCTGAGATCCCCAGAGAGGCTGATATTCGACTAGGCAAAGAGAGCCTCGCCAACATGGCACGTTATGTCTGGAGTACGCAAGGTCTGTAGAGATCTCCAGATCTCGGTCTGTCAGCATCCAACTAGTATGTAGACCATCCAGGGATGTCTTTAGATTTGAATACCGGTAGTATGACGGTCATAATCCAGTATTGCGGCCCGAAAACGTATTCCCAAATTCCTACACATCCTACCGTTGTTCTAGCATAATACGTATTCTACGAGTATTTGGCTCAACATGTAGTATTCTTCAAGTATTCAGTCAGGATTGGTCCCGTATTCCCTACATTGCCTAGTATTATGCGAGTATTAGGAAGGTATTATTATGCGTAAAAGTATTCTGTTTCCCGAGGTATATACATGCGTTGATCCATGCTTCCACCCTTGTAGACGCATATATTCAGATTCGGATCATTTCCCGAATCCGAAGCGCCCATATACACTCCTCCATTGATGTGCCTTAGTTTTTATCTCCAAACAAACGTGGTGCTGGCACTAGGACACCTCTTCCTCGACCTGGATATTCCTTGGGCTGTGAGGTGAGCCCAGCCGGTAGGGCGAGGAATCGTATCAGGGTACGACGAGGGTGTGATAAGGAATGATGAGGGTATAACGAGGGCGAGGTCCGGCCTGAACGAATCTCCGACAATGTCACCATATGCCGGCAATCATTCGATCAGTTAGACGTAGAATAACAAAAGTGGATCATATTCGTACACGAAATAATCGGGGACAGACTTCTCGTTCGTAAATGACAGGAAGAAAAGGAAAACATCAGCCATATTTTCCGATGGAAATAGATAAGGGAACCATAGGAGCTTGCCTCTGAGGGCAGTAGATGGCTCAGTGACCAGATATTTTCGACATCCACGCGTCGCTGTCTGCCTCCGAAACCCAGCATTATCTTGTTGCTGGGGCATATCTCCAATGAAAGCAGCACAGAAGGCAACCAAACGTATTGGTTTACCATCTATCTATATAATGTCCATACCTTTCCTAAGTTTTCCTAGAGCTATCAAACTTCTTGTCACGATCCATATGGATCGCTATCGGACAGCTAGTTCTTATAGCTGTGTCCTGACCGCTTTGTAGACAATGTAAACTTCGAATCATCTCGCGAAACTATCTAGCAAACAATCTAGCTAATGCAAACAAGCAAACAAGCAAAGCAAGGCAACGTTGGATCGTAACAAGTAAGAGGGGGGCTTTGCGCAGCATTAGAAGTTAGAATCAGTCGCTTTGCTCTGCAACGACTATCTCGACGGCCGTAGGCCGACGAGATCACTTGTATTTCTTAGAAACCCCTGGATGGGATGTTGATAAGATCAAGCAATCTCAAAGCGTCTTTACCATGCTAAACAACCTGACTTATCTGCTTCAATGTTGAATATGTTGAATCCAAGCACTTCATCCAATTGATTTGATCTAGAGTTTCGAATCGCTCAAAGATCGATGCCCAAATACCACCCTGGACGGCAATTCAACACCCCAAGCAATCTTACAATCCAACCGCGTATGCTCATCACTCCCGGAAGCCGAATCAAAGGCCTGATACGGCTTGACAATATCCCGGTAGACAAACTCACCCACACCACCCTCACCCAACAGAATCCATCTGCGAGCAATTTCCATCGCGGCCTCATCCCCATCCCGTTCCGCATCCAAAGCCAGAAAAGCCCCGGCAAGAATCCAGCCAAAGGTAAACATAACCCTGCGAGCATCAGCCAGCAACGCAGCCAGCGGACGAATAGATGTCACGCGAGAAAGGAAGGAAGCCAGAGCCTGCTTCAATGCACCCGCGAGAGACGACGTGCGGATCAAAGACAACACGCGACTGAGCCACCCCGACAAAACAGACAGGTTATCATTTTTCATCAAAAAGCGAACGAGCTCGCTAGCCAGGACATTCGTCGTACCCTCCCAGATCGGATACACGGCTGCACTACGGAGGAGGCGCGAGATATTGAACTCAGGCTCGTCTGGTTCGTCAATGTATCCGACTCCACCCATCGCTTCCTGGCACTCTTGAACGCCTACCATCGACATCTTGCTGACAACGCCTTTGCATGTGGCGGTGAGGACGCGGAAGATGACCTTTGCTTCGCTTAGATCCTGAGGCATATGTGCATGTCTCGCAGAGCTGGATGGATTCTCAATCAGACCCATCACGGCAATTGTGAAGAAGGTGAGATTTATAGCGCCGCGATGCTTTACCTCCACGTCCGCAAGGAGGCGCAGATGCATCGGAATCAACCACAATGGCTCGCCGACGGTAGTCCGTGACTTGGCGAAATTCTTTGTAATGCTAATCGCACGACGCCAGGTTGATAATGTTCCAAGAAGCGTCTGGATACGGGTGGTATTCAATAGTGGCGCAATAGTCACAATGCCCTGATCGATTTCGCCGACTAGGTGAGCGCGCATGCCCTTTAGTTCCAGTTCAGCCGTGGGTAGTTCCTTGGTACCAAGCTTGTTCTTCAGGCGGTGGATGCGCACGCCATTAGATACTTCTTCTGGCTTTCCATCTGCTCCGATAGATGTCTTCCGTAATGGCGCGATAAATGTGCTCAGTTTGCCGGAATCTGTCTTGGCTAAGAGAAAAGCGACATTGGCGTCTGTCGCGGAAGAAAAGAATTTGAATCCGCTGATCAAATAGTCGCCCTCGGCGAGGACGTCGGATGTTTTCGATGCTTGTGGTAATGGTGCGTAGGTCGCCCATGTCTCTGTGTTTTGAACGTCGCTCCCGCCTGCTCGTTCTGTCATCCATTGGCCGGATGTCCAGTAGTCGTCTCCTCTGGAGGTCAGTTTCCGAAATACAGTGTGCAGAATATGATCATTTGGCAGATCCTTGAGACGCTGTGATAATATAAATGCCGCTCCGTCGGACATGCTCATCGGACATCTGTACATGGACGACGACGGGACGTATATATACACTCTTTAGGTCCGGTAGTTAGTAGCAGTTCGCGAAAGAACAAGGAAATTATAACATACGCAGCATATTGAACAGTGCGTCTATGAACACCGTATGTGTGGTCATAGCCCAGCGAAACAACCCTAAACATTTCGTATTAGCGTCAAATGTATATCAAAAAAGAGAACGACTAACCCATGTTTCGCCCCCCATTTTCCTAACTGCTTCCACCCATCAGTCGTAATCAGTTTGTCATACCCATACCGCTGGCCCCAGACATTGTACTTCTTGACATATGGCAGGTTGGTCTCTGCGTCGGCGTTCCATGCAAAGATTTGGGGCGAAACAGCCTCCTCGCCAAATTGTGCGAGATGGGGTTCAACTAACTTGAGAGTCTCTGCAGGAAGATACCCTATTTATTGTCTTCAGGTTAGATTGAACAAAGGTGGTCCCCACGCTGGACTTACATCCTAGCATTCGCTGCAGGCTGATGTCGGAAGTGTATGTATTCGGCAATGTCCCAAGCTGAGTAAATGTTCCAGACTCAGCGGATGCAGGAGCTCGAGACTGGGTTGACATGTTTTTGATGTAGATAAATGTGAGAGCTGTTCGAGGAATGTTGGTACATTAGACAGAAATGGGGTTATATCATGGTTTGTCTCAACCGCGGTCTATTGAATAACCGAGTGCTTGTTTCCGATTATAGTTCTTGTAGCCCGTGAAATCACCGAGAAGCGAAGTTGATGGATGTCGACTATTTCTGTTGATCAAGTCCGCAAAATCGCCGAGATGAGCAGTTCGTGGTCTATAGATCTCCGTGCGGGGAAGCTTCTGCATTGCCGAGTCTAGGGTTTTGCTAAACTTCCCAAGGTAGACTAATAACACTAATAACTAAGAGTGATGGTATGATGGTAAATCAGGCAAAAGTCTCACCATATGTTCCATACTGGGAGTAATGTACTTTGTCGTTGATTCTAACCGGAAAAGAGCTCTTGTATACGGAGCGGAGTATACAGAGGTACATACGGCAGTAGGTAGGAGTAGAAGCAAATTACTCGATTGACTGAAGCACATGGAGATAATCATTTTGCATTTTCTAATATGCTAGTCATCTTGATTCATTATTTTGTTGGCATGCCAACTTCCAACTTCCCATCGGCGACCTTAATCGAAAGGAATTGGGCGCAGGTCCGATCCGCCGCCCATACGCTTACGCATCTCAGCGCCCGCAGCCACGGTACTGGGTACCTTGATGCCGCAGCAGTCACCGAACCAGTCTGAACTCTCGTGAGGATGGTCGTGGCCATGGGCATGCTCATGCTCAGCATCTCTCTCAGAAGAATCGGTCATGCCTTCGGCAGCAGGTATAAGACTTCCGAACAAGAAATGTTGCATAATAGGAAGTTTTCCCAGCACTTCCTTAACGAACATCTTCTTCATGCCGCTCTCAACCTTGGCCCAATTCTTAGAACCAGAGATATCGTCCAGCATTGGGCTATGCCAACGCAGTCCCTTCACCAATTTGACACTCTCAACCCATCGGACCTGATCCAGATAGAGATAGTTATCACCCTCTTCATCTAAAGTAGCTGTGTTATGAATACCCAGCGGAGTAATATACGGGTGCCCGACAAGCTGGCTAGCTCCGAACAAGAACGGCAGGAAATGGTAGTCATCCAGACCCCAGACACCGTGCGATCCAGCAGGCTCGAGGTAGTAAGCTGACTGGATCTCGCGCATGAGATGCATGTACTCGACATAGACCTTGATCACGACAGCGGGGAAGTCGCTGGCGGGGAGAAGACCTAGCTGGTACAGGCATAGCAGCCACATCATGAAGTTGAGTTCATGGCCGGAGCCGTAGTCAATCCGCTCCCGTGAGCCCAGGCAGTGGATTAAATATGTCGACGCTTCTTCGATTGCGCCAGAGTCTTTCAACCCCAGAATGTTGGTGTGCCATGATGCGCTCTGGGCGCTTACATCGTCGCACAATGCTCGGAAGGCGGGGTTGCCGAATCGGGATCCACCCTGGTCAATTGGCGGGTTTTTGGCTAGGAGGGCGCGTATTTGAGTGATGACTGAGAGGACCTTGGAGATGGATTCGGATTGAGGCTTTTTCTGGAGGTCCGGGATAGAATGCCCCCGCACAGAATCAGTTAGCCCGAATATAAAGGCGAGGACAAGTTTATAGGTCGGCGATGCGAGGAAGAGCTCATGGTCTTTAGAAGATAGGATGCGGCGGATTGGTTGCTGGTACTGGTGGCCGGAGAGGTCGGGCGGCGAAGGGAGAGGAGGGGTTGCTGGAGTCAGATCTCGGGAACTGGGGTTTCCCCTTCGGCTATTTGACCGTAACTCAGAGAGCTTTTTCGAGAGATCGACCTTCCCCGTAGGAGATGGTAAAGGTGCCTGTGACGCCATTGTGTTGGTTGAGTGAGGGGAGCGGAAATCGATAAGTCGATAAGTTGATAAAGGGATGAAGCAGGACTGACCGCCTGCCTTAAACAGAGGATGACGCACTTTACCAGACGGGTAAGATAATGAGGTGTTAGCTTGTAAAATAAGATATGAAGATCAGAGTAAATGGTTGACTAGAAGTAAATATCTACATTGGATGTCCATATCAGCATGTCAAGCTTGACAAGTTGCATCGACACTTCGGACTAAGGGTTCACCCAGGTGGGTTAGAGTGGAGCATGTGATCGCTTCCCCGGATTGGTCACGTGGATGGGAGATCATCACCTTGCGTGCTTTTGCTCGAAGTGACATTATACTTGATGCAATTGGAGAAGAGAGCAGAAAAAGGAAATGCAGATAGTAAGAGTCCAGCATAACAGACACAACTATTGCTCTCCATCACCGTGACCATCTTGTCTCAAACAGCAACTTTTCATCCTCTATTGACATAGACGAACCGGCGCTTCAGACCTGCATAAACTCGGTCCCTGGCAATCGTGGATTGCACAATACTCTCTTCAGTGACACAAAAACACGCGGACAGGCATAATGAATACATCCGACTCATTGGCGCCGCCTCTGAGAGGCTCCAGCACCTCTGGGGGAGCCAAAAACAGCCACTCATCGTCACGCTCGCCCACAGATTCAGCTCTGTCATCCTCCTCCAGCAGCACCCGGTCCCACTCAAGCTCCTCGACCCGAAACCACGAGCGTAACCAGAACCAACCTCAGACATCATACCAATCCACCGAATCTACCCCAATCAACACAGCCGGTCCCGCGGGGCGCAATTATCAGTCTACAGAGCAAGCAGACGCCTCCCAGCTCAAAGACCAATTAAACAACGCGAACCCTGGCAATGCCAGCCAATCAACCACCCAAGACTCGGCCCCCGAGCCCCATCAGTCCTGGTATAGTCGATTCGCAGATCGATACGGCAGTCTCGAGCTAGAGAACAAAGGCAGTGTGGCCCGCGACCACCTCGCATTAGGTACAATATGCACACGCAGCCTATATTTAAAACATGCATAGACACCCCTGACACCCACCCCCTTTCCAACAGAACGAACCTTCCTAGCCTGGATGCGCACCTCCCTAGCCTTCGCCTCAATCGGCATCGCAGTAACGCAACTCTTCCGCCTGAACAGCGCCTCCACAAAGACAAAAACCAACTTCTTCGACCCAGCATCCGGCTTACACGCAGGCATCCTTCCACCGTACCTCGACTCGTCAGGCTACGATTCAGCCGACCTCCACACCTCCTCTGCAACCGCCCGTCTTCGTAGCGTGGGTAAACCCCTCGGCTCCACTTTCATCGGCGTCTCGATCCTTATCCTTATGATTGGCTTCCACCGCTACTTCCAGAGTCAGTATTGGATTATTCGGGGGAAGTTCCCGGCTAGTCGGGGTAGTGTGGCACTTACGGCGTTTGTGGCTGCTTCGCTGATTATTGCTACTCTTGCGGTTATCTTGGCGGTCTCGCCGGGAGCCATTGAGAATTAGTTTGGGGTTGGTTGCCGACTGGTCTTCGTTTCTCTCTTTGTGTTACTCCTTCTGTTGTGATAGTCCTCATTTGGTTTGTTGCGTTTTGCGTGCAGCATTTTGCGTGCAGCATTTTGCATTTTCGAATTTCTTGAGTTTATATACACGTTTCGTTCTACCCAGGAATAGGGTAGCCATTTTCTAGCGGAGGAAAGAAGCAGGTACATATGGGTATGACTTTGTCTTGGTTATACTGATGTTGACGATAGACTGTATGCAACCATGATCATAAGTCCCACCATAGTTATACGTAGATAACCTACAAAGCTGGTATACAAAGAAAAGCCGATAGAAATATTTCGTTCTTTTCTACCATGAACGCCCTGAATCCACCCGCGCCAGACCAGTCTAGGCACAATGTAGGAAGCAGGCGAAGAGACAGGGGAAACTACAAGATGGACGGGAGTGTATCGACAATGATGGGGGGAAGGTGGAGGCAAAGAAGGAAACGAGAATAGGGAAAAAAGACCCAGGCAATATGGCTTGCAAACAATGCGAAGCAGGAAATCAGAGAAAAAAGGAGCAGACCAGGAACCGCCTAAATAAAATCCATTCATCGCGGGCCGAGCTTGTCCAGGGCGCGTGCACCCTGTTCCGCCCACTCCTGCTTGCTCACCCACATGTCGTCCTTGTCGGCAATCTGAGGAAAATAGTGTTAGCAGGGCCGGGGTCAAAGGAAAAGAAACGAGACTAACCAAGTTGGCGAGCACGGCACCACCCAGGAACACCATGTGTCTCCGACGCGGGGGATCTTCGATGCGGACCTTGAATTTCTGGAAAATCATTAGCCATGTTATATTGGTAATTGTCGGGTTCTCTTCGACGTACGTTCAGACGCTCTGGGTCGCCGCCCAGTACCCGGGTGAGCCAGAGCTGCTTCAACTCCTTCTCCAAACGAGAGGGCAGACCAGGGTACATGCTGCTACCACCGCTGAGCACGATGGCCTTGTATAGACTCGAGCGAACATCGACATCGGCACCCTGGATACAGTTGAAGAGCATTTCAGCCATACCAGGTTGGTCAACATCGACCAAGTGTGGCTGGAACAGGCACTCGGGGGCCTCGAAGCGCTCGCTGCCGACGCGAATGACACGGCCGTCGGGCAGGGTGTACGATTCGACGAGAACGGTGGTGTCTTCGGAAAGCTTTTTGTCCAACTCGAGGTCGTAGGAGACATAAGCGAGCTTCTCCTTGATCTGGCGGACGGTCTCGAAGTCAGCGGTTCGGTTCAGCGCATAGCCGCGGCGCAGAAGGAGGGCAATCAGGTTGCGAGTGACATCGCGGCCGGCGACATCAAGGCGGCGAATGTGGTGGTTGAGTACGGTCGACTCGTACACGGGGATAATGTGTGTCACACCGTCACCGGAATCCACAACCACGCCGCTGCTCAGACCTGAAACATGACATCAGTATTGGTCTTCAACTGACACTGTGGTCTTGTATCACATACCCTGGGCATACAGTGCCAGCACCGCCTGGATCGCCACATATACACCACCAAACCCGTATCCTTCTAACATCACCTCGGCCATTTTCTCACGGTTCTTGAGCGGGTTCATGGGTGGCTCCGTGAGGAGAATCTTGCGGTCCGTGGGGTCGATCTTCATCTTCTCGTAGAAGGTGTAGTTCCATAGATGTTGCATGTCATCCCATTTCTTGACAATTCCATTCTCCATCTAAAGCAGCGCGGGTTAGGCATTGACAACACGACTGGTTTGCGGAGGCGGGGTAGAAAGGTCAGGCGAGGACAAGAACCCCGATATAAACATACAGGATAGCTGATCTGGAGCATTGATCGTGCAGCGGCGGCTTCATCACCACACATGATATCCTTGACCACGATGTCGCCGCCCTGCTCCTCCGTTCGCAAGATGGGCCGCCCCACTATCGAGGGAAACTGGAACTCTGGGAAGTTCTGACGAGGAAATATAAATTAGAGAAGAGCAAACATGGACTGTAGGGGTCATGCGACATACCTGGGCGGCGTAGCCGACCTTAAGGAAGCCGGTTCCTCCATCGAGGACTGCGGAGTAGCTTGTTAGCTTGGAGCTGGGACACGGTAGCCTGGGGGAATCGGTGTGTACCAATGGGCATTTCCGCCATGTTGGAGGAATTAGGGATTCGACGGTTGGGAGTAGGGGTACCGTCCAAGACTGAGATTATATTCGGAAACTCCCAAGATGAGTGGAAATAGGAGGGTTCAGGGGAGAGCGGAGGTGTTGGGGATATTTGAAGTCAAGTCCACGACAGACGGAGCATCATAACTTACGTGACCGTACCGTACCTGATATTCACCCCACAGTTGGGCGGCGAGCCGCAGCCATGACGGTACGTGACCACGTCAACGCATTCTTAGACCAGACGAACTCAGAGATGATAAATTAGGGCCTAAAAGAAGATTTTGAGGTCTTAAGGAGCATGGGATAATGCTGAAATCAATAGATGCGCAGGTTATAGTATATGTGGAACGTCTCACATTAAGGGGTATACACGTGGACTTGACTACAGCGACACACCAAGCAAGAATATGGCAAAGAGACGAATCATATGACTATTCATTGAACAATGTCCAAGCCCGGTTTAACCTGCAGATATGCAGTACCGTTGATAACGTTGAAGCGTATCCTGTCGGCCGACACCGATATCCTCGGGAAACACGCTCCACCATTCCTATCGTCCCTACAAAGTAGACTCATACAAGGATCGCATTGCCCTGCACAGGTAAACTCTGGATTGCCAAATTTCGCTTGAATCCCTCGAATCGATCTTGACTCGTTGTCTAAAGAGCCCATTGTCGCCCTTTGAATCCATCCAGAGGAAAAAGAGCGAGCAACGATGCCACAAATCGGCTGGGTAATCAGCCTCTAGAGCACCTACAATTATGAACAAAGAACTAACAAAACACAGTATGGACTCGGGTCCATGGGCCTAGCAATGGCCTCCAATCTGCAGCGCCACCTAGCCACGAAGAAGGCCTTGAGCCTGATCTACTCGAACCGCACGATGTCGCGCGGAGCACCCCTGCAAGCACTGGGTGCAATCCCAGTAGCCAATTTCGAGAAGTTGGTGTCTCAATGTGGAATTATTTTCACCATGGTAAGCGGATTCCACCGAGAAATACATAGCAATGTCTAAAGCCTCTTCCAGATCTCGAATGACGCAGTCCTCCAAAGCCTGCTATCCACCGCCATGGGTTCAAGCCAGTCCTTGAAAGACAAGATCTTCGTCGACTGCTCAACAGTGCATCCCGATACTGTAAAATCGGCTGTATCGGAGCTGAAAAGCAAGGGTGCATCGTACGTAGCAGCGCCGGTCTTCGGCGGGAACCCAATTGCCGTGGATGGCAAACTTGTTTTTGCCATTGGTGGCCCGAAGAGTGCGACTGATGCCGTCAAACCTCTGATCCAGGATGTTATGGGTCGGCGCGTGATTGATTGCGGTGAGGATGCGACAAAGGCTTCCCTTCTGAAAATCGCGGGTAACATTGTTACTGTTAACATGATGGAGGCTGTTGGTGAGGCTCAGGTCTTTGCCGAGAAGACCGGACTTGGAACTGGTCCTATGGAAGAACTCATTGGCGAGGCTTTTGGTGCTGTTGCCGGAGGGTATTCTAAGAGGTGTGTTACAGTATTTTTTCGGTGCTGGCATGGCGTTTCATACTTATCTTTGTTTCCAGATTGACTACCGGTGCTTATGCGCCGCCCCTGGACTCTCATCCTGGATTTGGTGTTTCTCTTGCTATCAAGGATGCTAGACATGCTATGTCAATGGCCCAGGATCAGGGTGTTGAGCTTCCTGGCCTTGAGATTGCCAAGACTAACATGGAGGCTGCGAGAGAATATGGCGGAGAGTGCCTGGATAGCAGTTCGATGTACGGAATTCTACGCCAGAAGGCTGGTCTGGCGTTTTGGAATGAGAAGAGCAGGAAAGAGTAAAGTCAAAACCATGCTCCCATAAGATATACAACAGAGTAACTATTACTAAGAAGATTTGTATTTGCTTGAATGTCCAGACAGAAATGATCTCTTCAAAATTCATCTATTGACAACGCGAATGAGGTGACCGTGGCCCTTCTCACAGCATGCTTCTTCCCTTGTGTATTAAGACTCCGCCCAAGAAAACTAAGCACCAAAAAAAATAAACAATTTGACTAGCTAAAAGCTAGGATTTCCTTTTCGCCAAAAAGAGGCATGGAATTTGACAATTCTAACCAAGATCAACTTGGTAGAGGTGGACCAGTTGGAATGCCGCTTAAGTGGTCGTGTAGCCACTATGTGAGTCTGTTCCGCTTGATGGGTTGAGCTTTGGCTTCGGCATGATTCGTGTAGCGTCTGCCAAAGCGGGAAAACATTTTGCAAATCCGGGCCCCAAAGACCAATTGGATAAATTTCTCATATGCCGTTCGAAGACCGGGTTGATAACCAGCTCGTCCGAGTCTCCGGTTGACAGCAAACAGTCCGTATCCTCGTAAGGCCAATTGAGGCTCATCTCACGCGTATATGGGATGAACCAATTCTCAAACGGATAGTTCTGGTAATTGGTAACGATCCTGTCACGCATTCGCGGCCAGGGAACGTAATCCATCCAAGCAGGGTGTGGATGGAGAAGTTGTGTCGGGCGCGGGGTTAACCAATCTGGGAGTCGCTCATAATTCTCTTGCGTAGGGTAAATTTGCCAGCGCATGATGAGAAACATGGAGTAGAGGACAGCAACCTGCTCCGGCAGAGAATCGACGTCTGGAAAGGCGCGCAGGATATCTGTGAAGACTTTTGAGACTGGATGAGAGTAGACGCTCCTCTCCGGATTCAGCAGCGAAGAGACACTCGGGTACGGTGGCCCGGCTAATTTTTGTCTAGGGATGCCTTGAGCCGCCTCGCGTTGTCGGCTATGGAGAAATTCCAAAAGGATGGTATCCAACGGACATGTCGCTGTTAAGTTTTGTACCGGAGCGGCGAATGCAGGTGGCCCTGGTTTAGAGGGAGTAGTCGAGGGATGTGGGTATATTGAAGACGAAGGGTTCAGCTGCGGATAGCGGAGGTTATCTGGGGTGCTGCGGTGAACAACGTCGACTTTGGGAACACTATGCATATCACTAAGAAGGAAATTAAACCCTAGACGCTCCTCGCAGCCGAGGTCTAGGCCGTGAGTGATATTATGGCGTTGCGAGTCCCATGCGACACGGAGAGATGCCGACGGAGGGCTTCCATTTGTACTGTTGCGGCGACTCCCGAAATTAGGCGCAGAATGAGTCGGAGAAGGCGTATCAAGGCTGGCAAGAGACTCGGGGTAGGATTTCTCGCCTGAAAAGGGGGTGAGGTGGTCGGTGTAGGACAATGGGGATGTATGCGAAGCGGGCGGGGCGGACTTGGGTATAGCTAGAGAATGAGACGCATCTATCTATATCAGCCCCAAACTTGAATTTTATTGGAATGCTGAACTCACCTCGCAGTTCTGGCTTAGCCATCAATGGTTGGAGAATGTCCATTGCCGCTTTCAGCCCTTGGCGGAGCTCCGCGTTCTCCGACCGAATCAACTCATTCTCACGCAGAGCTGCTTGAAGATCAAGGTAGGGCTTTTGTGATGACAGGTCCCGGACCTGTTGCTCCAGACCTTCTATGTGGCCCTTGGTCCTTTCTCGAATTGCGCGCTGCGCTTGGCGGTCATTGGCCCGCTTTTTCGCCAACTGATCAGGAGTGAGGTTGGCAACACCTCTTGACGACATGCTATTCAGTTTGCGCTTGCGTCCTGGCGTCGCGCCATTATCCAAGAGTCCTGCTCTATCTATCGAGGTCGCACGTTCAGGGATTCGCGAGTCTTCGGGTCCGTGGGGAGTAGATTGCGCACGTTCAGGCAAGTCGGACAGGTCGGGCGAAGGGGCCACATGCCCATTGGCGTCTGTAGTGCGGGTGGCCATGGCCTTGCACACGCGCTAATTAAGCTTATCCCATACAGGCCGGGGAAATGTAGAATAGAAAATCAGGAGCTCTGGAGTAAGACGTGTGACTGCTATGTGGGTCAATGTTTGAGATAGTCGTTTAAACTTTCATGCGGGCATGCGTATTATCGAATTCCTTCTTGGGAATGACCGTGAAACTGACTTTATTTGTTCCAAGTGCTATATATCTAGAGACAAAACCTCCAATTTTTAGGAGAAGCTGGCGAACATGGAAGCATTGAGTAACCAAGCCACACAAAAAAAGAATATACAGAGTATCAACGCCATATACAACCTTGGAACAAGCCCAAAGAATCAAGATTATGCACAAAGAAGTTCGGTCGTGTCGATCATATACAAAGGCTTTTTGTAAGTTTCAATGCAAGAAAGAAAGCATAAGCCAGATGAAAAGGGGAATGATGGAGGCAAAAGTTCAAAACGACAAGCTGATGGATTATTGGATCATATGGCCCATTTTCGAGATCTATCAAAAGTCGGCATATTAGTATCAATCCTTAACTGACCAATAGTTTGCAAACATACCTTAGTTTTAAGATAGCCTTCAATTTCAGAGCTCTTAATTCCTTTCTGACCGCCAGTTCGCCATGCCAATGGGATCATCGGCACCCGCTCTTTTACAAGAACCTCATGGTTAGGGCCCTCAATGGCGCGGACTTTATCAGGGTTATTGGTAAGTAGACGGATTCCCTCAGGGATGGCATCCGCGCCACAACCAAGATCTTCCAATATGGCCGTAGCTAGTCCATAGCTTCGGGCGTCAGCCGGATGGCGGAGCAAAAGGTTTGCCTCAACGGTATCCGACCCGAGATCCTGGAGATTGTATGCCTTTAACTTCTCGCCAAGACCGATTCCGCGACCCTCTTGACGGAGGTAAACAATCACACCACCTGTCGAATGTGACGAAAGGGACTGGACTTCTGGCGGCGCATCAGAGGCAAGATCTTCGACGGGGAAAGACATTAAACGCGCGGCCTCATCCAACTGCTCGCCGCAATCGCAGCGCGCCGACCACGCCGTTTCTCCCGTATAACATTCCGAGTGGATTCGCACCAGCGGTGGCTCGACCTGCTTTGGCGTTGATGACCCGGCCAGATGCTCATCATACCGGCTGCTCACTCGACCCGGGCGCAATTTCCCAATGTACGCGCCGCGGATCATTCGGTCCATCTCGGTCTCCCCTGGCCGCACGCTGTCCAAGCTCCGGCTACGAATATTGTTTCCAAATACAATGGCCAAATGCTCCTTTCCATCCAAGTCATTGTGGTAGAGGTGTAGGAACATTTCCGCTCCGTTGGTTGTTGGAATTCGCGCCCGCACAATACATTCCACTGCTGGAAGCTGCGGGAGTAATTTGAGGCCTTTGGCATCCTGGCTATTATGGTGGATATCTGCTGCTTGGTTTTGGTGAAGGATTTTGGTGGGATTTAAATCCAAGTTCAATGTACCCCCGGGGGTTGCAGGTGGGGTGAATGCGGGCGAGAGCAATGAGTCCGGTAGAGTCGGAGTGTTTTCACCTGACGCAATGCTCTCCTGACTCAGATCATCCGAGTGTCCATCTAATCTGCTTGGGGGCGAACGCGCATCGAATTTTGGTGAGGCGTGTGCCGGTAGGTCGGTCATTGCGACGGCGGAGGCGGGGTAGTCGGAAGGTGTGACGTGTGAAGCTCGCTGCAGGTGCTCTAGTATGCAGGGGTAGGAATTGAATAGTGCGGAAGCATCGATCTGACGGAAATATAGGGCAAATTCTGTTAAATGGAAAGTTTTAATTGCGAAGTAGACAATGCTCCGGCTATGCTCCCTCGGCATGAGGAGAAGCAGGCTGAGTCATCGCTTTGATACCGCTTACTCTAGCACATTCTCTCGGGCCTTGGTCCACCCAGGATAGGAGAATTGTGTTCGCCAAGAGCTTATGACATATCTCAGACTTGTTTGACCTGGAGTTACACTATCCTATGAAATGCATGGCTTTTTAGTGGCCAAGAGTCAAGCATTGAATATTGTCCTCCCGACTCGAAGCCGACATCGGGGAAGGAAAGGATAAACAATAACGGCAATTAATCACGCCACCAGTATATATATCAACGACATAGGTACATCCATCATCAATGCCCTGGCCATTTTCAAAGACATGGCTATATTTCATATCATGCGTGTCAGTGTCGTGAATGTTCGTTGAGACTGAAATGTAGTATGTGCCATCAATATCCGCTCGATGAGGGGGCAATCGGCATTATCCCGACCGAGAAGAAGCTGGATTGCATCGCCGTTGGGGGTAATAGCGTCAGATTGGTGTTTCTGCAACATGATGGGAATGACATGGCTTGAATCATTGTTGTTATGCCAACCCTTTTTTATTGTAGACATCTGGCACTGCTCTGCTCAGCCTCAGCCTCAGCCTCTGTGCGTAGAATCTCCAAAAACAGAATTATCATAGTTCAAAAAAGATTTGTTCTCTAGCTAAAGTATCTAGTCAAGATGAAAGCCCCATATCCATGGTAGGCATTCGAACTCCAGATAGCGCCGCGCTTAAATGGTATCATCATCACATCAGATCGTAGAAACAGTCTGGGTTTACTTGCCCAGAATATCCAGCACAAATCGCCGGTCAACCTCCATCTCTTTGTCGTCCTCTTCGCCCTCAAATTTGAGGCGATAGACGTCCTTCCTGGCACCCATCACTTCCGCGCGATAAAAAGTGGTGGTGTCCGGATATCGCGCGAGGACCTGCTTGCCCGCCGGATATGTAGACAAGTGGGCGCTGAGCTGGGGAATGGGAATAAGAGAGGCAGCGGTAGTCTTGTAAACCGCTCCCTGCTCACCATTCTCATTCGGCTCGGGATCCTGCACATCATATCTGAATCAGACATGACGCGTCAGTCAACGTAAATCGAGACGAGATGTAAACGACCTAACATCACTTACCGTTTCTTTGGGCCGTCGCCATTAACAGCCTTGATTATGCATTGGATCCCCTCACCCTCGACCCCTTGTTTATTCTTGTTGTGTTTGAAGACAACCTGAGCCCCAACCACCAGCAAGCCACTCCGTTCCGCGACAGTGCCCTTCGTCCCTTCTGACGGCCCTTCTTCGATCTTGACCATGATATTATCCTGGCGCCCCCCTTCGCGGGCTTGTGTGCTTGACGAGACGCTTGCGCTGCGTGGGACGATCCCCTTTGAGCGTGCGGTCTTGTCAGCCCCCGAGGCACTGGGGGAGTCGGTTACCGAACCTTCGAGTTCATTTCTTTTCTTGCGTGACTTGTTGAATGATGTGGACCGATGTGGAGGCGCTTCGGCTTCAGATGCTTTGCGCAGGGCAGTGAGCAGTTCTAGGTTTTTGATTACATCGCATGGCTCGTCTTGCATGATCGCGCGCTCGTCTTCGCTGAGTTTCTGGCTTAGGCGGAGCCAGCTGTCGAGTTGGTCGTGTTCGGCCATAGTTGGTTCTGCTTGGAAGCGCATATTAGTATATACGATTAATAATGAACTTGGGGTTGTTCGGATTAATTGTAAGCGAAGCGCATATTGGAGCTTTGCGGTATAGAGCCGAGGGCTCTAGTGCGGGGGGTACTCACGGTTGCCATTATGGGCGATCTTGTCTACCAAAGCTCGAATCTGCTGGGATAATGAGTTTTGTTGATCGAACTTCTCTTTAGATTTTCGAATATCCTGGCAGATCTTGGTCCAGAGCTCCAGTTCCTCATTATTGCCAAATCCGTTGTCTCTGGGTCGGGGGCGGTTGCGAGACATCCTCGGACCGTTTATCAATGGGGTAGTGTAAAGAATGTGCAAAGAGTATAAGCAGCTTACTGCCGACCAGAACCACTGTGGTATTGATATCTCCTTGAAGCAACAAGTTGTTTACTTGAAGGTTGGAGATGCGGTGATAAGGGCCCCGTTCCCCCGGGCGGTCGGGGTTGACACGCTAACTACTTTGGGACATGGCATTGTATGTGTCGACGTCGACAGTTGTATAGTGTATTTCTTGTCTTCTTTAGGGTATATATGATTAATTCTGGGATACTTTGACCTTGAACCTATTCAAACTATACTGTCTCGATGCGGCTGTACATTTTGGCTCTAATTGGCAGGATGCTTGCGGAAGTACTACCTCATTAGGAATCTATGACAGATTAGGATACCACTCCGTAAATCCCATAAACAAAAAGCCGGGAATGCCTCTGAGTGAAACCAGACCAATTCTCCTTTTCAAGCTCTGGACGTGTGCTATAGATATCATCCGGGACCCTCTCTGACAACTCTCACCGAAGGCTTGGCGTGGAATTTCTAATACAAGATCGCTGGTTGACCCCCGCCTTTCCCTCCAAACATCCATTTCAATATGCAGATACCACTACTTCGGCTGCAATGCGGTAAGTTTGGGGATGCTCAATAAGAGAGACATAGCTGACATACTTTCCTTTAGGCGTCAATAGCTACGACTGGGGTAAGCTAGTCCCGCTTGCGATTGTGTTCCCCGCACTAACATCCCGTCATAGGCAAGGTTGGCCAAGAGTCAGCAGCGGCCAAGTATGCCGCCACAACAGCCGCCCCGGACTTTACAATTGAGTCTGACAAGCCCTATGCAGAAGTAAGTGAGAGATCAATAGTAATATTCGACTTGATGGGCTCACAATTTATAGCTCTGGATGGGCACACACCCCTCTCTTCCATCGAAAGATGTGGAGACACAGCGTACCCTCCTCGACATGGTTCAGGATAACCAGGCCTTGCTGTCGACCGATGTGAGTGAACGATTTGGAGGCAAACTCCCGTTCCTGTTCAAGGTGCTTTCTATCCGTAAAGCGCTCAGCATCCAAGCCCATCCAAACAAGAAGCTCGCGGAGCAGCTCCATGCCCGGGACCCAAAGAACTATCCCGGTGAGTGGTACTTCGGATCACACTCGATACACGAGCACCCGGAAACATGGCTAACCGCTTGCAAGATGACAATCACAAGCCCGAGATGACCATTGCCATCACTCCGTTCGAGGGTATGTGTGGCTTCCGCCCGCTCGCCGAGATCACACATTTCCTCCAAGCTGTAGAGCCTCTGCGCACCCTTGTTGGCAATCAGGCGGCGAGTGAGTTCGAGCAAATTGTCAAGGGCAACGAAAACTCAGAGGAACCTGCTGTCATCCGAAAGAACAAAGAAGCGCTACGCTCCCTCTTCACCACGCTGATGGAGTCTTCATCCGAAAAGATAGAGACAGCCTGCAAGAACCTTATCTCGGCTGCGGACAATAGCCCCGACAGTTTTGCAACCCTGGCAGGTGATGTGGAGACGAACCCTACCAACCCCGCTGAGCTGGCTGCGCTTGCCAAGCGCCTGAACGGACAGTTCCCGAACGACATCGGCCTGTTCGTATTCTTCTTCCTCAACTTTGTCAAGCTGCAGCCTGGCGAGGGTATGTTCCTGAAGGCAGATGATATCCACGCGTATATTTCCGGTGATGTCATCGAGTGCATGGCCTCCTCTGACAACGTGGTGCGAGCGGGCTTCACCCCGAAGTTCAAGGACGTTGACACCCTCACCCAGATGCTGACCTACTCCTACGCACCAATCGAGGAGCAGAAGATCCAGGCCACAGACTACCCGTATGCCATTTTGAACGCCACTGCTTACTCTAGCGCCTCGTCCGTGATGCTCTACGACCCTCCTATCGACGAGTTCAGTGTTATCAAGGCCGACTTGAACCGAACTGGCGCCAAGGCCACTTTTGACCCGATCGACGGCCCCAGTATCTTCATATGTACACGTGGCAAGGGCAAGATTACTGTTAGCAACAAGACCGAGGAGGTCAAGGAGGGCTATGTTTTCTTCGTCGGCGCTACCGCTGAGTGTGTGATTGAGAACACTGGCAGCGGTGAGGGCGATGATGATGTCTTTACGACCTACAAAGCATTCTGTGAATTGACCCCGACCGGTGAGGAAAACTAGGTCAGCGGTAACTAAATTGTTATATTCTAATCTGTTGTGTCAAGATGGAACACCCCGTTCTGGGATCGGCGCAAACCTGTGAAGTGGCATGAGAGATAGGGATGACTTTGTGGTATGAAATAACAAAACCACAATATTATTATAAGCCATGCTGCTAAATCTCGAATTGACCACATGGGTGATGCAACTGAGCTTTAGATTTACTACGCCTAAGCCAATCTAATAATATGCCGACAGGCGCCAGAAATACATCCGGTAGACCAGGCGCACGATCTGTCATCCGTAAATTTGAACATATTGTTTAGTTTCTCATCATTGGCACTTGTGTATGAGTGCCGTTTTACGGTTGCGTGACGGTGAGAATCACCCGAGTTGGGCGACCACCCCACTGACCCCCTTAGCTTCCTATCAACTACATTCAGCCCCCTGGTGTCTGCACGCCGCTGATTTTGATTGCCACTTCTACAAGTTGTACGTCTCCTAATTTCCCGGTACCGGCAAAATGCCAATCTACTTCTGGAACTATTACTCGACTGTATGTGCGGCCTGGAAGCTCTTTTTTGAAGGCGCACTTGGTATCTTGTCTGGTATATTTCCGCTCTTTATCAGATCCTATCCACCCAGCTTTCATCAGTCCAATGATACAGTCGGCGGAACATCGAACTACACCTATACCATACGGCCGCTATTTCAGTCTGATCTGAAAATACTGGGCATAGGAGCTTCCGGCCAAGTCTACGAGGTTGACGAGGACATTGTCCTCAAAAGCTGTCGCATTTTTGAACAACCCGGGAGCGACGCCTCTGACAGCGACTGATACCACTACGCCTCAGATACCATCTTCCACTCTAGCTTGTTACAGGATGAACGAGCTGTTCTACGACTATTTCAGCAGTGGCCACATCCTAATATCATCGAAGCTATCGACACTGATCAAGCGGAGGGGATATTTCTTCACAGATATTCTCCGTTACCGGCGAGTGAGATACCTACACAGCCTACCAGAATTCGGTGGTATCGTGAGATCACCGCTGGTCTTTGCCATATTCATAAGCTTGGAATTGTTCATGCTGATATACGAATTGACAATATCCTGTTTAATAATCGGGGCTCTGCTATCCTTTGTGGTTTCAGTACTGCTAGTCCGTTTAGTCAACCAAATCTCGTTATCTCAGATCTACCGCTTCCGGTCAACGGCCCTTCACCAAATCTATCTGAGGTAACTGATCTATTTGCAATAGGCTCTCTACTATTTCAACTGGAGCATGGCTTCAAACCCGAGTTTTCTACGAATAGAGATGGGGAATTAGAATTGCCTAAGATACAGACCAATCATCAAGGAAATCGATACAATTATTCGAAAAGCTTGGGTTGGACAATACAGTCGCGCCTCAGAGATATTAGAGAACCTTGATTCACTCCACATTCCGATTAGCCAGGCTGTTTCTAATACTCAAGGACACTCAATTGCTCTATTGAAAGAGCGGATTAGGGCTTGGAGAGAAAGACGCGAAATCAATACTGGTAAGAACTTGATGTTTATACCCATTTCTTCACGACTAAAATTATCTATAGGCTCTGTCCTCGATGGCATACTCTCAGAAGAGCAGCTACAAGTACTAGCTGATTGTTATGGCCTGGATAAAGATGCTGAATCACGTTTTATTGGCTATGATGTGCCTTTGCAGCTAAATGAGTGAATATAAGCTCCAGGGAGCCAATGACCGCATTTCTAGTCTTTGAAGCCTAAGTCTAATTAATGTCAGACTCATAAAAATGTGGCCGGTTGGCAGAATATCATATAATGTAGGGGGTTGAGGCGGCGTGCAATACTTATGTCAAGTCACTTTCCAATACGATTCAAACACAGGCGGCATAAAGACCAAAGCTGTGGTCCCTTCTCTTCAAATCTTACATATATTTTGTTATGGGTCTTGCACCCCTTCACACTTTTGCTTTAGGCAATGGATCCCAGTGAGGTTGGCCAGGCTGCGATCGTGCTCGGTCAATGATTGCGCGCAGCCATCTTTACGCTCAGCGAGTCTTCGGCCAAGGCGGGGCTTTCCACCAAAACATATCATCTGGCGGCCGGTCACAACTTCTTCCACGATGATACCAGTCTATCTGCCAGTTGAGATTAGAGAAGGCGGTGAAACAAGCGGACAGGGATTAGAAACCAATAAGATGACATAACTAAGTAGACGCTGATTGGCCCATCCCAATTAGGTGTAGTGGTAATTGTCAGTGGGACCTGCATCCTTCCATCCACACTCGGCAAGCCAATTAGCTTCGACACACACGATTTATACTCAGTCACCATCCACCATCACCATCACCATGCCCGGATTAAGACAGCCTCATCTTCAAGAGCATAGCTCACCTGTCTATAAAAAACAACGTTTATCTGCCAAAGAATCCTCCATTTTTCCGTACCCCGCCATACCAGCCGAGTGCATTGATCATCATGAAGATCTTTTGCCGGATTCAATCGAACAATTTCGGCACATGATTGAGATACCAAGTAAGCATTTGCGTCTTCGACAATACAGCCTAGTATATGATATGCTAATTCACTCTTAGAAACAAACTCATCTGAGTGGGGCGATGAGAAAGCCGCAGCCGCGCGTGCCCTTCTTGAACCGAACGTGACCGATGCGAATCGGCAGTTAATTCGAACCTACCACCCTTCTCTAAGCTGCCTCCAACCTGTCTGGATGGTACTTGAGTGGGATAATAAGTGGATGTGGGCCATAGCGCCACATTCTGCTCCCAAAAAAACCACAGGTACTCACGCAGGGGGCTTGGAAATTCATGTTCAACCATCGGGATACATAGAGCGGACAACTGTCATATGGCCCAAACTCCAGAATGACCCTCTCAGTGTTATCCTCAACCCCCGAAAATTCCTTTCTCCAAATGATCTAAACCTGTTACGGGAGATGTTTCCGTGTGCGCTCGGCGTCAGGGTGTTCATAAGTGGGTTCATTGTGATTCTCTTCAAGAACCGCTCAGACATCGAATATTCCTGGCTCCACGATGGATTTGCAGACAGTTTTGGTTGCTTACGCCTACAGTACGATATCCTGCAGGATGAACCGACTCTGAACGTGATTCCCCGCGGTGCGGCAATTACCACCAGGCCCAACTCTGTCGATGGATACGCCGCGTTAGGTCTGAAGCTTCGTTTCCCTAGCGGGGAAGAGGCGATTACGGTACCCACGCACGCATTCGTCACTCTCCGAACGATGCTTCCAACGCCTCTGCTTCGTATGAATGATTGGTATCAGAAGATCAAGAAGAAAATGGCTCGATATCTCCCTATCAGAAGGAACTCATTTGTGCCAGCTGTCGGGACGGCTCGGCACCAAACAGCAGGTAATTCCCTTATAGGGAAAACCGTTCTCCTTGTCGGAGAATCGCAAGAGGTATGTGTGTTGAGAGAATATTGCCTCCTCTCATTTACGGTCTAAGTTACTAATGCAGTATGTACCTTCGAGCGATAGGTCGGTACAATCTCATTCACGTACGACCAAGCCAGTCGCAGGCCTCTTCGATTCCCAATAGGCTTTACCCACGATCTATCATTGATCACCAACGACCGAGGGCTTCCGCGAATGGTAACACCTGACCACACACCACAGGTATCCGGTTGGGGTTCATATCAGGATGTGTCAGATGGCAATCCCGTCTTTGTGACGAGTTTCAATGTTTCAACCGGGAACCAAATCCGCAGGATAGGCACGAGAGTATCAACACGTGCTCAACAAGCTATTGTCGAGGGCTCGCAGTATCTTTGGGATAAAGAACTGCTATCCCAAAGTGTCTCTATCCTATGGAGGACACAGTATGATCAAGACTCGCTACAAGGCCTCTCCGGTACAACCTTATGCCTCGGTTTGCTTTCAGATAAGACATGTCTTGCAGTCTGTTTCCAGAACTTTGAGACGCCATTATGCTCCTCAGCTGTCCTCAACGAAGATCATCGCGGTCCGTCAAACACGGAAGTTACAGGATTTCGTCTTAAAGGTGGATTTCTTTTACCACCGGATGTGAGAGAATGCCAAATTCTCTGTGATCCGCCAGAGACACCTGCTGGCTCTGGAATGTACCCTGGTAGGGATAGGGCTACTACGGGGCTGAGGAGGTCCTTCTCATCCCATCGTAGAGGGGAATGTTGGGGGAGGGGACTCTTCTGATTTTGAGTCAGAACTAAGTACCTGGAACTGCGTTGCTTCAATGAACAAGGTGGAATCTGCGAATATTATACTTTTTTAGTTTCCTTGAGAACCTGAGCACATCTTTGCCGTACGTTTCTATAACTAGAGGGAGCTTCATGGCAGTAGTTAGATCGGCATCGGGTATCATTCATATCTTCCATTGATCATCACTTCTTCGCTTCTTATAGTCACGTAGTAAATGTACATCAGACCCACTCTACATATCGAAATCTGTTGAAGAATTACAGGTGGGAGTTGCCATACCACATGTTGTACTATAGAACCAAGAAGGGAAGGAAGTGCAAAGAAGTCTCCCAAATTGCTGAAGGTACAAAATGGGAGACTGCGTAATGATAATAGCCCGTTCCATCATTCTACACTTTACAATCGATGAGAGAGAATGTCTACTAGATGAAAAAAAAAACGAAAAAAAAAACGAAAAACATACAACAGTTAGGATTCGCTGGTGGTCACCCACCCAACTACTTACTCACCGGCGTGATTCAAAGGACACAGAAGAAGATCTTATTTTGGCCCCTAGTGCTTTTTATCAGCTATTTTTAGAGAAGAAATTAGAGAAAGTTCTTCTTCGACGAAAAATTGCCCATCATTGTCAGGTAAGAGCTAATAATACTGCGATTGTCGTTTCAGTAAACGACCGAACCTACCGCAATTTGACTAAACGATTTAATGATACCGATATTATTTAGACCGCCATCGAGAGGCAGCTTCGGATATAGTCAGGTCTGTTCTCAATTACGTAGACGACCGTCACTCTCCTCTAACTAGCCGCTAGTCGGAAAGGGGAGAAAAGAGGAAAAGCCTCTATCACGAAGAGAATGCTCGATAAGAGAGCCACTCAGATTCATACTAAGTAGGATGCTTCTAGAGAAAGACCTATCTGGCGCAGCGTCTACAATCTAATGCAATGTGCATCCTCGACTGGCCCATTAGGCCCATACTATTAGGTGGATCCAATAGGGAAAAAAAAACATTACCAACTGAAGACTTATCATCTGAAGCGGCTCGTTACCCACGTCGAAAAAGGTGGGGTGTTAGACGGGCATAAGGGATGTGCCAGAAATAGTATGCGAAGAATTATATATAGAAGAGCAACAGAGACAGGAAAAGAACAATCGCAAAGGAGGACATGTGACTGGAAATGGAGCACCATATCCTACTATTCATATTCTGCTGTGAGCAAGCGCGTCCACATGAGCTCAGTGCCTACCGTGAAGCCATTATCGGGAGTATATTCAATGGGTGAAATTTTGCGGAGAAGGAGAACTCAGATTGTGTCGACAGAATTTTTAGAAGGTCATGCATATGTGAAGATGACGAGGTGACGCGAGTGATACAGTCTAAGGGAATGGCGCTGCTACGTTATATGGTGACTACCTCTTTACCCTATCTCGATATTAAGAGCGGTAGCATTCAGAATGGGATCTGCTGTAGTGGTTGTTGAATTGCTTTGGAAAAGGCTCTGAGGTCATCACTGGTTCAGTCTAATGTTTGTGCTCTACGGGACAACGTTTACTCCTATGCCGAGTTCATGGAACACTTTCGGGATTGTCGAGAAGTTCAAAATCCATGGAAATTGAGGAACCAAGGGGTTGATATTACTCACCTCTCGGAATTCGCTAGGCGTGGAGGTTGCTTCAAGAAAAGGGATGCTATCCTGTCTTCCAAAAGAAAAGAAGGCAAAGAGAAGGGAAGAAGGGGAGAAGGAGGAGCATTGATTCTGTACAAACAAACAGCTAGCTGACTGAATAGTTAGCTGGGTAGAAACCTGGCAGACCAGGTACCATGGCAGGTGATCTGTCTCAACAATATATACATTCACGTCGATCTTATAGTATCCTCAACGTGCACAGCCTTTTCACTTTCGTCTTGCTTCGGCTCATATTCAAGCGTTATCTCTTCATCCTTGAATTTCTCTGCACCCATATTCCAAGCCAGCTTAACCCCCTTGAACGCATCTTCAACTTCCTCCAGTGTCCTCCCCGATGTCTCAGGGAAAACGAAGAAGACGTGCAGGGTCATAGCGAAGGCGAAGACTGCAAAAATGATATAAGTCTTCCAAGTGATGTTGACAAAAGCAGGCGGAATGAAATAGCTCAGAGCGAAATTGAACGCCCAGTTGCTGGCTGTGGACAAGGCAGCGGCTTTGCCTCGTAGACGGAGGGGGAAGAGCTCCGACGGATACACCCACTCAATAGGGCCCCATGTTGGCGCGAAAGAGGCCACGATGAGATAGGAGCAAGCAATCACGACCTTGGCGGGAGCTCCTGTGATCAACCAACTCTCTTCGGGGATATTGTCCAAGCCACCTGGCGGGGCTGCGACACCGTAGCCTCCCATTAGGCCAGCACATAGGGTCCACCAGATGAAGAGAGAAATACTGCCTCCGATGAGTAATGGACGACGCCCGACACGATCCATGAAGAGGAGTGCGGGGATTGTCATAATCACGTTGATCACGGAGCTGATGGATGACGCCACCAAGTTGGAGCTGCCACTGAGGCCTGTCATTCCGAAAATATATGTAATGTCTAGAGATGTTAGTGGTAATTCCACCACACTGGACAGGAGGGAGCTCACAGTAGAGAATGGCGTTGATTCCAGTGAGTTGACACCAGATCTGGACAAAGACGACAATGTGCGTGCGCCAAAGCATATGCGGCCGGAAAAGATCGATGTAACTGTTGTCGGTCCTGTCGCGCTCTAATTCACAAGCATCCTTGAGCTGTTGGATCTCCATCTGGATAAAGTTCTCGTCGAGGTTGTTGTTGGCATGGATAGAAGAGATAATGTGACAACATTCCTCCCAGCGATCTTTCTTTGCCAACCATCGTGGAGACTCGGGGGTGAACAATAACCCTATGAAGAGGAAAATCGCGGGGATCATTTGAAGACCCCAAGGTAGCCGGAAAGCCAAAGGGCCTGTGAGGAAAGATGAGCCGTACGAGATATAGAACATGATCAAAACACCCCATGTGATCGCCCATTGCTGAGCACCCATTACCAAGCCCCTGAGATGAGGAGGCGCGAGCTCTCCAACATACACAGGAACTTGGGCTGAGCATATTCCGACACACAGACCGTTGACGAATCGACCCACGATTAACATAGGGATGTTCTGAGCGGCGCAACAGAGGGTACTTCCGATAATCCTAGTTGTGGATCACGTCAGCTACTTTCAGCTCAACGCATTGAAACATGACTAACCATACGATAGCTCCCAATTGAATCGCCGACTTTCGGCCGAAGATATCAGTCACGAAGCCCGAGATCAAGGCCCCGATGAAAGAACCCCCGGACATGGAGGCGGTGATTCCACCTTGCAGATTGGAACCTGGGCCGGAACAGTGAGACTCATCATTGAATGGAGGCCCATTAGGTCCCTCGTTGAAATAGCATCGGTATTGCTTGGTAGAAAGGCTGCATTGATTAGAAAGCGCTTGTTTCCTCCGAAGATAACTCTCACATGGCAGACATCGAAGACAGATCGAAGCCGAAGAGCGAGCCTCCGATCACAGCGATGACTGTGATCACATAAATATTGGTAATCATCATTGTAGCGAAGGACACGGAGTGTCGTAGTGATGAAAAGATGTCAAGAATAGTCGGACATCTGTAGACTATATATCTTCCATAAGAGAAGAAATTCGCACTATAGCATTACGGCCTATACAACTAAATTGGGTTAAGTTCGCCCCGCTTAATCTACCTTTAGCCGTCTACTGCCTCTCTATAGCATGAGGCACCTTTGTTCACGAATCGCGGGGCCCCAGGAATGCAGAGCCCAGGAATGCGGGGCCCCAGGAATCGTAATCAAGTTTGAGAAAGCCACGACAAGTGGCCCCACTCGATGACCTATGGGCGTTTTATTATCTGGGGTTTCCCTCGTATATTGCTCACTTGGTAGATCATTTACCCCATGGGGTTTGCCCGGTCCATTATCGTCGGCGTGCCTCGGCGTGGAATATACTTTAGGGAACTTTGTCCCGACGCAGACCATACACGGCTGCCCGAGTCACTGCGTAGCTAATATGACATCAAAGAGTATCACACGCTGCTTTCAACCATCTAAAACCACACCGGGAAAGAGATCTCGTTTACAGCTAGCACAAGAACTGTCCGTTTGCGGGTCGGTTTTCTGACTCGGCAAGATTGTACATGTTTCGAGTTGCCCAGCCCCTTGTTCTACCGGTAGCGAATGAGATCCTCGCTGGCTATAGATGGCTTTAGCTAGAGCTAGCCCGCTATCCGTGAGAGGTGATGGGCCCATCACATGCGAGATTTCTAGAGCGTCTTCACTCCAACGTCTCCATCTTTAGCCGCCAACCTTATTCCGTCCTTTTCGCTCATTCTGTCCTCCCAGGGAAGGTTTGCCTTGCTTGTTATCTCCCTTTTTTCAAGTCGAGTTTTGAATTGCATGCTGATTCCATCCAATGAAAGGTCATCGCAGGTCGCTGAAGAGGACTCTTTTGCCAACAAGAGGTCAAAGTGTCTGTCCCGGTCGGGTAAATTAGCACAGAGGATTTTCATTTCAAGATTGTAATTGGAGTTTCTTCCGCTCAAGGCCTTATTCAAGGGGTGACGACAACACCCAACCCCGACTATAAAGCTTTTGATTTTGAGCCGCCTCAAAAGTTAAACCTCACCATAGTGGCTCACTTGTTTCATTATCAGTATGGCTTATAGTATATTTGAGCCTTCGGTGTTACTAGCTAGTTATTTCAAGAAAAGAGTCATCCAATTCAAAACCAAGTACAGAGTATAGCAGGGGGAAGGGGAAAAGGAGGAGAAGGAATAGTGGAGACGACTGTATTTGTGGGGTTCACTCAACTTAGTCGGTGTGAATCGGCAGAATCCTCTTCATAACGTCACTGCTAAGACTGCATTTAGTCTCGAAAGGCCGAGTGCTCTTCACATCGTTATTAAGAAAACTATGATAACTATCATGCCACATTCATCAATTACAAACGTGAGGATATATTATGGGTTAAATCCGCGGGTAGACGGGTTAGACCCGACCCGTTCCTTGGCGGGTTTTTGGGTCCGGGGTTGATAAACAATGCAAACATGATATCCACTTACTTCTATGTGCACATTTGAATCAAAAATGGCTGATCGAGAATACAGGTTTCCTAGCTAATGGGGCAGGTGGCTTGAAATGAAATCGCTTTCAAGTTCCATCATGTGGTATGGTTTCTGTACAAGAGGGTTCAGCACCTATCAGATGGGGAGGGAAGGTAGAGTATAGATAGGGAAGGAAGGAACATGTGAAATCAACTGGTAATTATGGCAACTACCTATGCAAGCAAAGACGGTGACGTGCCAAGTCTATTCAATCAAGAAAGAAGGGAATCAATTCAGGAAGGATGGAGAAGGAAGAAGCAAGTGCAGTGGGAAGCAGCCTGTTGATACAACTGACACTTTGCAAACGTTGCAAACCCTAAACCTCTCGTTTAGCTATCTACCAAACAATCTATGAAATTAAACTAGTAAACAATGCAAACAGGAAGCGAGCAAGCAAACGAACAAACAAAACAAAGATCTAAATGTGGCAGCACGTGATACTGGTGATCGCACACTGAGGTCAAATATCCATCATGGCATCAAATTCAAAGGAACTCAACTCGAGGACTCAAGAGCCAAGGAGTTGAGGTAAGCATGTTTCAAAAATTCCCAAGCAAGCTGTAAGGCTCACTTGAAGCAGTCAAGGTGGTAGTTTTCAACCAGCAAAAACACGATCTCGGATGTCTCCTCACTGATACGTGTAAAGCCCTTGCACTAGGATGAAGAAGGAAGAAGAGAGAGAACCAATCTGGGGGGAGGACCAGGTATTTATAATTTCCCCAGTGGCTTAAGGTAAGAGCAATCAAAGGGTTGGTGACGATCACGGACTATAGATATTCCGAAGTAAAAAGAGACGGGCGGTGAATAGCGGTGATCGGGATTAAGCTGGAGTTAAGCTGGATGAGGAGCTGAGTTGTGGACCGCTTCACACTTCCAGTACATATTTTCAGCTGTGCCACGTGGCCCACTTCCTCCAGGGCTATATGGTAATAAGCAAAGCCTGGGTTTATGAGCTCAATCTATGTGTCTAGTTGAAAACTTATAGATAAGCCAAACCAGCCAGTGATGATGAGCTGGCTGCTGGGTAGGACCTGCTTCCCTCTAGGATCTCTTTTCTCCTGATGCACACATGTATATACAAAAAGAGTCACATACAACTATCTTTCTCTCTCAATTCGTTCCTTTTTCCCTGCTCTAAGCGGTCCCATCCAAACTAAGTCTCTATCCTCACAGTAGCTTCGGCACATGCCCAACGTGCTCCGTTTTTTGATATAGTTCCGGGAGAATTATCAAAATCCAAGTTATCCAACCAGGAAGAACACCTGTTTCATATCACCAGGACCCTTCATTGAGTATTTATTAGGGCTCCTAGTTCATATGAATCTTTGTTGAAACTATGTATGTTGTAAGCTGCCCGGGAGATAAAGGAAGTTAGGGCTACCGAGCCTTTCGCATCTACCCGAACTGATAGTTCCCGAGGTCCCGCTCGTGCATATGAGCGCAGAACCAATCAGCGCCCAACGGACTCAGGTCCCGCTGCCCCACAGCTGAGGGCATTGAGGATACAAAAGCCCATGGCTGAGCGGAAGACTTTCAATCACTCAAACCACCATGTCGTCGAACGAAGATGGCCCTGGGCCGCAGCTCGGTTTCTGGGAAAAAGCAGATATCCCATTCATGTACCTGTCCCTTTGCGGCAGCTTGGTATATGCTGCCATTGCTGGTGTTTTCCGGGGTAAAGCCAGCCCTAGGCGTTACGATCACTATGTTGTGTCCGCTGTGGTTCGCAAACTCCTTACTCGGAGGTCAGATCGTCAGATGCAGTATGTTATTCTCTCTCTCCAATTCTTCTGCAAGTTGCAAGAAAGCAAGCATCAGAATGGACACGACATTGACATTGTATTATTGCACAGGTACCTCAGCCCCTCAACTCCAGCGGCCTACGAAGGCGTTATGAAAAAGCACGGTCTCAAACCCGAGACTGTCGTACTCCCACACAACACCGAGGGCCACTGGATCGGAAACAAAGACGCCAAGAACGTCATTATATACTACCACGGTGCGTCTATGATCCCCACCGTGTAACACTCGGAGAAATTAGCATCCACAGAGGAAAAAGTCTAATCATAACTTAAATGCATGATATCAACCAAAATACTAACTTCTAAAAACAGGCGGCGGTTTCGCCGTCCCCGCCATGGCAGCGTACTTCGAATTCTGGCTCGACATGCTGAAAGACTTGGACAAAACAGGCGACAACCTAGCCGTCTTCTTCCCACGGTACTCGCTCACCCCTGAGTCGACGTATCCGACCCAGATGCGACAAGCCGTCGAGGCCCTGCGCTACATCATCAACGAGACAGGCCGCTCACCATCCAACGTGATCATCGGCGGGGACTCAGCGGGCGGAAACCTTGCCGCTGCGACGCTGCTGCACCTGTCCCACCCGCACGCGGAAATCAAGCCGCTGGAGCTGTCGGTGCCGTTGGCGGGCGTCTTTGCGTTCTCGCCTTGGATACACTTTAGTACGGACTGGCCGTCGATAGAGGAAAATAAGTGGAAGGATATTCTTCCGCGGGAGGCTTTGGAGAGGTGGACTATTTCTTACCGTGCCGGTCTGCCGGAGGATAATTGGAACCAGCCGTTTGATGCACCCCCTGGTTGGTGGGAGAGTGCTAAGACGGAGAGGATTTTGATTCTTGTTGGTGAGGATGAGCTTTTGCTTTCGCCTATTCGGGAGTTTGCGAAGAAGGTCAAGGCGGAGTTCAAAGACATTACCTTTGTGATTGGGCAGGATGAGTCGCATGATGCGCCGTTTTTCACTATGATGAAGGAGGAGACTCCGACTCATTCGGCGTTGCGAGAATGGTTGGCTTCTCGGCTGTGATAGAAACAGATTTGTATTGTTCCTATCTCTTGTACCAAATTACAGATGAGATATCCAAATATGACACCAGTTGCAATATTGAGATAGGTCGTGTCTCTCATAAACAAGTAGGATAAGCTCCCCTGACTCGGATTAAACATAACAAATATAGGGAACAGCATTGAAATATTTCTACGATGAGACCTTAGCAGAGAACTTTGCCGCCGCAGTATCGAAAAACTCGCTCTTCTCCTGGATATCGGTGAGAAGGGGGTGCGCGGGCTGGACCTGCTGTAGCCGGCTAGACAAGATAAAAGTTAGCATCGAGTTCACTATCTTCTTCTCCGATAGGATGACATACGACTCCAGGTCCTCGGTCTGCTTGCCAGCCAACACATTCAAAACAATGCTATTGGCAATCAACTCCACGTCGGTAGGGTATGTCTCAAGGGCAGCGGTGAGGGCAGCCTCAGCCTCAGGAAGACGACCCAGGTGGATCTCAGCGATGGCCTGACCAACGATAGATAGCGGTGCGGAGGTACCGGGTGCGGATGCGAGCTCCTCGAAGACGTAGAAAGCAGACTGGTACTTGTCGCCGCCCTGTACAGAAACACAAATCAGCACTCATAGACCATCAACCATCAACCAGAAGATTATGGGTTTATCATCAACATACAACTCTCAAGCCAACCCACGACTCGGCAACGTTGACCAGCAGCGAATCCTGACCCCAGCGCTTGGCAGCCTGAACCTCCTTGAGCGCGAGATCGGTCCGGTTTTGTACGAGATGGATCTGGACAATGAGGGAGACGCTAGGAGAGATAGAATGTCAGACCAACATGCTCCGTTATATTTGCGGCCTACTTGCGACGGGGTAACTCACGCCTCGAGGTTACCCTGGTGCTTGGACAGCAGCGCCAGCGCCTCCTCGCTGTGTCCCTGGGCCTGGAGCACAGTAGCAGCAAGAACCTGCACCGTGTTGTTTTCGGGGTAGTTCTCTGCGAGCTCTTGTGCGAGCTGCAGGGCAGCGTCTGTTTTGCCGGAGGACTGCAGTGCCAGGGCCCTGACGGCGGAGAGGTCAGGGCTGTCCTCTTCGATGGAGGGCTCGGCGAGGCTTTCTTCGAATTGGCCAAGGGCAATCTGGGCGCGGAGTCGGAGGACTTGAGCGGGGAGCTGGTTCTCGGGGGAGAGCGCGGCGGTCTCGAAGTCAATCACATTCTGGTATTGGCCTGAGTGGAAGGCGCTGTGGATGTTGAGGAGCTCTGCGGGGAAGCTGGGTTAGCGTTGATCGGAGCTGTAGAAAGAACTGGAATGCGTACCGCCCTCTGCAGAAAAGGGATCCATGTTGGCTGTTGTGGAAGAATTGGTTCGAGGGAAATGGGTGTTGTTGATGTCCTGGCCGCAGTTGTTCACGGTGGCTTTATGGGGAAGAGGCAACTCTGCCGAGATAACAGGGGCAGGTGGGCCGACCGCTCTTAGATACACATTTCGATCATCTAGTTACACTTCTCCCACTTACTTCAACGACACTTGTTTAACAAATATATGCTTCATTCTATCTTTTCATAATTGAAAGTGAAAAATATATATTTAATTCCGGATGAAACGCAAAAAAGTACCCCGATTTTGCTTACTGGCACAAGGTGATTTGTCGCCAGCGATAATAGACAATAATATGCATGGGGGTCCATGATCTGCCTTGGATCATGTAACAATCTTCTTTCCTTGGAATCACCGAGAAAACTTCTTCTTCAAGGCCCGACATGATTTGCGGGCCTTGCTTGATACAACTCGCGCAATCACAAGAGCCAACCACTGAGGCTCAGGCTGAGAAGACGACGGTGATGAAGAATGACAGGTGTCTTCGGAGGATCTCCCGTACGGTGGCGTTAAGGCTCCACAGAACGGGAGGAAGGAATCTTCGTACTCCAGGTCAGTCGGAGTCCTGACTAGTGATACCGCGTCCTCTTCTTCGACGCGGAACTCGATGAATCTTCGCCTTTGGCCCTGTTGGTTGAGACAATTGTGCAGCCGACGGAGAGATGACTTGCTGATTAGTCTCGGGATTGGAGGGTCATGTTCCAGCTTCAACGGACCTAGAGCTCGTAGGTCCAGGGAGGAGGAGGACCGGGGCGATGACTGGGGAGATGGCTGGGGAGATGGCTGTTTTTCGGACCGAAATGTTTCGTCCTGGTGGGCTGTAACTACCTGATGGACTTTGAGGGTCCTGTGAATCATTTTAATGTATATCGGAAGAGATATAGATATAGATGCGTACCTTGGGTCTATGCTCCCGTTGTCCCCAGAAATAATATCGAGCCAGTTGAAGTCCATTTGCACATATGCCATCGTGCGATGTTGTATATAGCCCTTGGTCATTTGTGAGGAAGGGTTGGTTCTGGTCTTGTTCCCGTGGGGTGAATCGAGTATTGAATGTACTCTATAGTGAGGGCTAGTTGAGGGATACTTGAAGTGGATTCGATTTATACCTGAGGGCTGAATGATGTAAGTGTCAGAGAAGATAGATGAAGAAATAAGATAAACCAAGCAGAGAGCTGGATTCAAATGGCTGTATATATAGACCGTTATAGCTACTAAGCCCTCTTGAGAGCCGACATCGAGTTCCGATCGTAGTTGAAGGTACTTTCCCCAATAGAGGTAAATTAGGGCTACATCCATGGTTGCCAGGCCGAAAGGTATTTCGGCGATGATAGAAAGAGCGCCACAAGTATCGCAATAAGTAAAGTACATCTTGAAACCGGGCAGCACCCAGACTGCGGGAAACCTTATATACATCATAATGATGGTGAACGACTGCGGGTGTGAATACAATATATCACCAGGAGTGGAGGGTAGAAACTCAGGGAAATGAATGTGTACAGCTGGGTTTAGGTATATCTATGTAAGTATAATTAATGAGCATAGTCCGAGATAATTAGTGAGTTGTTACTCTAGGTGTGGTTTATTCTTCACTTCTACAGGACATTGCCGTTTAACAGAGGAGTGCAACAAACTAGTTTCATGATGTAACTACTAGTTAACTAGTATGTGTCAATATTTAGTTAGAATAGCAAGTGAATGATTTTTATTTATCCTATATTCGGAAATGAATTTGCTCTGCTGAATAAACCGGATTCTCGATTAACCCTGCCATCTGAATTTACCCTCGCGTAGTGTCTTCACGACACCCAGGGGCATAGACTGGCGATTCACGGCATCCAGGCTACCGTAAGTACGGACCATCCCTTCGTGGTAAAACTCCGCCACCCATTTCCAATAGGGCGTCATTGTATTCCAGAAAGCATTTATAGAACCTTCAGAGGACCTTTGATCAAGGCACTTTTGCTCCCTTACCAAGCTCCAAGTCGGATCAACACTCATCTCATCCGGAACCTCGGCTAGTTGCCTGTACACGCGCACAAAAGAGGAGCTAAATGTTTCTGGATACCGGGTGTAGTCTTCCAGGGACATGAATGACGTGGATTCGACCCCCCATTTGCTCGAAAATGGGATGCTAACATCAGCACCGTTCCTTTTGAACTCTTCTTTGTCCCCCTCGTATTCCTTCTCCTCCATCAGCGAGGCCTTGTGGAATAGCTTCTGGGGAGTTTGTTTCATATTCTCACGCATGGCGAGAAGTCGGACGAAGGGATTGAGAAGACCCAGGCCGCCGAGTTCAACAGGATAATAGAAGAATCCATCTGGAAGATCATGGATATCGAACCGATCTGCGATCACAGTGCGTAGATAGTCAGTGACACCACTGATTTGATTCGACGAGCTTTTATCATCTGAGATTTTGTTGAAGAGTGTGCGCTCGATGCGGCTCAGGGTGGAAATGGCCATGTCGATATGGTCCCGACCAAAGCAAGTGGCTGGCTTTGCAAAGTTGTTGGTAAAGAAGCGGCCGAAGTAGCTGTTCCATGCCTGGACCCAAGCGAACACACTTTTGCAGGCCGAAAGCTGTCGTAAAAGCTCTTCGATGTGCTGGTCGACCTGGGTTTGATCGATTATAAATCTCTCTTTCTCCGCATCCAAAACCAGGAAGCCCCAGCGGATATCACCGGTGGGAAGAGCTGAATCTTTTGGAGTTTTATTCAGGCCCATCTGCACAGTTCCCGTCTTCTCCTGATTGAACTTCAACCCCATCACCTGAGTGAACTGGTCCATTGCCCCCCATGCCTTGACGCAAGTATTCTCTGCCCCCCAGAACCAGAAGTCATCATGGAGCCGGTACAGAAAGGCACCGTCTGTAGCTTGATTGACTGCGTAGTCCATACAAAAGAGAACAGATTCTCCGAAGCAATCACTCAGTGTATGACTCATTGGAACGCCACGCTTGCGGATTTGAACAGAGCCCTCGGCTCCATCTTGGGCAAACTTCAGCGGGGCCTCTAGGAACACAACAAAGAACTTGATCCACAGCTCAGAGACCCCAAAGAACTCCAGCACGGTGAGCATGGTGGCATGGGGAATTGAAGGGCCAAACCACTCAAAGTCCGATCGGATTGCAGTAAAGTCCCCGCGCTGACGCTTATGGATGATGGATTCTGTGATCAGAAGGTGCAAAAGGGAGTGCTTTTTATCCATGGGGTTTTCTGGACTGGAATTCGTGGTGTCATCATACTCCCGAGCGCCTTCGGCGGTTGATGTGGGTAGTTGGCTCATGAAATATTGGTCGGCGTATGTCATCCTTCGAATCTCGTTGAGATTGACAGCACCCAAGTTGGCGTCTCGACCAAGGAAGTACTTTCGCATCTCCTTGTGATCGTCTGGGATATCCTCATTTAAGGGCTTCCAGGCGTTCGAGTGTAGGAATGTCTCAAATACAGTTCGCAGCTTCACAGCCCACTTTGTCCCGAGGTACTGTAGCAGAAGGGCATCAAGAAGGTCTTCGTCCATGAAAAATCGATATTTACCATTCAGCTGGCGGCGCATCTCAACAGAAACACCATCTGCGGCTCCGCTCCAGGTCCAGCTGTCAAGCGAGGAAATGCGCATGTTGAGCACATCTGCCACTTCCTGGGCAACCTCGTTGTTCCGCATGAACTCTTTCAGAATGGATGTCTTCTCATCGCTAAGAAGGTCGGACTTGAGAAGTGCGCGAGAGACCCACTTGAGTTCCTCTACATTGAACCAGTTATTCTTTGAGGATAATTCTGTCCCAAACGACTGGATACTTGCTCGGAGATCCATGAGTGCCTGTCGAGAAAGGTTGGTTTGTGTGAAAAGATCATCAAGATAGGACCGAATTGCATCTTCATTGACATGTGTCGCAGCAGTAAAAGTCAAGGACTCCCAAGTCGCGCGTTGCTCAGGCATTTCCGCCCGCGCAATGTTGTCGGAGCTCGAGCCCGAGCTCGTGGATTTGGAAATGATGCTTCCATCCAAGTCCGACAGCCACTCAGTAACCAAATTGCTGTAAAATGCACTGTGCTCATGCTTTTTCTCGAGGTATTGCAACTCCTTTTCAAGTTGATCGACACGATCCTGTATAGCTGCCGGGGAGATGGAAGGATCGTAGCGACTTTGGAGAAGAAAGCGATGTATGCTCGTATGATCTCCCGGCTGCAAACGACCTACTCGCCAAATAATGACTTTATCTTCCGATTCCTCAGGTGAGGGATCGGCATCTAGATCCAGGTCATGTTCGTCAAGCAAATCCTTGGGGTATCCTTTCAGGCGTGTGAGTCCATACAGCAAGGCCTGAGCACGGGTGCGTAGATCTGGGGCTTCGTTGGCAACTTCAAGGATTCTGGCTTTGCGCCGATCAAATAAGGCGCGTTGCTTGGAGAGTTCATTGATTTTCGTGGCAGTGATAGACTTGAGTGTCTGTGGGAGAGCACCATTTGTCGTCATTATGTTAAAGCTTTGAGTGATGTGAGAGGAGCGTCCACGTTTTGAGGAAAAAAGTTGAGATATTTTGAATTTGCAACTGGAGCTGATAAAACGAGGTGGAGATGCTGGGGGTCGGAGGGGATTAAGTAGCAAAGGCAGATTGAATCCACGCTGCAAACAGTATAATGTCCGAAAGAATTAAGTAAATGTTATGACACCAAGGTGAAAAGAAAAGGAGGCGGTACGAGGCGGGCAACGAATTGAGGTTAGCGATGGAAGCTGAACGATTTGAGGCTGAGATCGGATGCCTAATCGGGTATAGCTTCCACAACTGGTCAACATACGTAGCTGAAGTTGAGAATAACATGATTTAGTTGGCTCCACGATATTCTTCTCAGTAGGAAAAATCGGCTGAATTTGGAAACGGGTTTTCTACGTATAATCAATAGACATCTTTTTCTGGTAATAACAAAAGCGACATCCAACAAGCCGATACAGTTCCAACCACTCATGCAGAGTCAAACCGAGTAGCGAATCCTTCCAGCATACTTTGGATTCTCTCTTTGTGGTACTTGCCAGCAAAAATTGCATTTGCAGACTTGATGCACATTTCCAAGAGATCAGCACGACTCAAGCCGAAATGCTGTGCGGCCAACAAGTACTCGTTCGAGACGGGGCTACAGAAAAATCCCACATCGTCGGTCTGTGCAAATAGATAGTCAGAGAGGAAATAGAACTCTATCTCAGTGGGAAGAGCTTACGCAGAGTGCGATAGGGCAGTCTTCGTGTCGCCAATAACCGAAATGGTGATCCAAGAAACCCCCGTTAACCATCTTTGCATGGACATTACAAGAGATACACAGTTCCAGACAGAGCCTGCGCCGCGCAATCTCCTTCTTGACCTCGTCAGGCACATGGATGACATGGCCTAATCGGTCGGGTTGGAATGAAAGAAGGGTTGATAGCTCGCTCGCAGAAGCCGAAGCTGCTGTCTCAGCAAAATGAATGGTGATTCCTAGACCGTTGGCTTTTGCGTTCGAAATTGATTCTTTGTAGATGCTGACATCGCCTTTGGTTGGGTTGCCGCATATATCCACCCCCACAAGACCGCGCGACTTGTTTTCGATGGCAAGATTGACGATCTCATCCGCCTCTGCTGCCGTCATGCTGCCGCGATCGATGGCTAGAATTAAAAACACAGACATCCGTTGTGTTTTACTTTGGAATGTCTCGATTGTAGCTAGAACTGAGCTGATGTATTGCTCTCGAGTGATACCAGGAGATGCTCTTGGTATGGTTCGTAGCTCAAGATACACTACTCCATCTCCAAGAAAGTCCTCCAGGACCGAATTAGTAGCATATACCAAGCTTTCTAGGTCGTTGCAGAGTTGGTAGGTCAACTTGGAGAATGTGGAGAAGAACCTGAGCCTTGGTTAGCATGGAAAATAATTATTTGCAGCATCGTTCGGTGTGGACACAGACACCTACGTTTCCAGTGTATAATCGACCTTGCCCGGAGGCATCAGTACCAGCGGATCCTCTACATTTAGATTGGGATTGTGCTCTTTTTTGCGTTTCCAAATTTCATGCAGGCATTGGCGACTGATGCTCCCGCTGAGATGAGCGTGCAGCTGTAGTGTGATCGAGTCAGAAAAATCGAAGAGGGGAACGAGGCATCAATCATACCTCAATCTTCGGTAGTGCTTTAGTGAATATCTGATCAACTGGCTTTGAATCATCCATGGCTTGGTCAACTAATGAGGGATATTAGTAGAAGCGGGGCAGGTGACTTTCTGCCTTTACAACTTCACATGAACACCACCACCTTGCTATCTCACTGGCTATACTATATGGCCCCCACATTCAAGATAACCTGATATAATGCTGATGTACCAAGCAGATAAACTCGAGCTAATTACATCGCCCAGAATACGCCGAGGGATTGACATCGCGGCTCTTGATAGGCAGGGACTTGACCTCTTTGCTATGGCGCTACATGACCGACTTTACCTTGAATGAATTGGAACCGAGTTTCTAATTCGCGTGGCGTAGCCCTTTGTCTAGTATTTTTGTTTGAAGGTTGGTTTGATTCCAAAGCACCATGTGCTCTCTTTGTTCAACAATCATCCTAAAATTCCCTCGAGACAACCATCCTGCCAGTTCATCAAGTCTGAAACCACCTGAAACTACGCAATGGCCAAGATTCTTGTCACTTTGACATTGCCAAAAGAATTGTCGAGATGCTATGTCAGGTCGACTGTCGTCTCCTTAGATGGCCTGCAGCCGGCCTACTGGCTACGCCGCGGTTTGTTTGTTCATTTGCTTGGCGTGGGCGTTGTGTTTGTTTGAGTATATTACGTGATAATACCTAAAGCACGTGATTGACGTAGAATACATATCACGTGATGCTGGTCATTGCCACGTGACTAATACGTAGTATATAACTATCACGCGATCATAACATACTTAAAGAGCATGTACGGGGAAGAGAGAGAGACTGGGCAGGAAATGAGGGATCAACCTGAAAGCCACCTACCGAAGGTTCATTACTATATGGGGGTAGTCATGCTACCTTATCGCGATCATCTCGAATGAATCGAGGACATGTCACAGTCTACGGAGCTTGAATTATTGCGCATCATCATGGTAACTTGGTCTGCTACGTTTTATTTATTGTAGTTTTCTACCGTTTGTCACGAGTCTACCATAATAAGAATACTGTAAAAGTGGCGGTGTGATGCTTTACAACCAACATCTATGGTGAATGTGGACTTATCATATCCGCGGGATTAACCTGCCTACGACATAGAAGCGGGTTGGGAATCGGAATGAAGTTCACTACGTAGTGCAAGTAACTACTTACCACAGTATATGCAAGCCGTTAACCCTTGCATGTTCCTAGCGTGCCTTGATGGACTTAGATTACACATTCAAATCATTCAAAATCCGCCCTCTAATTCTACCCCACGAATATTCCAAGCTCATTAAACTTCATCATGACTGTGTCATCGGTACGGGGCCTGGACGCGGTTGCTGAGCCTCGATCCAGTGGAATAAACGTTATTGTTGTCGGATTATGAATTGGAGGATTAGCTGCAGCCATTGAATGTCATCGCAAAGGTCATTCGGTGACAATTATCGAAAAGGCCTCCTCACCACGAGCTCAAGGTATGTCAATCCTGATATATATCAATCTGGAAAACTTAAAAAAAAGCATCTAATCAGAAAGAAGGTGATTGCATTGGAATTGGAACCAACGCGGCTCGTGTTGTCTCCAAATGGGGGACAAATGGGCATATTCACCGACAGCTCGAGGCCCAGGTCAGCCATGTCCGAGCAGTCGATATATATGACTATGCGGGGAATTTCATCGTGACAAATGCGATATCTGGGTTCCGAAAGGGCGATGGGTTCTTTTTGAACCGGTGTGACCTGGCGAATATTCTTTATCAGCATACGCAGAACTTGGGATTGAAGTCCAGTTCAGTGCGCGAGTCTCAGAATACTTCGAGACAGACTAGAGGGCCGGCGTGGTGGTCAACGACCAGAAGGTGTCGGCTGATTGTGTAATCGCCAGCGATGGTGTGCATAGCAAAGCTCTAGGATTTGTGACGGGCAAGGATCCGGCGCCCGTGAGTTCGGAATATGCAGCATTCCGGGCATATTTCGACGCCGACGAGATTGCCCCAGACCCTGAGGCAAACTGGTTGCTTGCTGGTGCAGGAAAAACTGACCAGGCGTTAGCATTCGCGGGCAAGGGGTGCGAGTTCACCATGTGCACTGTGAAGCTGGGCAAGGCTGTGATGTGAATCTTTACCCATCCGGACCCCAAGGGCAATGCTCGCGAGTCCTGGACAGCTCCGGCTAATGTTCAGGATGTGCTTGACCAGATCAAGGACTGGCCTTGCTGGGACCAGATTGCCCCAATAATCAAGCGGACACCGCCCGGGAAGGCGATCAATTTCCCCCTCCTCACTAGGCCTCCCCTTGAGACATGGCTATCTCCCGCAGGGCGAGTTCTCTTGGTAGGAGATGCTGCCCACCCCTATCTTCCTATGGCTGGACAAGGTGCTAGTCAGGCTATTGAGAATGCGGCTGCGTTGGCAATTTCTCTAGAGCTTGCAGGGAAGAACAGCGTGCCCCTCGGCTTACAGGCTGCGGAAAAGATCAGGTTGATACATCCGACACATCCTTAAGGTCACTAATATTTTCGGACAGGCATAAACAAGCCACTCTGATCCAAACAGGTGGCAAGGAGAACCACGATTCATGTCACCAACCAGATTGGGACGCAATAAAAAAGAACCCGGACCTGATGAAGACTCCACGGCCAACGTGAATCCTTGAGCACGATTGCCAGTCCTCTGCATACGAGGAGTTTCCCATTGCTGTTGAAGCTATATTGTTCCATAAGGAATATGTCCCCGTCAACGTTCCCACGAAAGGAAAGCACAGGGTGAACGACTTCAAGGGCTTGGAGCAGTCTCTTGGCTCACAGTGGGAGACGAAGACGAATTCCTAAGGTACAAGGGAAGCAGTTCCACTATTTATTATGAATATTATAACAACATGCACTTTTCTGTAGGATTGGTCATCCTGTTTCATCCTCGTTTCACTATAGCTGTTCTAGGTATGGGTCTGTTAGGTATATGTACCTTTTATATGAGTGGGCCATACAAAAGATACCTAATTCTGATAACTTCCGTTTTGTGGGGCATACCCACCCTGACGTTGGATATCATAAGCATAAGTCTCCGGTACGGAAAGATGGTTCATCCGCTCACGAAGTCAGCCAGCCCTGAATTTGTAATGTATCGAGAGTGAAACTGGGAAAAGAGCTAGGTATATTAATTCTCCTGGAGCCGCCTGTTCATCTCATTAATTTGCTTCTCATTCAGAACTATCTCCCCTCCCGGCCACGCAAGGTTGCTTACTTTCCTGTTGAATCGAAATGACCAACACGCAGAACCGCATCATCGTCGTGCTTGGGTCTACAGGACACCAAGGCAAAGGCGTAGTGAGTTCGCTTTTAAGTGACGATTCGCGAGAATTGTGGCATGTCCGCGCAGTCACTAGGGATGTCAATTCCGTTTCAGCTCAATGTCTTTTGAATGATTTTCAAACCTCCGATCACCGTCTTAGCCTTACTTCCGCAGATATTTTCGATATAGAAAGTCTTCAGAACGCTTTCTCTGGGGCTTACGGTGTGTTTGCGGTGACGAACGAGATTAATTCAAGAACGGTCGAAAACGAGGATGACCTAAAGCTGGAGCTCGAAAGTGGGAAGAATATCATTTCCGCCGCGAAGATTTGCCGCATTCAGCACTTTGTTTTTAGTAGCTTGCCAGACATGAGACGAGCGACTTCTGGTCGCTTTGACAAACTTTTCCACATGGATCATAAGTTTATCATTGAGCAGTGGGCAAAGCAAGACCTGCCTGCGGTCACTTGCCTTCTTCCTGGTTAGTCTCCCTGCTGACGCCAGGCGTTCCTGTGGATTTTAACCAACCATTCTCGAAGGTCTCTTCTTCACCAACCTGGATCGTCCGCAGTACTGTCGAAGAGAAGGTCAGTTCTGATAGAGAGTTTCCCGTGGAAAATATTTCTAACTAGTGTAGCAAATGGGGTGGTTCGTTTTTGTCCCCCGATTCCGCCTACAAAATTAGTTCAGTGGGTTGATCCTGTACATGATATGGGTATTTTTGCTGCAGGTAAGTTGTGATATCGAATCTTTTGTAGTCTCTTCTACCAAGGGAGACTTGGTGGGATATCCCACGCCTTGCAAAGGGATACTGGAGAGAAGTTACTTATGGCCAATGAGAAGTGCAAGGCTAAGAGTTTCTCTTAGAGGTATTCGCTTTAGGCATTGCGAAAACAAAGAACAAAAATTACGTCGTTTGCAGTCCGAAATTACGGATGGGCGAATTTGCATCCACCTTTACGCGCGTCACTGGCCAGCCAGCGATTTATTCCCCAATCTCGATGGATGAATGGGCTGATTTGGCGTCCAGAGCGGTAGGAGTTGGATTCAAGGAGGATATTCGCCAAATGATGGAATGGATCTCGATAGCGCCCGAGGACAAGATTTGCTACGGGGCTCTTGATCCAGCCGAAGACTCTTCCTGGGAGGAACTCCACCTACGAGCTAGTTCTTTCGAAGATTGGTTAAGACGTTCTGGATGGAGAGGCCCTCCAGAGGGAAAAATCTGATATGCTTTGATGATGCTCACGTCTGTGATTGAAATAGTACCCAACTGTTAAGCCAAATTTCGATGCCAATTATGACATTGCTCTTGGAGCGAAGAGAGAGAATGGAAGAAGGATAGATTCTCTACGAGATCAAGCCATTGTCGGAGTAAACCGTATGTGTAATAATGGGGGTCCAATCCGTGGATTTCTCGTCAACCTCGCACAGGATGTTGATGCCAAGGTTCTGCAGCTTAACAATCGTCTAAGCTTTTCGTTCTCACTCCTCTTGAACGGTCACCTAGTCTCCATTGTTGGTTCAGGTACCATCGACACAACTAGTCTACTAGCCAGGTGGAAGATGAATGCCCCAGTCTACATGGTCCCGGACCACATCCTCGTCCTGGAATCTCTTCCGATGATGAACGGCAAGACTGATTTCAAGGCATTGAAAGCTATCATCAAGGAATCCATTGGCTCAACAATAGAGGATCCAATATCTGCTACCTCGACACTGAGTGAAGCTGTTATGACAGCTTTATCTCAAGTAGCGGATATTTTAATTGATCAAATTGACGTCAATCAATCAGCAATCAGCTATGGAATCAACTCCTTGGCTGCTATCAAGGTATCCTCGTTATGTCGCCAGTACGGGTTTACAGTTCCCGTGCGCGACATCCTCTTGGAGCCATCTATCCAAGCGTTGATAGGTCGGTGTGACGGGCAGAGATCTCATGTCTCCACGCAAGAGACCAGTCTACAGTGCCGGAAGAAATCAAAGATCACACCCCTTCAAAAGGCCCTCCTCTTAGCTACCATGGACAATCACCAGATGAACTATGTGCAACAACTTTCTCATTATGCTACAGCTGATATCCACCGGGTCAAAAAGGCATGGGAGGCTGTCGTCTCAGTTGAGCCCATGTTTCGTACGTCTTTCAGCTGGTCAACAGAGGAACCCATGCAGATTGTGCAGCCACAAGCTTCGTTTGCTTGGGAAGAAACAACGGTGAAATCTCAACATGATGTCGACGTGGCGTTCCAGGAATTAATCAGCCGTGCCGACCTGGGCAGTAATTTTGCGGTTTTCCACTGTTTTCCACTACGAAGGTAGTGGGCTCAACAGAGGCCAAAGCACAGTGGTGTGGACCGTACATCATGCCTTAGTCGACGGATTTTCAGCCTCCTTGATTTTCCAGAAAGTGGATGCTGCTCTTGAAGGCAGACCCTTTGAGAGCTCTCTCCCGTTCACTATCGCAGCAAGGGATATGGAGCAGCTACGTCGTGAAACACGTACAGAGATCCAAGAACATTGGAGTGATCGTGAGCCACTCATACCTGATGCGTGCGGCGACATAGCATCTCCAAACGCTAGTTTGCTTAGCCCCCGTCAACCAGGCCACGCTCAGATTTCTGTATATGAGAGTGTAGATCGGGCAAAAGTCGTAGAATACGCCTGCGCTGTGAATGTCACCCCAGCGGCCATATTTAATGCGGCATGGATACTGCTGCTCACAACCTACACCAATTCGGACACAATCGTGTACGGAAGTGTCTTCTCAGGCCGCAATCTTCCTTTCTCATGGGCAGACACCATGATAGGCCCGTTGATTCAAACGTTGCCTGTCCTTGTTCGGGTTGACAGGTCCTCATCTACTGAAAAGTTTTTGCAGCAGATTCATCGTGAAATCCAAGGCCTGGCTAGCATACACGTTTCGGAAGTTCCATCAAACATACCAGCATTCTCCACCACAGTTGCTGTTCAAGATGGTGGGCTGAGGAGAGGAACAACAGCCGTAAAGTGCCTCCAAGATCCGTCATTCCAAAATACTGCAGACATTCCTCTCAACCTAGTGATCGACCCAGATGAGGGTATTCGCCTCTTCTATAGGACCGATATGTTCTCACTAACTCAGGTGCAAGACATGGCAGATATCTATGATAGCATCTTACACTCCCTGATTCGCAGCCGGTTCTCTGTGCAGCAGTGTCTCGGCCTGAAATTCCCCGCGCACATGCGCGAGAAGATATTGACAGCCGGAAACAGTAACTCGACTTCCAGCTTTACATGCAATTCGGGTCAAACTATCAGCAGTCTGTTCCAATATTCAACGTGGCACAATGCTTCAGAAATCTCCATTCAAGCAGGAGAGAAGGCTTTGACATATACTCAATTGGCTGAACGTGTGGACAAAATTACAAGCGTTATCACTTTGCTCGTCCCCGCTGGTGCAGTCATTGCAGTTTTGGCAGACCGATCCAGCAACTGGATTGTCGGAATGCTCGCCGCAATGCAAGCCAACACGGTTTATTGTCCGGTGGACGCATCGTACCCTGAGGAATATCGTGCTCAGCTCCTTGAACGCAGCGGTGCCCAGGTTCTACTGCTTCCCAATACTTCGCAAATGGAAAAGACAGGGCCAAATGGTCCACTCACACTAGCGATAGACCATATTCTGAACAAAAACATCAAGCCAGCGGATTTCCAACCTAGGTTACCACAGCCTAGCTCTACGGCTTATCTTTGTTTCACTTCTGGGTCCACTGGCCAGCCCAAAGGTGCGTCTTCGGGAATATTTAACATAGCGTGGAATTATTGACTTGGCATAGGAGTGCTGTGTAGGCATCGGGGCGTTGTCGCCCTATATTCCTCCGTGTCCGCTCGACCCACAAGCCGTCCCAGCACACGAATTGGTCAGATGCTTTCTCCAGGATTCGATGGCTGTATCCACGAGATTCTCTCGACCGTCTGTTCTGGGGGTACTTTGGTACTACCCCGAGGAAAGGACGATAAATTCTCTCACCTGTCAGATGTGGATGTAGCAACACTCACCCCTTCCCTGGCTGGAGAACTGGACCCACGAGACTATCCTAACTTGAAATCGGTATGGTATCCGTTTGCACATCATAACTTTATAGTATATTTCAATTTTCTGACTATCACAAAGATTCACTTCGGCGGAGAACCTGTGCCAGATGCGTTGGTCGAACGATGGGCTTCGGACAGAGAGCTTTATAATATTTATGGGCCCACAGAGGTATTATGGCCCATTCTATCGATCAATTTGAATAATCAACCTATGCTGACGATCGGTGAAATATATATCGCCGGGGTTCAGATATCCCGCGGGTATCTTGGAATTGAAAAGAAGACGACAGAAGAAATTGTACCTGATCCATTTTGCGAGGGCTTTGACCAAGAAATGATGTATCGCTCCGGGGACATTGGCTTTTTGGATGAGCATGGCAACCTGCATTGCTGTAGTAGAGATGATCGGCAGGTCAAACTTCGAGGATACCGTATTAACTTGGACGACATCCCAGCAGTGGTTTATCGGACGATGTGCTCGGTCTCCAAAGCCGTCGCAGTCACAGAGAACGGCGCTGTTGTGCTCTGGGTTGAGCCAGAAATCGATACAGAGCTACTGAGACGCCAGCTGGCCGTGGCACTGCCACCTCATTCGGCCCCGAAAAGCGTTTACTCCATGACAAAGCTGCCCCTAACCAAAAATGGTAAATTTGATATCAAGGGTCTTGTCTCGAACAATCACGTCAAACTGGTTCCCAAGTCAAGTCAGCCCCTGAATTCTCTAGAAGAGACACTTGCAGGCATCTGGAGACAATTGTTGACGTTGGACTCCAAGAGGCAAATATCAAGCGCAGATGATTTTGCCGTCCTCGGTGGTCATTCTCTCCTCCAACTTGCTCTAGCTGCTCGCATCAAGAGCCTTTTCAACATCCCAATTACCGTCAAAGATATTATCTCCGCATCAACGCTCCGAGATCTAGCCCGTCTTATTCAGACTCAGGGCGAGTCACAGGTACATGGCACACCACTGGCATCACCAGAAGCTCAAGTCCAGCCACTTGGTCTAGAAACTCCTTCATCGACAGAGATCGAGTGGATACATCGTTACCAACATTCAGAGACAACAACGAGCTTCAATGTACCTTACTTTGCGGAGCTCTCGACTGATGTTGACATCCAAAAGCTGGCTTCTGCATTCCAGATAGTGTTTAATCGCCATCGAATTTTGCGTTCCAGGTTTACAAGCCGGGGGGGGGGATAAGACGCTTCGTTCAATCACAGGCGAGTCAATCATCGTGCCTGTCGTACGGAAAGTTGACGTCGGACATTATATCAACACTCCCTTCAATCTTGACAAAGAAAGCCCGATCCGCGCCGTGGTTTCCCAAAATCAGTTCGTCATTTGCGCCTCGCATGTTGTGTGTGACTTGACTTCATTCAATGTGATCTTGCGCAAAACTGCTGCTGTATACTACGGTCGAAAATTGGAGCCCGTCAGGCGCGAGTACTTCGACTGCACAGTCTGGAACCAACCCGTTGGCAGTGATAGATTGTCCTTTTGGAGTACCTATCTGAAGGGCCTTCCTATCACAGACGGTCGGGCTCCAGATTCTCCAACTGAGGATCCATCGTGCAGATCCTACCACGGAGAATCCGTGTTCCAGACGATTCCGCCTCCATTATACAAAAGCCTTCTCGCTACCTCTTCCCTCAAAGGAATCACACTGCATCAATTTGGCTTGGCAGTAGTGGGTATCGTTCTTCAGACTATCTGTGGCCGACATGATGTACTCCTCGGGTCTCCATACATGAACCGATCTAACACAAGGGATATGGAAGTGGTCGGCTTGTTTCTTCAGCCTTTGCCAGTTAGAATACTGCTAGAAAAAGCGGATTCTACAACTGAGAACGCTCTTGAAGAAGTTCGATCGTCATCTCAGTCTGCGCTGGCAAATGCCATTCCCTGGTCTTCGCTGCTGAATCACCTAGGACTACCATTCCCAAGCCATCAAATTCTTAGGCAAAGACAACAACAACCTTTATTCGATTGCGTGGTCACTTTCCACGACCAACGGACACATGGTAACGTCGAAAATCCCTTTCCTGTCAAGGGGGTAAAGCCAGTTCAAATTTCCACAGAAGGCTCGAAGTTCTCATGTCTCTTCGAATGGCAGGCCGATGATTGCGTTAAGAATTCGATATGAGTATGACACCGATGCCTTGCCCACCACAATCATTGATGTGGTCAAAAGCTTAGTGCTTCGCTGTCTGGAGCGGATGTTAGACAACAAGGTCTTGATGCTCGATTTACGGTCTGAGATTGAAGACTTGTTTGGGGCGGAATGTCACCGTCAAGGGTTGTTGAGAGCTGATGTGCAGCGATTGGGAAGAGCCTTCCTCGTGGGAGTGTAGAATGTATCCTGTTCGATTTTAATTTCCCCTCCTCCCCGCCTATCAGGAGGGCCTGCAACGGCGTTCCTTCATGTTCATATATGACAGACAGAGCTAGTAAACCATCTGGAAAAATGATAATTAGGGAATTGTTGCTCGCATTGCGTGAATTTTCAGTACCGCCTTCCCAATTGGGTTGAGCACCTGCCTCACTTGCTTCTGCCTACCGCTCTCCTCACCGCGTCTTAATCTGTACACCCTTTTGTATTTGACGGAAAAACGGTGGTAAGGCGAGTGTATTTGTGGCAGAAAAATCTCAATAAATTCTCTAACTCTCTAAAACTGACAATAGTCCTAAAAACATGACAATCTGATGGACAACTTAGTAATCAAAACAAACAAAACAAAATGAAAGGATATTTTTCGGACGAAAAACCAGCCTGGTCAATCATGTGACCTAACTGTATCAGGGATGAAAAATGACAGTATTTATCCTAGATTCTGACAGTAATAAACTGCATGTGATAGTAGCAAGACAGCAGGTACCTACAGTTTGTGTGTAAACCCCTAACAAAAATAAGTCACTCCTGTCATATCTTGTATCAACTGTTTCACCAACCAAGGGGTTGAATCCTATAGGAATCAGGTAGAATATAGAATTTTTTTAATCAAAATTCATACTATGTAAACCAGAAGTACCCGATCAGGAAGGCGATACTAAAAATCTAGGCATGCAACAAGTCCCTAAATTTATGGCGCCAAAGGCTTCATTTAACCCACCCCAACATGTGGTGAAATATGAATGAGAATGACTAAATTGTAACTAGGTAACTAACTTTAGCTTTAAGAAGGCGGTAATAAGTGGCGATCAGGCGTTATGTACTCCGTACTTGTCATAAGGACGATGGGCTGTTCGTGCAATTGAATGACAATTGTTAGAGAAGAAGAGGCTGTAATGTTACACACGGGATGTTCGGAGTAGCCTGTAGGCGGTGATTACTCCGTGGTTCGGAAGTTACCCGAAACGAAGTATATTCTATTACAAGCATCTTATTAAAATTGCGGGTTTTGTCATTGATGTCACAGGCCAGACTTTACAGAGATGTAAGGTGCATTCAGACGAGATGTTGAGTACAGAGCAGAGAAAGGACAGCCTGTTGTATAGTCTTATGCGGACGTCCCATGCAAATGGACATCTGAATCGCTTACGCTTGCTTCTATTTGGGAAGGAAAGATTCCTTCCATACATAGCAGCTGTGATCAAGTCCTGCTCTTTCCTTTGTTGACCGGATCGTCACAATTGAGTTATATATAAAATTACAATCACCACCCATTGAGGCGGTATATATTTCAATCAGACACCTCTTTCAAATTCGGTGAAAGCCACAAATCCGATAAACGGAAAACTGCAGAGTTCACGATTAAAAAAAAAACACAAAATATAGGACCTAATGTAGGTAGTCTACTAACCTGGCCCTTTTCTCCCATTCAACAAACCTTTTGGGTTGTTGTACCTCATTAGAGCCCGGGCTTACTGACTTGCTTACTTCCTTCTTTAGTAACTCGGCCGAATGTACGGCCCAACTGCCTTTAGATTAACTTCGCGATATTAGTTTACCTTCCTAAAATTGAATGATGTGGTCGAGATATCCTGTATGTATTTCTTGAAGTACCCTTTCTAGACCCGTGGGCGGGACCCAAACCCCGAAATGGGGTTGTCAATCCCGAACAGGGCTGATGTTCAGGTGACCACCATGTCCAACAAATATGAAGGTTGGCATACCAGCTATTAAATTGGATTGAATTTCCGAGGTTTCTGCTGGGCAATATTAAAAGTGGGCCTACGAAGTGGGCCCAAGGCCGAAGTACCCAAGGTCAAATACTCATGGAACACCACTGTACTTGCTTACTCCGTGCTTGCCTGTCAGCTTGTGGTTACATTTAGTTTGAAATTTATAAAGTCGCTAGAAATTGAACTAAATGCGGCTGTAGAAAAGTAAATGATTAGAGAAAATGAAAATTGTTGTATACTCATTAGTTAGTTACGGCCGCGGAACAGCATATGAATTAGTTCCTAATGGTTGACTGACCAATCTTCCCGGCAGAATATTAGGGGCCGGCCCGCGGCCCCATACCGGGCGACATCCAGAACAAAGTGGGACCTGCCCCATGGGGCCGAATCTGATCTAAGTAATAGAGAACGTGATTTGCTCTATCACATCTGCGTTGACGTGGTATGTACGATTATCCCGAGTTATATATAGTGGGTCAGTTGCAGCGGGTTGAATTGTTAAATGATAACGATAGATGACGATCTGGACAGTCTTGGAGGGAACCATTCCTCCCATCCTCCGTACTGGCGCACTCATCTGCATGGCTTGGTAAGAACGCCCACAAAGTTAAAACCCATGCAATCGAGACCATCCGCTAGTTTTTCTTTCTTTTCTTTTCTTTTCTTCTCATTGTACTGATTACTCCGTTCGAATACACCTTCCGCTCTCGTAACGACTGGCAAATAACATAGAGACACGGATAACTAAGAGTTAGACAGGGTCTTATGACTCATTTTGTATGGACTAGTGAATGTAAGTAAGCTCGGTATTGCGGCTAACCCGGTGAAGCGGAGCCATAGGCTATTCCGGCCGCATGAGACTCGTTCTTTTAGTAGACCTCTGCATCCCGCTATAGTCTATTATCTTATTCGCCTATAGGGATCTGTAGCTTATGTCTCAGCTTCATTGAGGGGTAGTTTAAGTGGGGCTGGAGGCACCAGAAATTCATAGTATAATGTGACTGGCTAGCATGTTAAATTTCGCTACGAGTAAGTATGCTAGCGTGGCTCTTTGAGATGCACGGCCTATTTTCTCACGCGCAACTAGACCTGGAAGATAGCTAGTTCATATACTTCTTTTGGCATAGAGTGTTCATGAAGCCCGATCCGATAGGTGACCCTAAATCGCCCTGCTGATAGTGGGCGGCGAACAGTAACCGTGGTAAAGTGGAGTAAAGAGAAAGTTGTAAAAGAGGGAAAAAGTACTGAAGAAAACGAGAAATAAAGATACGTCTAGGGAGACATTTGCTGGCACGCAGAATATCGTTGATAGACTGTCCAGTATGGATAGCACCCGCCACGAATCCCCACAAGTCGAACAGCCTCGTCGATCTGCTTGTGACCGCTGTCGAGGTCAGAAGCTGCGTTGTGAGCGTCTCTCACCCAATTCGAGCATCGAGGACTCTTGCCGTCGGTGCCTCAAGGTCGGCGCCCGCTGTGTGACAACATTTTCCCACCGCATCACCAAAGCGAGACCCTCAATGGCCAACGCCTCGCTACCTTCGAACAGGCCCAACCGCATGAGTTCATCCGTCTTTGGCCCCGACCATCGAATGGCCACAGTATCACCAAGCCCTATCTTAATCCTCGACTCGGACTCCCAGCTACCCCATCTCGGCACAGATACCAGCCCCGAGCGTCCAATCTCCGACCCCGAATACCAGACGTACGGCGATATCTCGATGGATGCCGCCATCTCGGGCTTTCCAGGCTCGGATTTACTAGACTTCACCCAGGCCTTTATCGACGCGGACGCTTCCTGGGCGCAGAACAATGACGAGCAGGAAGAAAGAAACAACCCGACGACGACTCTCGGACTGGACAGCCATGATCCCGCTCCTCTGCCATTGCGCGAGGAGGCAGTCCCCCCAGTAAGCGCCTATCACTCTCTACCCTGTTCGCGCCGGCGTAAATCCAACAACCAGGGCCGGATAAACTGTGCCCCAAAGCCCAACGAGAACTGGAACGAAAGACTGTCGGATATCAGTGCGGGTCTTCTCCAAGACTTGACTCTTCTTGACTCTGGAAAAGTGGCCGGCACACTTCTCTTCGCTACCACTCGCCAGCAGACGACCATGAATACTAGCGAGACCGGATCACACCAGTATCTGATTGAACATATGCTCAACAGCTCCGAAGAGCTGCTCCGCACCCTCCGAGAGTTTAAACTCTCGCGACCCCGCAGCCGAAGTGGGACAGACCAACCTTCACGAGAAACTAACCGAGGCCTCTCGCCGGCCTCCCTGACGGATCGGCATGCGCCGACGCCGAGTTCGCGTAACACGAGTGACGGCTCCCCGGCTCCTGCTCCAACTTCTCCCACCGCGTCTAGTCATCCGTCCAAGCGTTCTTCAGACGAGTCCGAGACCGTGGATCCGATCCTGACCATGCTCATGCTGACCTGTTATATCAGCCTTCTGCGCGTCTACCGGGAAGTCTTCTCGCTGATACGGGACTCTATTGCGGAGACAGCCACCATGGTGGAATCCAACTTCCTTCCCACGCTGCCCAGCATCCACATCGACGGGTTGGATGTTGCGCAACGACGGGATCTTCAGATCCGGATCCTGCTCCAGGCGAGCGCGCATCTTATTAGACAAATTGATGAGTGTATGTGTGCGATCCGGCTCGATATGCACGGCGGCCTTACGCGGAGACTATTTGATATTGTGTTAGATGTGCCCGAGGCGGGCGGTGGTGGTGATGTGGGAAACATGAAAAAGTCCCTCGCTCAAATTGTGAGAGCGATCAACCTCAAGCTGGGGAACACTTGGGAATTTTGATTTTGCGGATTTATAAGCGGAAGCGGGGCATAGAAATTTTCTATAATAATAAGAATATATATTGCGATGATATTCCAACCTAAGTATAAGAATCGTTGATGAGCACGACCAACTTTTCCCCGGATGTCTTTTTGGACCGGAGAATTTCTAGCCCCTCGAGAATACCCGCAAATCGACCTGGCAGAAGCCGGACAGGATGGGGCTTGAAGCGTCCTTGATCCAACAGACGTTGGACGGATTGGAAGAAATGAGCACTTTCGGCTCGGAGGCGAGGATTCGCCGGTCGTTCGTAGCCATCCGCTAGTGCGATTTCTTTGCCACTAGCAGCCAATCCTACAATCATTTCTTTTTTCACCGTCGGCCGCAGATGGAGCTCTTCGGAGGGCTTCTCCAAGCAGGTGTATTTTCCTCCGACGCGGCCAAAGGTCTCGTAGCAGATCAGCTGCGAGGGCACATCCGTGATGATGTCGAGAACATGACGCAGTCGGCCTTTTGTGTAGGCTTTGATATCCACAGCACAGGTCTCGGAATGATAATCAAACGATTCTTCTGCGCCGTACTCCTTGACCAAGGCATAGCTGTGCGGGGAACATGTCGTGATGGGTTTGTATCCGGATCTGGATCGGAAGGTCAGTCCATCGCGTCGAAACCTGTGGCTTCCCCCCATGGAATGGATACATACGCGCGAAGAAGCTGCAAGGCGGCTGTACCGGTGGAGGTGCTACCTCCATACACTAGCAGGGGCGGTACGTCGCCTTCAATCGGCGCGTCCGGAGTGCCCGTGAGCCCCAGGGAGTCATAAAATGCTATCCAGAGCGTCGCAAAGACACTCCCACCGAGTACCGCTCCCTGCGCGAAGGAGATCCGTTCAGGAAGCTTTAAGAGTAGATCGGCATGGGCGACGATGTACTCGGCAAAGGTACCGGATGGCAGATCGATCGGGTTGGAACCATGCACACCTCCACAAACACGATCACCCACCTGAAGATCGGGCCTTAGCTTGGCTGCGTCGGGGCCGATGGATAGCACGACTCCAGAAAAATCACAGCCAATGCGAGCGCCAGGACTGGGAAATCGAGATGACATCTTCCAGTCGCACGGGTTGATGGACACCGCGCCCGTTCTCACCAGCACCATGTGTGCTTCTGGAGTAGGGATTGGGGCATCATCACAGATGACGGGTATCCCTTGATCGCCCTGTGCTATGACCGTCTGATGGGCTGGCAAGGAGACCCATTCTGGCGAGAATCCGGTCGGCAGACGGTGTTGGTGAAGACGAGTCATTGTTGCAGTGTGTCTGGAATAGACCGGAACGTCGAACTCTCACTCTCGGAATCTCTCCATCAGGAGAAATGACAGACATGACAATTACCATAATAATACATGTAGACATTCGTCTTTGTGTTCATCTGCGCAAGGTCGGACTCGGATTGTCGGCCTCGGGAGGGCGTTCGGCGAGGATTCGGCTCAGCGAAAACCACCAATCTAGACCTCACCTGGGCGTCAACAACGATATTATGATTTGTATTGCCTGTTGACCGGCCATTGAGAATCATAGTCATTACCATCAGGATGGCGAGAATCAGGTTGGAATTTCTGTCCATCACGTTGCCCGTTCTTCTTCTTGCCTTTTTACTGGCACGGGAATTCGACCTCAAAAACGTCGGCGATGAGGGGAAATATATCCAAACGATCGAACAACAGCTTGATCTGCCCACTACATGTCAAACCAGCCATCTGACGGCATTCGAGACGGCTAATCCGTCCATCCTCTTATCCACCTCCCCATTGGACCCGTTCGATGCACCAAAATTCTCCGCTCTCAACCGGACCGCCGGTGAGCAATGGGCCTTTGATGGGACGTCGGCATCCGGTCGCAGCGGGCTGCTGCTTGGCATCTACCGTGATGCATCTTATGCATTCCTTGGCCCCGGCAACTTTCGAGTGTCGCTCGACGTGGTCTGGGACAACGGGACCACCTTCTCCACGGTCGATTACCTCGCCCGGTCCGTCGTGCATGTCTGTGAGAACCAGGTGGTCGGGATCTGGGCCAGCGCCATAGACGAGTATTACGTCTTCCAGGCGACGCGGGATTCCAAGCACGCCAGAGTCCACATCCACACTAAGGAAGTAACCGGCTCCTTTGCTATTCACTCCACCACCCCGTCCAGGTATCCGAATGGCGCACTCGTTTCGGACAAGGTCGCATCGACCTGGAATGCGCCAATGCTCCACTGGGGCGAACCCATACCAGCCGGCGGGATCGAAGTTGACCTGACTATTCAGGGAAGTGCGTTCCGATGGACCGGCTTGGGGGGCCATGACCGCTGGTGGTCGGGAAAAGGATGGCTAGAAATCCTGACAAAATGGGAAGCCGTCCGACTCACAGCTGGGCCATACTCTCTGAGCTTTTGGCAGCCAACCTCCCGGTTAAATGGCGTCTCGTATCCGTCGCCCTTTCTGACCAAGCACGGGGTCAATGTATTTTCTGCGCAACGCAATTCGGTCTCCGAGACGGACAACCACATTCTCTACCGGTCTGCTCCAGCCCCGAGGGACGGGGGAAGTATGCATGATCCGGTAGGGTACGAGATCGAGCTGATCTCGCCGTCAGTGGGGAAGAAGTGGTCGTTCACTTTGGAGTATCGTAACCAGGAGTTTGCATTCGACCTTGGTGGCGGGGCGGGAGGCAGTGCGTATGTTGGGCGGGTCAAAGGGGGAGAGGACGGCGAGGAGCCGTACGAGGGCGTTTTTTTCATTGAACATGTGGATGTCGAGTCATTGACGGTGCCGAAACTGTATGTGATCGTCTGCGAGTGGTACTATCAATTCCGAGCAAAAGTTTTGGGGAGATGGGATGTGAGTATGTAGATGAGCAAGGCATATCTATACCTAGTACAAGTTCTATATATGATCTTCAAAACTACTGTCTAGTCGCCATCCTATGCGAAGGTGTATAGCGCTCAGGGGTCAATTTGAATTATTTGGGAGGGTTGATGCCTTAATATGTCTGAGGATGCCTTAGGGTGCCTTAATCTATACCGCTTTCGACACCGCTCTTGTATAAACTAGACGCTTCTCACCTCTCCACTGGGATGAATCGCACCTCGGGTGTGGGCAATTTCCAAAACCCTTCAAATCTCAAGTCTCTCTCCCAATCCAGGCTGGATTGATTCACCAAGTCCATATCAAAATGCCATGCTAGCTTGGCCAGCGTCATTCGGGTTTCCATGTACGCCAAGTTTACGCCGAGACAGCCTCGTGCCCCCAGCGAAAATGGCCGCGACGCCGTCTGGTTATCTTCCTTGAATCGGACATCTGCTAGTGGCTGCGTGGTAGCGAGCCAGCGTTCCGGATGAAAGTCCCGTGCATTGCGGAAGTAGTCCTCGCGGTGGGCGGTGGTCCAGGACGCAGTCGACACCGTTGTCTGGTTGGCGGCTGGTTAGAACAATCCCTCGCATATAAAGATCTGGAATGGAGATGGAACTTACACCGGCGGGTACCATATGCCCGTCTACCAATGCACCGGGGCTAATCCGGGGTAGCCCAAAGGAGGTCGGCGGGCAGATGCGCAGTCCTTCTTCGATGATAGCATTGAGATACGGCAGACCCTGAAGTGAGTCGCTGGTAATGGAGGACGAATCTTCAAAGGTGCGGCGAATCTCCTGCTGGAGATGCCACAGTTTGTCTTGGTTCGCAGCCAGATAGTACGTGATGGTGGCCAGGGCCGTGGCAGTCGTGTCCGAGCCGGCAATGACTAGCACATTGGCCTGTGCCATCAACCACTCTTCAGATTTATTCTCCGATTTGTCCGCCAGCAGCCGAGCAAAGAAATCCTCCCGCGTTACCGTATCTTTGCGGGCGACCCGAGCACGGACCAGATCCCGCGAGTATTCGAGGAACAGGTCGAATTTCTTTTTGATATTGGCCGGCAGAGCGAACAGAAGAACGGGCCATAGAAGCGGAAGGCGACGCCCAATCTCAAACAAACAAACCAGGATGCCTGCATCATGGATGGTATCAATCCAGAAATGCGATTTGGCTAGTGGCGTTAGTTGGCATTGTAGGTAGGCAAAAGAGGAATATATTTCTGCTCCTCACCAGACTTGACAGCTCCAAAAGGTTCCGCGAAGGCAAGTTCGCCAATGATATCAAAACTCAAATAATTGAACCACTATTCATGATTAGACCCTGTCTGAAATGGTAGAGCGCAAGAAATCGGGGGTTGCTCTTACTTCCCGCATGTTCAAAGCATTTTCGGTGCCGTGCTTCTTCAGCTGAGATACAAAGAGGTTTGTATAATCATGGATGATGGACTCCTGTGTCTTAAGAGCCCGTGCACTGAATCCATGTGACAATAGCTTGCGGGTTTCCCGGTGCTTTTCGGGGTCACGCTCCGCCACGATGCCCGGTTCTGGTTGGGGGTGCTCGTAGAAGGTGCCTTTGATGAATGTGTTGTGGTCCTTTGACGTGGCATGACCATATATATCTGATATTCACTCCTGTCAGTAAGTCCATTGCTCGATTATCTATTTCCTTGTTGGTTGATCGGACCTTGGAAACTCTGTGCCGTGCTGAATGACAGCTCATTTGGAGCGATCCGAACAACGTCTCCTAGAATGATCAGTCAGTCAGTCTGCTTCAGCAACCTAGAAGATGGAATCCGAGGAGCCAGACCATATTTCTGGTGAGCCTCTTCAATACTGAACGGATATCTTCCTCCCATCCAATGGTAGGCATACCACAGATGAGTTGCCGCGGCCAACTTGGGCCCTGGATACCGGGACAGAGGATGAAACCAGAGTCGATAGACAGTGCGGACCACGTTGAACGCGAAAATTATCTGCCGCTCTAACTTTCAGCTATCATACCCCCCACTGCTTCTATGGAACCGGATTAAGATACTTACGGATGCCAACAGCAGTCCGAGTGTAGTCCAGGACGTTATCTCCATATATAAACCATCCCTCAAGCCATTAATACGAAATTGGGACAGCATTGTGCCTGTCCACCGTCGTTGCAATGCTTTCCTTTCCTTTGTTCATTGACTGTCTTTCTCGTCCGGTGATATGTACAGACAGCATCGGTGTCGGAGAGGTGTTCGGATATCCCCTCCGAGAGTGAGCAAGTGTGTGTCCGAATCCTGCCCTCTCTTCCGACCCTAAAACAATAATAGCACGATTGGCAGCATATTTTAATCGACGAAAAAAAGAAACCAAAGTTTATACAAATTCATTCACCATGCTCAGCCCTACTGTGCTGGCAGCGGCCGGTGTGGTCGCCCTTCTCATTCTCAGTAAGCTAGCTTTCACGCCAAAGCAACTGCCCAATGAGCCAGAAGTGATACCGCACTGGATGCCATTCTTTGGGCATGCGTTTCGGTTTGCAAAAAGTAAGCGGGAATTCTTCCGCTGGGCCAAGTAAGTCGATTGTCATGACTTCGTTGGAGATACAAATCCGCTGAACACCCACTTACAACATTGCTTTAGTCGCAAGGTCGAAGGCCAAGCTTTTAGTGTACCTATGGGGGGTCGGAGACACTATATATTCAGCGACCCGGTGGACATTGCGGGAATTCATAAGAACGGCAAGACGTTAAGCATCCGCGGCTTTGTTCGGTTTATCTACATCTCCATCTGGGGATTCAAAGCGGCGGATGCCGACCAGATGTGGAATATTAAGCCTGAATGGCATCGCATGGACCTAGAGTGGCTGCTCTCGGACAAGAACGACATTATCGCGATGCAGTATTTGCAGCGGATCGAGGAGCAGCTTCGGAACCTGGACGCCGAAATCGACGCAGCGCCCAAGAAGACCATCACGCGGCCCGGTCTAAAGACCGTGGTCGACGTCCAGGGCAAGGCCACTGTGCAGGTTCTGTACGGTGCAACCACCTTGCAAAAACATCCGGGCCTGCTGGACGACTTGACTACCATGGTGCGCGACGGCTTCTGGGGCTTGCTCTTCCGCGCGCCGCGGTTCCTCTACCGCGACGCCTACGAGGCTCGGGACCGCATCATCAACACCTACGCCGACCTAGTGGAGAATATCGAAACACGCAAGGACGTCTCGCAGTATCTCTACGAGCGGACGGTCTACCTGACCCAGTCCGGGATGAGTCCTCAGTGCCAAGGCGCCGATATGCTGCGGACCATGTTTGCCTCGCTCCTCAACTCTATGCCCACGGGGTATCTCGCCCTCCTCCATATTCTGGCTGAGCCGGGCCTGGCCGACGAGGTCCGCAAGGAACTCGCCGACGCGCAATATTCTTCCGACCGCAGCCCTGCGGAACTGCTGGAGATCCTGCCGACAAAAATGCCGCTGCTGCGCTCCATCTGGCACGAAACCCTCCGCATGCACAACAACTCACTGACGGTGCGTGAGGTCGTCGCCGATACCCAGTTCACCGGCAAGAAGAAATGGTTCGTGCAGAAAGGCGGGGTTATCAACATCCCATGTGGTCTCATGCACTTCAATGAGGCCCTGCACCCGGATGCCGAGTCCTTCCACGCGCGCCGGTTCTTGGAGAAGTCGTTGGGCGGAGAAGGCGAAAGCCATGCCCGGACGACGAAGCCGTTCGGAGGTGGTACAACCTACTGTCCGGGGCGGGTATTTGCCGAGAAGCAGATGATTGGAATGGTGGCCGCAATGGTAATGCGCTACAACTTAGAAATCGCGAATGCGGACTGGAAGATGCCACTGGTATCGGAATTCGACGATATCACCAAACAGCCGAACGTGTGGCTGAAGATTTCTAAGCGAAACATTGTAACTAGCAGAGCCACTGAAGACTTAGTTGAAGTAACCGATCTTTAGCCGTGAATATACATACATTATTCCCCCGTTCTTTTTCCATAATAATTGATAGTGTTACTATATAATATGTTAATAGGATAGTCATAATAGTATACTAATCTATGGTATAGTCATCGGTAGATATTGCAAAATTCGTTCTAACTAATTGTTAGACTGGCTATTCAACTGGGAGGGAGAAAATCAGCCATGATTTCAGATCGGCCATCAACCCCGACTGTCCGACTCCATTCCGACTCCGACGAGTTTAGGAAGTTTGCTGGAAATAGTGCTTGTGGAGTAGCAGTAGCAGAGCCGATCCTGGAAAATATACTCCATATATTTCTCACCAGACACTCCCCGCAGATCTATTCAAGGCTTCCGGTACTGGCAACGATCTTTGGAAAGACGCAACGGTCCGTAGTATGACTACCACTAAGACACCCCCAGTCTCCGCGCAGAATCAAGGTGCTCTACCACCACCCCCTCGAGGAGACATCACCACTCCGCTTTTATTTAGCCGGCAGTTCCCTCCCGATGAAACACCTTATATGTACATCAAGTGTCCCCCTCCAGAGGGAGTCCCTTATACCAACATTCGCGGCGAACCGAGCATGGTGACTGTTCAAGACCTGCGCGGCAAGGAGTCCTCTGTCAATCTCGACCACGATTCCATCCATATTGTTCAGGGCGTCCCCATCTCCAAGACCAATTTCGACAACGAGGAGGACATCCGGAAGAACTACTATCCACTAGTAGAACAGCAGATTCTGGCCAACGTCCCCGGTGCCACCAAGGTGCACATCTTCCGCCATGGGATCCGCCACACGAAGAACTTCCCCGTGCCTTATAATCCGCCCGCATTGATTGCCCATCTGGACCATACGGGGGATGCGGTGGTCGATCGCGTGAGATATCACCTGGACGAGGAAGAGGCCGAAAAGCTGCTGCTGGGCCGCTACCGTGTGATACACTTCTGGCAGCCCCTAAACGGCACCGTCTACACCTGTCCGCTCGCGATTGCATCGAGTGCCACCGTCAAGGACGAAGACATTGTCACCATGGTCTCCCATCTCAAGGATTTCTCGGAAGATTTTGGCGCTCCCATCTATCGAGACCATCAGAAGTGGTACTATCTCTCCGGAGTAGGGGCTGACGAGGCGATCATGTTACAGATCTTCGACTCGTATGGATCGAAACCAGGCAGTGGGGTCAAGGGAGGGCGCGCGGTCCATGTCGCTTTCAAGGATCCTCGGACGCCGCCGAACGCCCCAGATCGCTGGAGTATTGAGACCTCTGCGCTTGTCTTTGGACCATGAGTTTTTTTTCACTGGTTAGGAAAGACAATTTCAATGGAGGAAATAAAGTAAAAACATGTCATATTTGTAACGGTCAGTTTCTTGTTTAAATTAGTTATCGCAGTGGGGAAACCCGGAATCATCAACTATTGGCCTTGCTTTTCAGACAGAGAGAAAATCTTGGAGCTCTCATGTCAGATAAAATCCCAGCGGAGAGAAGATAGATTATGCACCACACACAGAATGAAAAGGGGTTCACAGGATGTAGTTGAATTAGGATAGAAGGATGTCTACTACATACGGTCTGTATGTGCTAGCTGATCTCATTGGATAGTTGGTGTTGTTGTGTCGCTCTCGTCTTGTCTGCTAGGCCAGATTGTCCATCGTGAATATCCCTCTTCAGTATACAGTAAAAGCCTATAACGAATTTCCCTTCTTATTACACAGTTCGTTAATTCACTCTTCTCCTCATACAAATATCGTTATATCGAGATTTGGATGTCAGATTTTAATGGTTTTATAGCTTAATTGGGACTAGCTCACCAATTTTAGACCGCCTTCGATACCGCACAATACCACCCATCCATGAATTTCAAGCTATTCCCACCCCCAAACGGTACTTTTTAGGCCTTGACCATATCCAGCATTGAAGTTATACCGACCGTTCAAATCGCCCGTGTACAAAGGTCGCGGGTAATATTGAAGCTATTCCATTCCATCTACTTTGCCCCTTGAACTAGGTTCCTATGTTGTATACTGCCATCCATTGGGCTTGATTGATATGCGTTCATACACAAAAACTGGGAGTTGCTCGACCCCTTCTTGCTTTGATCGAAATGGCAGCTATAGATTAGTGTTCTCTGGTCTTTGGGACTATATACGGACTGAGAATTCAAGCATACACTACTCCGTACGGAGTACTCCGTATATCGGTTAGCCCCACATCGTCGACCACCTAGCGAATCAACTCCCAGCCTAACGCGACCTCCGACGCCAAATGACCGACTACTCGGGGGCCCACTCCGAATACATCCTCCGAGCACATGCCGGATAGCTCTGGGATAGAGTCAACAAAACCCACCATGAAAGGAGTAATAATGGAAAACCTCTCAAGATCATTGTCGGACGGTTATCATCGCCAGTTCTCAAACATCCCGCATCACTGCACTGCCCTTGCGAGACCATGCCACCACTGTGCAGCCTTCCTGAGCCGATAGCCATCGTTGGCAGTGGCTGCAGATTCCCTGGGCAGAGCAATTCGCCGTCAAAGCTCTGGGAGCTGCTACGGGAGCCAAAAGACCTACAGACCGAAATTCCACCCAACCGTTTCAATCCTGATGGCTTCTACCACCCAGACAATCTTCATCATGGCACCAGCAATGTTCGCCATTCCTACCTACTGGAGGAGGACTACCGTGTTTTTGACGCGCAATTTTTTGGAATCAAGCCTGCCGAAGCCAATTGTATTGACCCTCAGCATCGCCTACTCCTCGAGACAGTCTATGAATCGGTTGACTCCGCTGGTTTGCGGCTGGAGGACCTCCGGGGTTCAGAAACAGCAGTCTATGTCGGGTTGATGTGGGGGGACTATGCCGATATGATCGGCCGGGATCCTGAATCCTTCCCCATGTACACTTCCACCGGAACCGCTCGAAGCATCATCTCGAACCGGATCTCTTATTTCTTTGACTGGCATGGGCCGTCTATGACGATTGACACGGCATGTTCGTCTAGTCTGGTAGCGGTCCATGAAGCTGTGCAAACACTTCGTGCCGGCCGCTCTAGGGTTGCTGTAGCTGCTGGGTCAAACCTCTGTCTAGTGCCAGAGCCGTATATTGCGGAGAGTAAACTTCAAATGCTTTCCCCAACCGGAAGAAGTCGTATGTGGGATGCCAAGGCGGATGGATATGCTCGTGGAGAAGGTGTCGCCGTTGTAGTGCTCAAAACCTTGAGTGCTGCTTTGGAAGATGGCGATCACATTGAGTGTCTTATTAAGGAGACGGGCGTGAACCAAGATGGTCGCACCAATGGCATTACTATGCCCAGCTCTACGGCACAGACAGCATTGATCCGTGCCACTTACGCCAACGTGGGACTAGATCCCCAAAAGAAAGAAGACCGCTGCCAATTCTTTGAAGCGCATGGTAAGTTTTGCTCTTAAGGATACGGATAAGCTGTCGAATCATCCCGGCTAATGAACATTATCAGGAACGGGGACACCGACGGGCGACCCCCTGGAGGCAGCCGCCATTAGCAATGCTTTTTTTCCTGCAAGAGGAGAAGAAAATGATCGACTCTACGTCGGTTCTATCAAGACAGTGGTCGGCCACACAGAAGGAACGGCAGGTCTAGCCGGTGTGTTGAAGGCATCATTAGCTCTTCAAAATCGCACTATTCCCCCGAATCTTCTTTTCAATCAACTCAACCCCAAGATCGAACCCTTTTACACCAACCTGGAGATAACTACAACGGCGAAGCCCTGGCCAGTACTGCCGTCGGGTGTACCGCGCCGGGCGAGTGTAAACAGTTTCGGCTTTGGAGGAACCAATGCGCATGCAATCTTGGAGGCATATGAGCGTCCTGTCGTCCCGCGGGATCGAGATCAGGTCAACTTCACGCCATTCATCCTCTCTGCCACTTCTGAGGCCTCTCTCACCCGAAATTTGACATCGTTCGCGGAATATCTCCAGGAAAACCCCGCGGTGAATATCCGAGATGTTTCCTGGACGCTGTACTCGCGCAGATCTCGTCTCGCTTTCTCCACGATTGTCGCTGGTGCAACGACAGAACGCCTACTGGCCAACATTCAAGCCCGCCTTGAGGAAACAGACGCTAAAGCCCCCCTCGCTGTGAGACACCACCAGTCTCAAACGGAGAACCCTCGAGTACTCGGAGTCTTCACAGGCCAAGGTGCCCAGTGGGCCACGATGGGACGCGAGTTACTGAAGTCGGCCAAGGTCCGAGAGATTGTGCAGGGCTTGGATCTTGCTCTCCAACGTCTTCCAAGCAACGACCGCCCGAGATGGACTTTGTTGAAGGAGTTTATGACCGATGCGTTGGCGTCGCGCATCAAGGAGGCCGAGATCTCCCAGCCAATGTGCACGGCGGTGCAAATTATCCTAGTGCAGCTGCTGCGTGGTGCTGGTGTCACCTTGGATTCGGTAGTTGGCCACTCCTCCGGGGAGATTGCTGCGGCCTATGCAGCCGGGTTTTTCTCCGCAGACGATGCCATCTGTATAGCCTACTATCGTGGGTTGTGCTCTCGGTCGGCTCGAGGCCCCGATGGACAGAAAGGAGCCATGATGGCCGTCGGAACCTCCCTTGAAGATGCTCTTGAGCTCTGCAAGGAGCCTGAGTTCCACGGACGGATTTCGGTGGCCGCAGTCAATTCCTCGGCCAGTGTCACACTGTCCGGTGATGCCGAAGCAATTGAGCAAGCCAAAGCCGTTTTTGATGAAGAGAAAAAGTTCGTTCGCATATTGGCCGTGGACAAGGCCTATCACTCCCACCACATGAGAGCCTGCTCCGATCAATATATTTCCTCCTTGAAAAACTTGAATATCAAAATCGGCCATCCGCCACCCTCAGCCCCCGTCTGGTACTCCAGCGTGCGGGAAGGGAACATAACAGTCGCAGGAGCGCTCGATCTTGCAGACACATACTGGAGCGATAACATGGTCCACCCAGTCCTCTTTGCTCAAGCGGTTGAAAGCGCCACCGCTGGCCATGGCCCGTTTACTTTAGCAATTGAAGTGGGACCTCATCCTGCCCTGCGTGGCCCAACTTTGCAGATAATACAAGACTTGCTTGACGCGTCCTTGGACTACACAGGGACGTTGCAGCGAGGCTCCCATGATCTCGAAGCGATGAGTGGTTGCCTAGGATACCTATGGCAGACGCTGCCGCCGTCCAGTGTGGATCTGTGTAGGTACGATGCGCTACTATCGGATGGGTCTCAACCGCAAATTGTCAAAGACATGCCTTCGTACGCTTGGGACCATGATCGCATATTCTGGTACGAATCGCGGCTATGGAAGGCGACCAGGAGTAGATCGACTCCAGTCCATCCCCTCCTGGGCTCTCGGTGCCCGGATGGAGTGGAGCAAGAATTCCGCTGGCGGAATTTCTTGAGCCCCCGTGAGGTCCCTTGGCTCTCAGGCCATCAGATTCAGGGACAGATGGTTTTCCCTGGGGCTGGCTATGTATCTTCGGCGGTGGAAGCAGCGAAGAATATGGCGCCCAACGAGACTATTCGGCTGGTCGAGTTGGAGGACCTAGTCATCCGCCAGGCGATGATCTTCGACAATGAAAGTTCATCCGTGGAGACGCTTGTTTCTATCACAAATATCATCCACAAACAGAAGGACACGGTGCTGGCCAACTTCGCCTTCTACTCTGCCGTCGGGCAGGAGTCGACCGCCATGACCATGAACGCTTCAGGACGTCTCATAATCACCTACGGCACCCCCACTCCAGATGCGCTACCGGTGCGGCGACCATCCCTTGTCGATATGATTGATGTTCCTAGTGAAAGGTTTTACAACTCGCTGGACCCTATCGGATACAGCTATACGGGCCCATTCCGAGCGCTAACCGACATGAAGAGGAAACTGGGTATCGCGACAGGTTTTGTCAACCGAGAACCTACCCCCGATTCAGCCTCTCTGACCTTGCACCCGGCCATGCTAGATGCGTCCATTCAGGCCGTTTTGCTTGCCAAAAGCTTCCCCGGTGATGGGCAATTGTGGTGTCTTCAAGTTCCCAAGGTGATCCGGCGGGTGGCTGTGAATCCAAGCTTGTGTGTCTCATATGACCCAATTGTGCAGACTGCTTTCCAGCTTGATGCTGTGTTAACTCAAATGGAGGCTTCTGACACCTTGGGTGATGTTGATATCTACTCTCCGGATGGTCAGCACACGCTTGCCCGCATGGAAGGCATACATGCTGTGCCTCTTGAAGCTGCTAGCGCTGCCAGTGATCGGCCATTTTTCAGCTCAATGGTCTGGAGCCCTTCATCGCCAGATACAGAGTCGGTGACCTTTGCTGGGAAAGCCACCAACGAGGACTATGAGCTCGCCTATGTCCTGGAAAGAGTGTCAATATTCTATCTCCGCCAACTCCATCTTAAATTTCCCGCCACTCACCAAGCTCGTCACGAGGGTCCCTACCTCGGCCTGCTTCGATTTGCATCCCATGTTTCTGGCTTGGTTGAGAATGATCGGCACCGTTACGCTCAACGGAGCTGGATCCATGATACTCACGCCGTAATTATGCGTGAAAGCCAAAGGTCGGTCATGTTTCACTAAACGATATTTTTCTTTTGCTAAGGAGTTTTTAGGTTCCCCGACAATGTCGATCTTGCTGTGATGCAGATCATTGGGGAACACATGGCGAAAGTCATCGAGGGTCAATCCACCATCCTGGAGTATCTCACAAAGGACAACCTCCTGAGTAGATACTATGAAGAAGCCATGGGAATTGGCTACTTCAGTGATTACCTTGCTGGTGTAGTAGCTCAGATTGTGCATCGTTATCCCCACATGAGAATCCTTGAAATCGGTACGTACATTCCCGCACGAATCGTCAACGAGAGACTTTACTAAATTAATGGATTACTTGTAGGTGCTGGTACCGGTAGTGCGACGAAGAAAGTCATCAGCACCGTTGGTCGTAGCTTTTCTAGCTATACATTCACTGATATATCCAACGGGTTCTTTGAGAATGCCAGGGAACTGTTCTCTAGCCATTCCGGCCAGATGCTCTTCAAAGTCCTCGACGCAGAGAAGGATATTACTTCTCAAGGGTTCCATGAAGAATCCTACGACGTCATTGTTGCATCCTTTGTCCTGCATGCGACTTCGAGATTGGAACACACCCTGAATAACATCCGACGCCTGCTGAAACCCGGGGGGTATTTGGTCATGCTAGAGGTCACCAACCTGGAGCAGTCACGTCTAGGATATATATTTGGATCGTTTCCCGGCTGGTGGCTCGGTGCTGACGATGGCCGGGTACTCTCCCCTTGCGTGACCACGGACGAATGGGATCGGTTACTGCGCAAGACTGGTTTTTCTGGGATTGATAGTATTACACCAGATGCGGATGCACTTCCATTCCCGGCGTCTGCCATCGTCTCCCAAGCGATCGATCCCACTGTCCAGTTCCTCCGCGATCCCCTGGAATCTAGCGGTGAGTTCCTAGATTCCAAAACGGATATTCTAGTCGTTGGCGGCGCCTCAGATGCAGTGCATAACGTGCGCAAGGAAATTCTTTATCATCTTAAATCCCGTTTCGATCATGTATCGGTTATAGACTGTCTGCAAGATCTCAGCAAAGCACCCACTTCCTCCGGATACTTTACGCTGAATCTTTCGGATCTAGACGAGCCTGTCTTCAAGAACATGACCGCAGAGGCGTTGGCTGGTCTGAAGCTCATCTACGAACGATCAGCTTATCTTCTTTGGGTGACTGAGGATTCTCGCGCTGGGAATATTCACCAAAATCAGAGCCTTGGCTTTGGTCGCTCAATGACCGTTGAAATGCCCCATGTTCAATCCCAATTCCTAGATTTGGACTCGGTGAGTTCGTCTGGAGCTGCCCTAATTATTGCACGAGCTATCCTGCGCTTTATCGGTGTGAACATATCAGACAATCCCGAGCGAGCAAATAGGCTGCTCTGGAGCACCGAGCAAGAATTGGCTGTGATCCGAGATAAGGAGTTCATTCCACGTATCCTACTCAATAATGCCCAAAATCTGCGGTACAATGCATCGAGGCGAGCAATTGCGGAAGAGGTCGACCTCCGCTCCAAGATTGTGACGGTAAAGGGGAATGCGGGGGCTTATGTCGTTGAACATGGCTCTGAGTATGACTCTCCCGCTACTCCCCCAGGCTCGAAAAGAATTAGTGTCGAGGCATCTTCTCTAAAGGCGGTCCGTCTACTTAGCGGTAATGATCTATATTTGGTCGCCGGCACAGTTGTTGCAACGGGTGAGAAAGTCTTTGGTTTTGCTGCAAGGAACTCTTCAGTGGTCGACATTCCCAGCAGCTGGACCATTCCTAGCGACGACTCCCCCACGAAGTTGCTACCGTTCGCGGCCGCCCATGCTGTTGCGCGCTCCATTGTATCGTCTGCCCACAGCCATACAGCACTGATCGTGATTGAGCCTGAGAAGGTCGTTTCATCGGCACTAGCATTCCATGCCTCTCAGAGAGGCTTACGCATTATCTTCTTGACCTCAGATGGGAATCACATGCAGCCATCCTGGATTGTTGTGCATCCGCACACTCACGTACGATCATTGCAACAGTTACTGCCCAACGAGCCGGTGATGGTCCTGGACATGCGACCCGGCGCTGAGGGCAGCAGCCTGACGTTGAAGCTTCGCTCGGCATTGCACTCGTCGTCTACCTTTGAGCGGCTCGCTAATTTCTGCAGCGATACCGTGCGAAGTTCAGAGGAGCACATCCCTACTGAGACTATACAGATGATAGCCACGGAGAGACACCATGATGCCGCTACCATGAGACAAGCAGAGCAGGTCTTCATCCCACTCCAGGATATCAGTAGCCTATCTCTGAACCAATCTGCATTCTCCTTCATCGACTGGACATCCACTTCAACGGTTTCTTCCCTGATTCGCAGGGTTGACCATTATCCCTTTTTGCGCAATGACAGGACATACTGGCTTGTCGGTCTGACGGGATCCCTGGGTTTGTCCCTTTGTCAATGGTTGATTTGGCAAGGCGCCATGAACGTGGTACTGACTAGCCGAAACCCCAACATCGATCCTACAATTCTCCAGGAGCTCAGAACCTCTGGAGCTAGAGTTGAAGTATATGCCGGGTAAGTCTATCTCTATGGAGCAAGAAACGTGGCTTCTCGAAGGAAATTGAAGCTAATAGATCACAGCGACGTGACGGACCGAGAGAGTCTGCGGTCAGTATATGACCGCATCTGTCGGAATCTTCCCCCAATTGCTGGAGTGGCTCAGGGAGCGATGGTGCTGCAAGACACCATGGTTAAGGACATGGACATCGAAGCTATGCAAAAGGTGTTGAAACCGAAGGTGACCGGCAGCATTCATCTGGATGAGTTGTTCTCCCACATCCATCCTCTAGACTTCATGATTTTCTTCTCCTCTGCAACTTGCGTCACAGGTAATATCGGCCAGTCCAACTACGCCGCTGCCAATATGTTCATGACCGCACTAGCAGCGAACCGCAAACAGCGCGGGCTAGCAGGTTCTGTCATAAATATTGGAGCGATCATGGGAGTCGGCTATGTCACTCGTGAAACGAGCGAGGCGCTGCAAAGAAATCTTCTGAAGAGTGGTCATGTGTGGATGTCAGAAGGCGACTTCCATACAATATTCGCAGAGGCTATCCTCGCTGGGTCTCCTAGTTCCAACGCCACGGTGGAGCTCACATGTGGGCTGCGTATTATCAGAGATGTTGATGAGCAGCGTCCGTTATGGTCATACAGCCCGAAATTCCAGCATCTAGTCGTTCTCGACGAGTTGTCCACAGAAACCGATGGCGACTCCAAGAGGCAGATGCCGCTTCGACTACAGCTTCTTGAGGCAAGAACAGCTGATGAGATCTCCAAGATTGTTCAAGGTATGTTCGAATCCACTCTGGGATACCATCGAGATACTGACTTGGTGGCAGAATCTTTCTTTGCTAAGCTCCAGATTATGCTGGGTTTGCATGATGTGGCCAGCAGTTCTATCCTCGATAAAGCTGCAGATGAGCTTGGAATCGATTCATTGAACACTGTCGAAATCAGATCCTGGTTCTTGAAGGAACTGAAAGTTGACATCCCGGTACTACGCATTTTGGGAGGTGCCACCATTGACGACATTCTCCACTTCGCCTTAGATAGGCTTCCTACCGAGATGACCCCAAACATTGGAGCTGCTCCTGTGCCGCGGGTTGGTGAGGCTGTTGTTAGACAGCAATCTGAGATTCAATCCCGGACTTCGGAACGGAAGCTTGGCAGTATTCCCAAGTTGGCTAGTTCTGCGGACCCTGTTGCTCGGCCAAGACCCGGTGGACCTGGACGGACTGTCTCCTCAAAGTCTCTTTCGAATGGCCAAAGTTCATCTACGCGGGCAAGCACCACCTCCAGTCTCGTTGATATATCCCGAGGCGAGGACACTTCATCCGGGTCCTTCAGCATCATCGAAACGCCTTCATTCAGTGAAGATGAGCATAATTTGCCGCTTCCGGATAACCCGAGCCAGGCCAATCTCCTGAAGCAGCCGGGCGACAGTGTCCACTCGGCGTTACGGAAGGAGCCACTCTCCTTTGCACAATCTCGTTTCTGGTTCCTCCGCTTATACCTTGAGGATCAGACTACCTTTAATATCACTTGTTCATTACGAATCCAGGGCGCCTTTTCAGTTGATGCCCTTGAGCGAGCAGTTCAAGGGGTGGGCCAACGACATGAAGCCCTAAGAACATGCTTTTCTGCGGAGGATGGAGAATCACCTACGCAAATCATCCTGCCACACTCAACGTTGTCTCTGGAAAGGAAGACTTATCACACAATGTCTGAAGTTGAGGCTACTATGCGAGAGGTTAAGAATCACATCTACGACCTTGAGCATGGACAGCTAATGAGGGTGCTTCTGTTGTGCCCTGCGGTGTTGGCAACACCCCTGGTGCACTTCCTGATAATTGGATACCACCATATCAACATGGATGGTGTTAGCCTGGAGGTGATTCTCTCTGAACTGCAAAACACCTACGAAGGACGTTCTCTCAGTACGCGAGTACTTCAGTACCCCGATTACGCGGCCAAACAACGTCAGCAGCGAAATAACGGCTCGTGGAATGAAGACTTGGCCTTCTGGAGAGAGAGATTTCCCGAACCCCCAGCGGACTTTCCATTACTGCCTTTCGCGTGTGTATCTGACCGCCAAGCTCTGTTACGATATGGTCATCACCGAGTGCAACAACGCCTGAACCCAAGTCTAGGAAGACAAATCCGCCAGTTTTGCCAATCTGTCAAATGCACGCCTTCGCATTTCTATCTTGCAGCATTCCAGGCACTGCTCTGTCGACTCGCTGAGACCCAGGATATCTGCATCGGCATGGCTGATGCCAACCGTATTCAGGTAGAAGCAGCTGACAGCGTGGGGCCATACTTGAATCTGCTCGCCCTACCTTTGCACTATGATGCCAACACGCCTTTCGTTGAGTTAACTCGATCAGCTCGTAAGAAGGTCTACAGTTCTTTAGCTCACTCACAGGTGCCATTCGATATTCTGCTATCCGAACTCAAGGTTCCGAGATCGCCATCCCATAACCCGTTGTTCCAAGTTTTCATGGATTATCGGCAGGATGTCCGCGAGAAACGGCAGTTCGGAGAATGTCTATTCGAAGGTCTAGATTATGAAATGGGTCGAACATCCTACGATGTTGCTTTGGATATTGTCGACAAAGTGGAAGGCGAGCCATTGGTCATTCTTGGCCTCCAGCAATCCCTATACAGTACCGAAGCAGCTGAGACTCTTCTGAACGCCTTTCTAAACATGGTCGCAGTCTTTGCCAATGATCCATCTACCCCCGTGGGCCAGGCGTCTATATTCGCTGTAAAGGATGTTCAAAGGTCCCTTGCACTCAGCCAAGGTAAGCACGCACCCCCAAGCCTGATCTCACCACTATTAACGATGTCTTTGTATTACACAGGCCCGACAGTGCCCAGCCGATGGCCAGCAACGCTCCCCCATCGTATTGACACGATGGTGCAACGGTTCCCCAAGAAACTTGCTTTGAAAGACGGCCTCAACAACCGATTCACTTTTGAGGAAATGAGTCAACGAATCGACTCAATTGCGTTCGCTCTGTTAGGCGCCAACGTCAGCCGTGGCCAACGTGTGGGTGTGTTTCAGCATCCAACGGCCGACTGGATCTGTTCTATGCTGGCCATTCTGCGAGTGGGAGCTACTTATGTTCCGCTCGATCTTCGGCTCGAAATTCCACGTCTCAAATCGATCTGTGATGACTGTAAGCCTATGGTCCTTCTCGTGGACAATGAGACGAAAGATCAAGTGGACGAATTGGGGTGTTCGAACGCACTGTCAATGAACATCTACGATTTACCAATGTCCTTCCCTATCCCTGTCGTCAATCGTGCCGTCTTGGAAGATCCAGCCGTGATATTTTATACTAGCGGTTCGACTGGTGCTCCCAAAGGCATTGCATTGACCCACGAGAACCTGCGCGTCAACGTCGAAGGAAACCAGGAGGAGTTCCGACTCTGGCCGCACGATCACCTGCTGCAGCAAATTGCTTTCAGCTTTGACTTTTCGGTATGGCAGGTGTTCATGGCGTTGGCAAACGCCGCTTCGCTTTTCATTGCCCCGCTGTCTAAACGTGGTGATCCGGTGGCCTTGGTGGAATCGATTCTTACGGAGGGTATCACCGTCGCAGGGGCCACTCCTTCCGAATATCACAGTTGGTTTATGCACGGTGATTTGTCGGGTCTCAAGAAGTCCAAATGGAGGACTGCGGTCAGTGCAGGGGAGCCGATGACTTCGAGCATGATTCATGATTTCCAAGAGTTGAACAAGCGGGATCTTCGACTTTTCAACGGGTACGGCCCAACCGAAGCCAGCATGTCTTCCAACAAACTGCAAGTGCCGTACCTCCGCAGCAAAACCCAGAGTCCACAGGAGTGGATGCACCGTGGGTCGGTCGTCGCCGGATACACGGCCCCGAATTACTCCATCTACATAGTCGACGAAGCGCTCAACCCCGTTCCCGTTGGTATTCCAGGCCAGATACTTATTGGTGGTCCTGGGATCGCGCATGGGTACTTGAACAACGAGGATCTATCACGCAGTCGCTTCATGGAGGACCGATTCGCCACGGCCGAACAAAAGGCTCAAGGATGGCGACGGGTTCACCTCACCGGCGATCGCGGGCGAATCCGGCCAGACGGACAACTTCAAATCGAGGGTCGGATTAACGGGGACACCCAGGTGAAGTTGCGCGGCTACCGCGTCGACTTGCGCGATATCGAAACGGTGATCCTTCAATCATCGCAAGGGATGCTTAAGGAGGCCGTCGTCACTCTCTATACAGGCTCCAATACCAACACGGAACTGCTGGTCGCTTATGTGATTTTCCTTGCCGGATATCCTGTGGAGCAACGCAAGCAATCCTTGCGGGAACTTAGCAAATCTCTGCCTCTGCCTCGTTACATGTGGCCGTCCATGGTGCTCCCCGTGGATGACATGCCAGTCACAGCCCACGGCAAGCTTGACCGCAAGGCCTTGAGCACTCGAAGCCTTCCGCAGACCGAGGCAGAATCGGTGGGTCTCACCTCGCAGCTCACGGGAACAGAAGCCCGGCTTGTCGAGCTTTGGCGGTCGGTCATCTCGAAGGATGTTATCGCCATCCATGGACTAGAGCCCGAGTCCGACTTTTTCGCGGTTGGAGGCAACTCCATGCTGCTCGTGGAGTTGCAGCGGCAGATCAAAGTGGAGTTCCGCACGGAAATTCCGCTAGTGCAGCTATTCGGAGCGACCACGGTGCAGAAGATGGCTCTCCTCCTCGACCCGTCGACCGATGCGGCGAAAATTGCCGCTGGTCCCGTTGCTACAACGGCAGCAGCGCCCATCATTTGGGAGCAGGAAATTCAGCTTCCCGACCAGCTTCAGCTGTCAACACCGATGGCCCCTACAACTCGATTAGAGAATCTGAAAGGGCTCTGCATTGTGCTCACCGGTGCCACTGGATTTATCGGGCGAGCTCTCCTCCAGCGGCTGGTGGAAGACCCGGCCGTAGCCACCGTTCACTGCATTGCCGTCCGGGTTACGAGCACTCGGCGCCCTCCTCTGGTCACCGCAGGCAAGATTATTGTGCACTACGGGGATCTTACGCTGCCGAGGTTGGGACTTGTAGAAGCCCAAGCCACCGCGATCTTCAATGATGCTGACGCGGTGATCCACAACGGAGCCGATGTCAGCTTCCTCAAGAATTATCCGGCCCTTCGTCGAGCCAACGTGGATTCGACCATCGAGTTGCTCCAGCTGGCGTGGCCGCGCCAGGTGCCAGTCCACTACGTTTCCACCAGCGGCGTCGCCAATTTCACCCAATCCTCGACTTTCGCAGAGGTCTCCGCTGCCAGCGTCCTACCTCCGACCGATGGATCCCAGGGATACTTGAGTTCCAAGTGGGCCAGCGAGCGCGTGCTCGAAGAGGCGAACCGGAAAGCGGACTTCCCCGTCTGGATACATCGCCCTTCCAGCGTCACTGGCGAGGGATCATCCCCCTTGGACTTGATGGACAATCTCCTCGAGTTCTCTAGGAAACTACGTGCGGTTCCTCTCCCCGCGAAGTCCTCGTGGCAGGGCTATCTCGACTTTGTGCCTGTGGAACAGGTGGCTCGGGATATTGTACGCGAGATTCTGGCACCTCGGGATCCCTCTCCCTTGAATCAGGTACGGTACCTTCACCATCTTGGGGAGCAGATCCCACTACATGGAATACAACGATACTTGGAGAAGGGTACGGGTGCATCGTATCGGGCATTACCCATGGGGGAGTGGTTGAAGGAGGCCCAGCAGGCAGGCCTCAGTGCACTGTTGGTCGAGTATCTTGGTCAGATGGATAGACCTGACGTCAAAGTGGTGTTCCCACGGTTGGTGGCACGTCCACGACTTACATCGGGAGGGCTGACGCGGCAAGGTTCTTGGGTGTCTAAGGGGGTAGCTATGTTGCTGACGTGGTAATCGGGGTAGAGAGATTGTTTCTATTGATTTTTGTATGCAGCTATTGATACGGATCTATTCACGAGTTTAAACGCTAGAGCATTCTGACTGATACATCGTATGGCATCTCCAAGAAAGTTCTCAAACGTTGAGCTGGCCGTTAATTTCAGCAGTGAGCTTCACATTCTAGTCAAAAAATTTACCTTATACTAGTCTGGGACCCCCCAGGTACGAAGGGGCATAGCGTAGGGTCGTTTTCAGTAGATTGGGGCCTTGATGCCTGGAATTTGGCAAAATGGCCCGCCGATTCTTTCGCCCAGACTTGGCAAATTAAGTGGAGCTCAGTATAAACTGATCTGGAGTCCAAAGTTGGCTGGAGAGTTTGCCCAAGCATTGCCAAGGCCGGCCTCTCCGGGCCGACGGCCTCGGGCCGACGAAAGTTACTCGGGACGGCAGAAGATCCACCCACTCCTTTCTCCTCTGATTTTTCAACTCTCCTTTTCTCTCTTCGCAATTTTGCGAAGTTTATCATAGAAGTGAAAATCTCTTCCGGTCCCTCCCCCGGATTGAATCAGAAAAAGCACACATCAGACCACCCTCTGGGGCGCACACACACTTAGTCGCCCGTACACATTGGAACCCCTTGGGTTCTACAGACATCCAATCCTATAGGACACATTTTCTAACCCTCGGGTACTAGCTGCTAACCCGCGCCGCGGAGGTTTACGCTTTGTATTCTCGTATCTGTCTTTCTATTTACTTTCGTTTGTCGACAATACTGTGATGTAGATTCGTGTCGTTATTACCGCTGGAACGTGATGTCTTCTTTATCGCTCTTTTTGTTTATTTATGGGGTATGGTTCAGGGCGTCAGAAAGCTTTCGGCGCAAAGCAGGCAACGAGAAGAGTGTGCGTTGCGAGATCAGAAAATACCGGTGCCAGCCTCTCGAAACAGAGAATGGAAGAAACCTTTTAGGATTCGATCAACGAAAGTATTGAAGGGTATGGCTTATGTCGTCTTGAAGCCAATTTATCTGGCGCGGGTAGACAAAATGGCCATTTTTCGGTAGACAATGGACCAATGTTCTAGTTGGGAGCTCTCACTCGAGACGATAGTTCACCCAACCTGTGTGCCATTTTTTGGTCCAACCGGTGACCCGCCGGAATCACATGAGATCTCCACCGGCAGTACCTACAATTTGTATGTAAACCACTAATAAAAATAGGGGATTGTTCACCCTCCTTGGATAATCCGACACCCCCCTCTCTGATTTTTCGGGATTCAATCTTACTAATCAAGCATCGATTTAATTTTGCCGGACTTAATTCTGCACTTTGGAATCTTGATTTACATAGTAAAAAAACATGCATTTTGATGAGAAAAAAAGCTCATTGGTTGGATTATTCTGCTAAAGCTAGCCGACTACTTCACCACATTGATTCTAATGATTTTGGAGCCCATAGGAGAAAAGAACGTTCACGTGACATGCACACGAGGTTATGATTTAATTGCGGAGCGAAGCGAAGCAATTAATGTGTTATTTCTCCCTGATTCGCCTCGGTGGTTGATGAGAGGTATTGACGAGAAATGATTGGTGGAAAGTTGGTATTGGTGAGGTATTGGTGAGGTTTAAAACCAAATTATAAAAGTTGACCCAACCGGTGGAGATAAGATAGGTTACCAGTCACGTGCCTTGGGTGGGCTACAGGTTGGGTGAACTGCCCCCTGCCCGATTTTTCAGGGTTTATACCTGAATTTGCCCGAATTATAGACCGCTTTCGACACCGCTCTATAGTTACCGTGTACTATAAATTGAAACGCCATAAATCTCCGACCGTACAAAACGGGTGTATACGGAAATTTGTATGGTAGGAATAACTTCATTTTTTGAACTAAGTTCCAACTTCCAACATTAGATGCTTTGTTTATCAAGCCCGTTGTCATGGTAACTTCAGGTATTTTGATTTCTGCCTGTCTATATTCAGGCATATTCAGACCACGAACCTGGTCAGGCATTTGACATTTGGCCGTTCTGCCCCTTCGCAGTGTTGTAACACATCGGAACATTACTTCTGACATTGTGTTATCCAGCTATCTTCCGACCCCGATTGTCACCTCCGAGTGGTCATGGTCGCCTTCGGCTTACATTCGGCGTCGGACACCGGGTGCAAGGCGATCTTAGTCGGATAATCGCGCGTGTTGTAGGCGTAGCCTTTACTCCAGTCATAGCCGATCGCATAGGCGAAGATACTGCCGTCGAGGTTAAAGGCGGTAGAGGTGATGCTGTGTCCGACGGCAGGGAACGACTTGAGCCGATGGTGGGCGTCTTTGTCCCAGAAACAGTAGGTGCCATCGGAGCCGGCAGTGCTGAAGGTGTGGTAGCGCGGATGGAAGGATACTGCATTGACCGAATAAACCAGTTGGTTCTTGGGGTCGTTGTCTTTGGGGGTGCGTTGACATCGGAAGGTAAAGTTTGATCTGCGGGTCACATCTCCATCAGGGCAATTCTTTCTCCCTGGAAATTAATCTATCGGGGATACTATATGGGTGCGGGTTAGCTACTCACTGCTTTTTGGCGTCGTCAATATAGTTGACGCCGCATCGGCCTTCAATGCTGCCGACCGCAAAGCCGGACCCGTCGGGGATCCAGCAGATGGTCCTCGTCTGATGCTTCAACGGACTCTGTAGGGTTTTGAAGACGGAAGTGGGCTGGTTGAGATTGACGAGGCTGATCTGGCGATCGGCCAAGGCGACCAGCAATTGGCCCTGGCAGATCTCCATGGCATACACTCGCTCGGAACATTCCAGGACGCCAAGCGGGGTGGACTGGCGTAGGTCCCAGTACTTGACGGTGCGATCCCACGACCCGGTGACGACGATCGGCACCTGACTGTTGGGAATTTGGACCATGCGCACGCTGCGCACGGGGGCATCATGTTGCGCCACCTGCTGGGCCTGAGCTGTAGTGGGGTTGCCGCTTGCTAGATCTACGAGACGCGCCGACCCGTCGGCCCCCGCGCCCACAACCTTGGAGCCGTCGGGCGACCAGGCACAACTCAGGACGGGCCCGCCGAAGGAGAACATCGCCTTGCCTTCGCCCTTAACCGAGCGCGTCACATCGTAAATCCGTACATTATGGTCCCAGGACGATACGGCGAGATGGTTGGCGATAGGCGACCAGGCCAGTTCGGAGATACTGTCCTCGGGGGGGTGGTCGAGGATGGCATCTTGCGAGATATCGCCTTGGTTAGTGGTATTCTGGGCGTTGAAGGCCATCGCGAGGTATTTCGCAAGAGAAGGCCGTCTGGAAGGGAAATATATACTCGGTAGGTATTAGAGCAGGGAAGAATGAGGGAGAGCACAGAATAACGACCCCCAATCTTACTAAATGGATGACAGGCCATTTACCAATTTATTAATCAATTCAAACATTGGGGTAACATCGAACCCATACCCGGATAGGCTAGCCAGTAAGCCTCTCTTCCCCCTAGACCGAACGGAGTCATTCCGACGCCTCTTCTTTGTCGTTTGAGACAACAGTCCCTGCTTAGCGTTAATGGATCCATCCAGACCCTCAACCCTCCAATGTCTGTTTCTTTGTCTTCTCCGACTCCGACCGAACAAGATGACAATGTCCGATCCGAAGATGGAGAGCCACACAGCGTATACTGACAATAAGGAAAGCTCGCCAGCGAGACAACCTATAATAATAACGTTAAAATGAACGGATCTGTGCGCAAAGGTCAGCGATTTAACCAATATCGCCATTTTGACAGCTCATCGATCCAGCGGTTCGCCCAATGATTATCCCAGTGTCTCCAACTCCTAGTCCCAGCGATGGCGATACGGATCACTCCCTCGCACCAGAGCTTGACCTGCCCGTCATGCCCATTGCCGTCATTGGCATGGCCTGCCGCTTTCCTGGGGATGCCACCAGCCCCGAAAAGCTGTGGGAACTTTGTGCCAACGCCCGCAGTGCCTGGTCCCCCATTCCTTCGAATCGCTTCAACCAGGCGGCCTGGTATCATCCAGACAAGGAGCACCTCGGGACGGTATTTCATCTTTCCACCTCCATCTATATCCATTCCGGGTTCAATAAGTGGTCTAACGAGTGTCTGTTTTGGTTTTTCTATAGTCGTACGTGAAAGGAGCACACTTTCTAACCCAAGATGCCTCCCAATTTGATGCGTCGTTTTTCAACCTCTCTTCCGAAACGGCTAGTGTAAGGGCACCATTCCACCCTGACATTTTTCTTGCAAACTGACGAGACCAGGCAATGGACCCGGAGGTCAGAATGCAACTGGAAACGGTATACGAGGCGTTGGAGAATGCCGGCATTCCCCTCGAACAGGTGGCGGGCTCGCGAACGGCCGTGTTTGCAGGGACCTGCTTTCGAGATAATCACGACAGCTTAATGCGAGACCCAGACACCCTTGCGCGCTTCTATTTGACAGGGAATGGGGCGGCCATGATTGCAAACCGGGTATCCCATTTCTATGATCTACGAGGCCCCAGTCTCATGATCGACACCGGCTGCTCCACCACTCTCACCCTACTTCATCTAGCCTGCCAGAGCCTGCGAGCTAACGAGAGCAACATGGCCATCGTAGGGGGATCGAATGTTCTCCTGAACCCGGATATGTTTATTTCCGGAACCAACCTCAGGTACGTTCAGACTTGAACAGGGAAGGAACGTGAGAGAGAAATTTCTGACAAGAATTAGTCTTCTCTCCGCGGAAGGAAAGTGCTTTGCTTTTGACTCCCGGGCATCGGGGTATGGTCGCGGGGACGGCGTGGCCACCATCCTAATTAAGCCCCTGGAGACGGCCCTCCGCGACGGCGATCCCATTCGCGCGGTGATCCGCAATACCGCCGCTAACCAGGATGGGAAAACGGCCACCCTGACGTCACCGAGCCAGGAGGCACAGCAGACGCTCATGCGGGAATGCTATGAAGTGGCGGCTCTAAACCCCGTTGATACGGCCTATGTCGAGGCCCACGGGACCGGGACCCAGGCTGGAGACACCATTGAAGCGCATGCACTGGGCACGGTCTTTGGCAATGGCCGACCCGGGGAACACCCGCTTCTGATCGGATCGGTCAAGACGAACATTGGCCATACGGAAGCGGCAAGTGGTCTTGCAGGTATTATCAAGGCGGTCATGGCATTAGAGAAGGGGAAAATCCCACCGCATTTGAACTATGAGTCCCCCAACGAGAAGATCTCGCTGGAGACTTTGAAACTAAAGGTAGGCCAAAGCAATCCATTTTGACTCGTGGCGCCTATGGATACCAATCACTGATCCCATACCTTGGATAGATCCCGCTCAGCCTGCAGTCATGGCCCTCACACTCGCTACGTCGAGCGTCGATCAATAACTTCGGCTATGGAGGCGCCAATGCACACGCTATCCTCGAACACCCACAATATCTCCTTCCTCTCTTGGCCCCGTCGACAGAGCTATGCTCCCCGAATCCCAAGGCCCGGTCTCGAGTGTTCGTGCTCAGCGCCAAAGACCAACAGACGACCCGGACCATGGTCGACCAACTGCGACAATATGTTTCAGAGGCAGGAGAACGATCCGAGTCGAAAAATGACCATCTCATGGATCAACTGGCACTTACACTAGGGCAACGACGGTCCCGGTTTGCATGGACAGTGGCCTGCCAAGCAGACTCGCTGGCCGCCCTGCAGTCGACGCTTGACTCCACACAGCTGTCTCCCCATCGCAGTTCGCGGGCTCCCCGGCTGGGAATGATTTTCACTGGCCAAGGTGCCCAGTGGCACGCCATGGGACGGGAGCTCTTAAGCGCCTATCCTGTCTTTTGGCAGACTATCGGGGAGGTGGATGAATGCCTCCGCTCTATGGGAGCAAGCTGGTCGGTGGTCGAGGAGTTGCAGCGCGATGCCAACGAGAGCCGCGTCAATCAAGTCTCCCATAGCCTGCCGCTGTCGGTCGCGGTCCAAATCGCCCTAGTCAATCTCCTCCGATCCTGGGGCATTCACCCCACCGGAGTCACCGGCCATTCGAGCGGAGAGGTTGGCGCTGCATATGCCGCCGGGGCTATCAGCCTGTCGGCCGCCATGGCCATCGTCTACAGCCGGGGCGATCTGACCAGTCAGTTTCAAAGGCTGCTCGACCGTGCAGGCGGGATGGTGGCCGTCGGTCTGGGTCGCGAGAATGCCCAAGCCGTGCTCTCCCGGGTTCAATCTGGGAAAGCCGTCATTGCGTGCGTCAACAGCCCATCCAGCGTGACTATCTCGGGCGATATGATCGCTATTGAGGAGATAGAGGCAATTCTAGCGCAAGAGCAGGTGTTTGCTCGCCGCCTAAAGGTCGAAGCGGCTTATCACTCTCACCATATGCTGCCCATTGCCGACGACTATAGGGAAATGTTGTCCCGGTTCTTGCAGCCAGAACCCGGTTATGACGGGGGAATTACCTACTCATCCCCGACGACAGGCGATCGTATGTACTCCGGAGAAGAAATCGCGAGTCCAGAGCACTGGGTACGAAACATGGTACAGCCTGTGGAGTTTCTCGACGCCCTTCGCAACCTCTGTGTTAATCCGGCGGAGACTGATGGCACGCCCGCGGTTGATCTGCTCATCGAAGTCGGGCCGCACGGCGCTCTGGCCGGTCCAGTCCGACAGACCCTTCAGCTCCCAGAGCTACAGCCAGCGGGAATCGCTTACGAGTCGTGCTTGACAAGGGGGGAGAATGCCGTGCAGACCATGCACCGTCTGGTCTCGTCGTTAGTCAAACAAGGCTATCCGGTGGATCTCGGGGCGGTCAATTTCCCTTACAGCCACCAGGGAATACCGATGCTCACCGATCTGCCGACATATCCATGGAATCACGAGACGTCCTACTGGACTGAACCACGCATGAACCGTGACCTGCGGACAAGGACTTTCGCACCCCACGATCTATTGGGCGTTGCCGCCGCCGATTCCACCCCTTCAACACCCAGCTGGCGCTATGTCATTCGTCCTCGGGACGTTCCCTGGGTGCGAGATCACGTCGTCCAGGGGTCCATTATTTATCCCGGAGCGGGCTACATCAGTATGGTCGTGGAGGGTCTGCGTCAACTTGGTGGCGGTGAATTCTCGCTAACTCCATCGGGGTACCAGCTGCAGGATGTTCAGATCCGCAATCCGCTCATCCTCGACGATACATCGGCCGCCGGAGTCGAGGTTCGCACATCCATGCGCCCCACGGCCGACGGAGTCCTTCGGGTCCAGGGCTGGTATGACTTCCAGATCCAGTCGGTTGATACTCAGGGCAAGTGGACTATTCACTGTGAGGGTCAGTGTGCAACTATCGCACCACATAACGGAAGTGGATGGGTTGGCCCGGCTTTCGTCGATTCGGGGATTGATAATCAAGCAGAGCAAGGGAACTGGAGAACAATTGATCCGGCGGATACATACAAGGCATTGCACGCCGTAGGCGTGAATCACGGCCCGATATTTCAGAACTTGATCGCTGCGCAATCGATGCCTGGGCACTCTATCTCAACATTCAAAGTGGCTGATACGGCTGACTCCATGCCGCACCGCCATCAACAACCCCATCTCATACAACCGACCACCCTGGACTCGGTTTTCCAGGGGGTATACCATAACCTACCCTCCGGAGGAACGGACCAACGAACGGCCCTGATTCCGACCGCTATCAAGTCATTGTACATTGCGTCTTCGTTGAGTGCAGAGCCTGGACACATTTTTGAGTCTCATTCGTCCCTCATCCGGTCCGGTCCTCACGGATTTGAGTCCTCTGTCCGGCTCGTCGATGCAACCACCCCCGGTCCCCATCGGGAGCCGGTACTGAGGATCGAGGGATTATTCTTTCGGTCACTGGGCGGGACAGCTACGATTGATGAGCCGCATGACAACCTCTGTTACCAGGCTATCTGGAAACCAGACGTGGACTTTGTCACTGCCGCCGATCTGCGTCCCTCCCAAGCTTCTAATCTCGGTGCCAAACAGCTCAAATTCTCGCGACTCCAGGAGATGGCCGTTGTCTTTCTTTCTGCAGTGCTCCGCGAGATTAAAGAAGAGACTGTCACGGCAGACAATCAAGCTTATTGGACTTGGATGAAGAGCGTCGTCGACGAGGCTCGGCCCACACTAGACCTCGATGGCATGAGCGCGGAATACGTCCTGGCGCTGGCGTCGGACCTGGAAGAGGTCGAGGAAGGAAGGCTTCTCACCCGATTTGCTCGAGCATTACCTGATATCCTTTCTGGACAAACGGACGCTCGAATCGTGGCTGAGCATTGTCACTTCGAACTTCTGGAAAGGTCTTCATCTCAGCCAGCTGACTTTTGCGTCTCTGTTGTCCAGGACCTGCTAGGTCTGTACAGCTACAAGTCACCCCAGTCCAAGATTCTTGAAATCAGCAATGGCAGTTTCCAGACGACCCGTATGATACTAGATGCATTGACAGCAGGCACGGACCGAGGTTTCAGTGACTACGATATGGCGACTCTGGAGCTGCAAGAGGCACGGGCTACAACAGATGAGGATGCATTGAAGGATTATGATGGGCGAGTTCACTTCAAGACCTACACCCCTAGCGAGTTTCCAGAGGATCAAGGCTTTAGTCCTGAGACATACGATTTAATCATTCTATCCTCTGCGCTGTGTATCACTGGGGACGTTGAACAGATTCTCAAGAATGTTCGAACCTTGCTCAAGCCGGGAGGCAAATGTCTGATATTTGGACACAGCATTCAGGATTCTGCAATCCAGGTTATCCTGAGGCTGATGCCGCAATGGAAGGGAGTCGCCTCCCTCGAATCGTGGAAGGGCCCACTCGAGCGAGCTGGATTGGACCCCTGCGCCCTTCAGGTTGTACAGGGCCTCGATGCCGAATCATATCGAGGTGAAGTAATTTTGGCTTCAATTCTTCCACCGGAGGTGGCGAAGGAACTGCCATCATCACGCCAGATCATGTTGGTGTACTCCACAGCTGCACCGCCGGAGAGCTGGGTACAGTCCCTCAGGGCCACCCTTCATCAACACGGTTCCTACAGTTTGTCGGTTCACTCCTTGGAAGAGGCGGTCAACGTTGAGAGTGGTGTTTGTGTCTTCCTCGATGATCTGGTTAGCCCTCTTCTCCATAATCTCACTCAGGATCAGTTCAACGCCCTGCGCCATTTGTTGGGCTTCTCCCAGGGCTCCTTATGGGTATCTCGGGGGGCCCAAGCGATTACGGAGGAGCCGTGGGGTGCTCTCCATCAGGGTTTGTTACGGACCCTCCGATGTGAGAACACTGCCAAGCGCTATGTCTCCTTGGACCTGGCTCCGGAATCTGCGGCATGGAGTGCACACTCGGCCGATGTGGTCGCACGTATCCTACACGTCGGCTTTTATCTTTCGCCCCATAACAAACTGGAAACGGAATATTCTGTTCGATCCAATGTAGTCCACATTTCACGTGTTTGCGAAAACGTGCACGAAACCCAGCTCGTCTCTGGTCTCTCTCTGCGGAGAGAACCGGAGCTCAAGCCCTTCTTTGAGATCGGCCATCCAGTTCGCCTCGGAGTGACCACTCCGGGTCTCCTTAGCAGCCTGGAATTTGGCCATGATCCTTTGGCGAATGAGCCGCTACCTGACGGTTATGTCGAAATCGAGCCACGAGCCTTTGGACTCAATTTCCGCGATGTCATGGTTGCCCTGGGTCAGTTGGATGAAATCCGGATGGGATTTGAATGTAGCGGAGTCATCGCCCATGTCACTCCTCAAGCTCGCGCGGCCGGTTTCAGGGAAGGGGATTATGTATACGCCTTTATCATCGGGTACTTTGCCACCCGTGTGCGCATCCCATACACCAGCGTTGCGCCTATCCCCGTGGGTATGGATTTCCCCACGGCTGCTTCAGTTCCGCTTGTATTTATTACCGCTTACCATGCCCTTTACGATTTGGCTCATCTGAAGCCCGGAGAGACTGTTCTCATCCATTCGGGAACCGGTGGAGTCGGGCAAGCGGCCATCATGCTGGCCCAGGCAGCTGGCGCAGAGATCTTTGTGACCGTTGGGTCGGAGGAGAAGCGAGACTTCATCGCTGAGCACTACGGCATCTCTCCGTCTCGGATATTCAGCAGTCGAAACGATTCCTTCGTGGATCATATCATGCACGCCACGAACGGAAAGGGAGTCGATGTGGTGTTGAACTCCCTCGCCGGCCCTCTTCTCCGCCAGACATGGCGCTGCATTGGCACCTTTGGTCGTTTCATCGAAATTGGAAAGAAGGACATTGAGCAGAACAGTATGGTCGAGATGGGGCCCTTCGTCCGCAGTGTTCTCTTTGCCTCGCTGGACTTGATTACTCTGGGGGAACAGCGTGGACCGGAAGTGGCCCGCATCTTTGGCGAGATCAACACCCTGCTCGAGGCCGGTCAAATCCGTCCGGTGAGCCCTATTACAACGTTCTCCATGGGCGAGGTGGAGAAAGCCTTCCGCACGATGCAAACGGGGAAACATATAGGCAAAATCATTTTACAGCCACGGCCCGGCGATATTGTCAAGGTAGGACAAGTCCTAGGACGAAGTCGCTCTGGAAACTACAGCTAATACATACATCCAGGTCCTGCCGCCCGCTCCCAAACCTATTATTCTCTCCCCTAAGGCGAGCTACTTGGTTGTTGGTGGCCTCGGTGGCATAGGAAAATCGGTGGCCCAAATGCTAGTTGACAGAGGAGCCCGTCATCTCGTCCTGCTCTCCCGCAGTGCCTCGACGCTCGATCATTCTAGGAAAGCGTTTGTCCGCTCTCTTGAAGCCCATGGCACGACCGTTACCCTGCACAGCTGCGACATCGCCGATAAGAGTCAGCTGATGGCTGTTTTTGCAGACTGTGCTCGCCGCATGCTACCGGTGAAGGGGGTCATCCAAGCGGCCATGGTTCTCAAGGTAAGTCAACGGCCAACAACAGACCGACCGATGTTTCCAGTTTTTCACTCCCGCTAACCGCCCTGGATAGGACTGCATCTTTGAACAGATGAAGTGGGCTGATTACATGGCCGCCCTCCGTCCGAAGGTCCAGGGCAGCTGGAATCTTCATGAACTGTTGCTGGATGCGGATTTCTTCGTCCTTCTCTCCTCGATCAGCGGCTTTGGAGGAAATGCGGGACAGGCGAACTACGCTGCCGGGGGGAGCTTTCAAGATGCTCTCGCCCGACATCGCGCGGCACAGGGCCTATCTGCTGTGTCAATCGATCTGGGAATGGTCTCGTCTGTAGGTGTGGTCGCAGGGACGCAGCGAGTTGCAGACCATCTCACCAAACTGGGGCTGCGAGCTGTGTCTGAACAGGAAGTCCTGGGCCTGGTCGAATCCGCGATCCGGGATCCCCGTCGAACATCCACAACATGCCAGGTAGTCACAGGCATCCCATCCACGTTTACCCGGTCTGATTCAGCTGCATTCTGGAATCATGATACCCGTTTTGCTGGGTTAGAACAGCGCGGTGACCTCACCGGTTCCGGGGAAGGCTCCGCCGGTCCTGACGGTAGCGGGCCCAACATCAAGAAGCAGCTTACCGCGTCGACGACGTTGCTTGAGGCCGTCCAGACCATCACACACGCCCTAGTCGGGATTCTCGCAGGCATGTTTAGCAGGCCGGTGTCGGAAATAGACCCCAACATGTCGCTTTCGCAGTTTGGTGTGGATTCATTAGTGGCGGTTGAGCTGCGCAATTGGCTGGTGGCCACATTCGAGGCCGAGTGCTCTCTTTTCGACGTGATGCATAGCTCCTCAGTGACCGCATTGGCGACCCTTGTGGCACACAAAAGTAAACTGGTGTGTGTCGGCTGAGCCATTCGAAACTATATAATTACATGCTCCATTTGTTTGTACTCATCGTTTAACGAAATAACTTGTATAAGCCTATAAGAAAGCAAACGCAGTTTCAAACAAGAGAAAAAGGGGATCGTTACAGGGATCCCCCCACTTGGCTAATGGGACCCCCCTCTGCCTGATTCTGCTTTACACATAAGGCATCAACTCAGTTCTGCCAGACTTAATTCTACACTTTTGAATTCTACTCCACATAGTCAAAAAAAACCCTACATTGTGATCGGAAAAAAACGTGTACATATTTCATCTCCACAAAATAACAAATAGATCTAACTCTCTTCGGCCTAGTGTCTCGGAGAGCTCCCGTGATACCCACTTTACCCCTAAGGGTCCGTGCCACCAGCCCCATACCAGGAGACCTTCCCATCTCACCGGAGAACTTGTTGATATTTCCCAAGGAAGACAGTAAATGTCTCGAGAGATAGGAATAGGTAGAGGAAGTTCATGCACCGATCTCTCAACAACTGTCATTATTATTACTATGGGGATAAATTGATTCGATGAACAAGCTACAAAGAAGCTTACGCGAAATTTGGGGGCAATGTGGAGCAGTGTGGAGGACAGTGACCAATGGCACCCTCTCCGAATCAATGTACTGGAGATGTCCGACTCCGAACCTGCATCAGATTAGAAATCAAGACTCCGTTCCGGAATAGTGAAATCGATCAAACAAAGAATGTGCACGCCTCGCTATGATGGATACCCTGGCCATTCCCCCGAGTGAGGGCTGCTCCAATCTTGTCACTCTTACCTGCCAGTCTCACCATTTCACCACCCACACAGTCACTATCCGCCCCGAGGGACTTAACAGCAAGAAAGATGACACCGGAACAGACAGGTCCAGGCCAAAACCAACATGCTGACGGGGAGCCGGGCAGTGGCCCCACGAACCCACCCAAGTCCGCGGCTGCTGCCGCTACCTTCAAGAAAGGGCCCCGTTTCTATGCCATCCTCGTCGCCATTTGCTTTGTGGGCATGATGACTGCCCTGGAGGGCACCATCACCTCCACCGCACTGCCTTCAATCATCGCAGATTTGGGCGGAGGTGACCGCTATGTCTGGGCCGTGAACGGCTATTTTCTTGCCATGTATGTACCGCGACCAATGCCCACCCCCTGATTCCCCGTCCGAGGCGCGCTGACGAACCAACCCACCATCAGGACCGCCTTGCAACCGCTGCAGGGACAGCTGGCCAATGTATTCGGACGACGCTGGCCCACCATCATTTCCACCGCCACCTTCATCTTGGGCAGCGGAATCGGCGGCGGCGCGAGCAATATGTCAATGCTAATAGCAGGACGCGTGATCCAGGGTGTGGGTGCCGGAGGAATCAACGTCCTCATTGAGATCATTGTCTGTGACTTGATCCCGTTACGTCAACGAGGGCAATACATTGGTATGATCTTCGGCGTCATTGCGCTCGGCACGGCCTTGGGCCCCTTATTCGGCGGCCTCATTGTCCAACACACCACCTGGCGTTGGGTGTTTTATCTGAACCTGCCGATTGGTGGCGTGGCGTTGGTGATCCTGATCCTGTTCCTTCATGTGAAGTACAATCAGGAAAAGACCTTTGCGGATAAGCTAACGCAGATCGATTGGTTGGGCAACGTGCTTTTTGTGGCGACCATAAGCGCTATTGTACGTCTGATTTTGATTTTGTTTCATTCATGATCTTCCCGCTGGGGCCTTGATGGCTAATTGGCATAGCTTATCGCGCTCTCCTGGGCCGGCGCCGTGTATCCGTGGTCGTCCTACCACGTTATTGTGCCTTTGGTCATCGGCATGCTGGGTTTAGTGGGCTTCATGTTGTTTGAAGCGTCGCCGCGACTCGCTCCCCATCCAATGATGCCCCTCCATCTCTTTTCGAACCGGACGTCCGCGATAGCGTTCATTCTGACCTTCCTACACGGGATCATCACAATCTGGGCACTCTTCTTCCTACCCGTTTACTTCCAAGGGGTCCTGGGTTCATCGACCACCCGATCTGGTATTCAGTTGTTGCCGACCATTCTGGCGCTAGTACCGTTTGCTGGCCTAGGGGGAACCCTGATGTCGAAGCTAGGTCAATATCGGTTCATCCATGGTGCTGGTTTTGCTTTGGTGATTATCGGCTTCGGACTGTTGACTCTGCTAGACGAGCGCTCCAACACAGGCAGTTGGGTAGGATTTCAGATCATACAGTCTGCTGGTGCGGGTCTAGGTATGGACCATTCGATTTGCCCCTTTTTGTCTTCTGCTCACCCCTCCATATAGTCATTCCCACGTTACTTCCTGCCGTCCTGGCACCATTGACAGAAGCTGACACCGCGCTGGCCACTGCAACTTGGTCATTCCTGCGAACCTTTGGCATGATGGTACGAGACCTCAGACCCTGCAAACGAGACTCAATACTAATCCAAACATTGTGTGCAGTGGGGAACGGCCATTCCAGCAGCCGTCTTGAACAATCGCTTCGATAGCCTTGCTCCCGGACGCATCGGAGACCAGCGAGTTCGTACCGAGCTTCTCGGCGGACAAGCATACGAGCATGCTACCGCCGCGTTTCGTAACACTTTGCCGTCAGAAACCCTGAAGCAGTTCGTTTCAGTTCTGTCAGATAGCATCAAGAGGACTTGGCAAGTGGCCATTGCCTTTGCAGCTTTGGGGTTACTGGTTGTGCTCTTGGAAAAGGATGTTCCTTTGCGTCAAGAGTTGGACACTGAGTTCGGACTGGACGAGAAGGGCAAGTCTGAGAATGCCAAGGATTCTGAAGCGGGTGTGGATACATCTTTGGTCGTAGAAAAGAAAGAATGATTGTCGTCATATAGCGATCGAGGATTGACTTGAGAGAAGTGATTTATTATGGAATTCGTTTGTCTAATAATGTGAAAGCAGAATGTCATATATATGTTTGTCAATGGAAGTATAATTGTCGGAGAACGCAGGATCGGCATACCAGAGAATACCGGAGGATCTATTAATCCTAACAATGTGTAACGTAATTCACAAGCGAGCGGCCACCACAAGCGAGTGGCCATCTCCAAAACACATAGTAAATGTAATAAATTACAACTTGATATCTCAACAACGGTAGTCTATAGGGACTTGTCTTTGTAGCATAGCGCTTTAGATATGATATCTAGCATATCTAGGCAGCCTTAGGAAAATTAATGGCTTTATAACTGCGATATATATATTTCTAGCTTTTAGGGACGTAATTTTCTGTAATTTTTGAAATGGTAGTAAGATAGTATTCTACTCTCTTCAAAATTGATATATAAGTCTTATCAATAGCTATCGACAAACGGGGAGATAGGATGAACATACGGTTGAGATATAAATGTAGAATATGTTGCATTTAATATGTGTTTTGGAGATGGCCACTCGCTTGTGAATTAGTTACGTTATTGTTTATTTTAGTTTATAACTAATCAGGCTCCATAAATTGCCAGTTGAGCCAGTACAGAAATACAGACTGATTGAACTCCATTGATTGGACCTATATTTTACGGAAACGGTTTATCCGACAATAATTCTTACCCTACAGGCTACTGGCAAACAATGCAAACATGAAAAGCTCTTTGTTACCTAATATGAATATGCCCTTCGCACTGCAACTAATTGCACCTATCCTTCACTGAATTAAACCCCAAAAGAAAAGCATCACTCGTCACTAAAAACAAGACAGGAGACCTCAATGCTCCAACGATCGGGAGCACCCTGTGGTGTCCTGGGGTCACGGAAGGCCGAATGGACTGCCCGACCCCCCTTTACTTCACTTCCTTTCGTCAACGCCTTGGAATCAAAGATCTGGATTAACATAGCCTCGTCCTGTGAGATCCCACTTAAATAGAACCATCGCTGTCCTTCCGCGTACCGCGGAGCCCCAAAATCTTCGCGGTACTGCTCGGCAGGATCCGGCTTTGCCACGGGCCGGCCCAAGGGCATGCCCAGGCCGCCGACCCCACCGAGATGACTAATAAAGATGCGAATATCCTCATCCTTGACAGTGGCCGAACTGGCGATGGCCACGGGGCACGTATAGACGGGGCCGTTGAGGGGCGTCCAGAAATGAACGATCCGGTACCGTCCTTGCAGCAAGCGCGGGCCGTCGACCGGGCCCATGTGCCTTAGCACTCGGTTGACTGCCGCGGGACCGGTTTGGTCTAGATGGGCGATCATGGCCGGTGGATTGTACGGGACAGGCCAGTTCTTCGAGTGCCGGATGCCGTGGCGGAAGATGTGCACGGTGTGTGACCTCGAGATTGCTTTCTTGATGGCCGCCTCGACCGCCGGGTAGAAGGTGGTTTCGATGCTGGTGTCTGAGTCCCAGTCAACCGCTGGGCTGCGTGGCATGTCTGTCAGTCCCTGCAGGATCTGCAGCGAGTCATGGTCGAGGGTGACGCTGTCTTCCTTGCCACGGAGGTCTTCCACCGTCACTATGGAGGGGGCAGGGCGGATGTTGGTGTACGGCACACCGGCTGGCGGTGGGTTCTTGATGAACATGTATCCATTGGTGCCTTGGTCAAATTCATGGGAAAACAGGACCGGCGTGGTGATGTCGCCCCTCGGCGGGGGTGGGAGATCTGCGGTGAGGGACTTGTACTCCTCCTGCACCTGTGTACTGGCCGTGGTGGTCATGGTTGCTTCTGGTATGGATTTATTCGCAGACGGATAGATGGGAAAAGCGAGATACTGAGGGGATAACAACAGGTTGAGAAGATGCTTATAAGTCGCCGTTATGGCGAAGACTGCGAGTTCCCACACCCGATGTGACATTAAGACGAACACATCGAATGAATACAGGTAAATCTATCTTCTATGCGATGAAATAATATCGCGTAGTTAGTTCCCTGCCGGAGGTGGCTCTTGTGCGCTCGGAGGGCCGAATCCGAGTGGTTCGGAGACGGAGATCGAATGGCCAGCGACAGACACACCTTCAAGTAGAAATCTGGAAACTGAGTGTCAAGTAGGGATTCCACTTCTCATCTTCGAGTAAAGGGAAAATAAGAGAAGATGTCGTTTCACTCCACCGTGTTAGGTGTCGATGTCTCGACGAGACATATGGTTGGCGCCATGGAGAGTTTTGTCCTAGGCATCACTACAAACCACATCATCGGGGCACTTGGTATCTTCATACTTACCCTACTCGTGGCCAAATGGGACCAAGGCGTCTTATCCGACTCGCTACCTCAAGTAGGATACGGTAAGGGCTTTCTAGCAACGATACAGAATTTTCTGTTGGCCTACGCTCGACACAAGGTTTGGGTAGAAGAGGGATACGAGAAGGTATGTGGACCAGACTGCATAAAAAGGCTATTACAACTTTCTAAGCTTCTTCCTCCAGTACACAAAAAACAATCGGCCATTCATTGTGCCCTGGGGCTTTGGTCGACGTTCTGCGGTGGTCCTGCCCCAATCCCAGATCCGATGGTTGCTGGAACAATCGGACGAGGTGATCAGCGCAGACGAAGCCAACAATGACTCGCTTTACGCAAGATATAATTTTCTGGGCAATGCGCATCCCCAGGATCCGTTTAACAATCGCGCAATCGGCAGGAACCTGATCCGGGCCCTCGGTGAACTCACTCCTGGCATGCAGGAAGAGGTTCAAGATTCCATTGACCGAGAGTTCGGGCTGGATACGCAAAAATGGAAAAGTCTCAATATCTGGGACATGTGGCTGGGTCTCATTCCGCAGATTACGAACCGGATGGTCCTGGGAAAAGACCTGGGGCGGAACTCGAAGCTGTTGAGCAGCATGGTTGGATTCACCGAAAGCGTCTTGCGGAATGTCTTCCTATTAGACTTTTTACCCCGAAGCCTCCATCCTCTGCTCGGCCCGTTATTGGCGATTCCCAACTGGTTTCACCATCGCCGGGCTATCAGAATGACCCTTCCTGTGATCCAAAAACGGCTCATGGATATGGAGAGAAAAGCCAACGGTGATCCAGCCTACAATAGCTGGACCGAGCCGGAAGATTTCATCACCTGGTGCATTCGACAGGCTCGGCTCGAAGGCGATCTAACCGAGTTGAAAGCGTCTAAAATCGCTCAGCGGACGCTGCTGGTGGAGGTTGCCTCGATTCACACGACAGCTATGACGGCGCAGAATGCCATGATCGATATCCTCGCCGCTGGTCCCTCCGTGCTTGAGGCCCTTCGTGAGGAGGCCGATCGTGTATTCCGAGAGGAGAACTATCAGTGGAGCAAGGCGGGTCTCGCCAAACTATACCGAATTGATAGTGCCATTCGGGAGAGCCAAAGGCGCAGCAATTTCGCCGTCACTCTCTTGGATCATAAGGTCATTGCTCGCGAGGGCATCACCCACAAGGACGAAGGATGGCATATACCCTACGGAAGTACCTTGACGCTGAACTTGAATGGTATTTACCATGACCCCGACTTGTATGAAAACCCAGAGTCTTACGATGCATTCCGATATTCCCGACCTATCGAAGAATACGCGGCCCAGAGCGATGGAAGCAAGGATCCTGCTGAAGGAGAGAAATACCGGAAGATGGGAATGGTCACAACCAGTGAAACCCATCTCATCTTCGGTCATGGCAGACACGCCTGGTAAGTGGTGCACGCATTCTCCAGAATTCAAATCATTTCCTCATTGCTGGCTACTTCAGTCCCGGCCGTTTCTTTGTAGCGCATGAACTAAAGCTGGCGATTGCGTACATGGTCCTGAACTACGATCTCAAGAACATCGCAGAGCGGCCCGCCCCGACAGTTATGGGTAACTTCATCCTTCCTTCGTTCAGGATCCAAATGCAAATTCGCCGGCGGGACAACAATGTCCGGGCGCCGTCGGCCGATAACAAGAAAATACACCTTACCGGCGCGCAAGAAACCATGCTGGGCACGCTCTTAGGCCGATTCAAGGATGCGCAGCATCCACAACCCATTCTCAACGACCTGTGGGCGGGGCGAATCCTGGATCAGATCGACTACGACTTTGCCAAACTCAAGATGGACCGCATGCAGTTCAGCGCGATCTGTATGCGTAGCCGCACGTTCGACCGATGGACTACAGAATTTATCGAACGTCACGAGGACACCGGGGCGACCGTTATCTGTCTAGCATGCGGCCTCGACAGCCGCTCCCTCCGTCTCCAGTGGGGACCCAAGGTGCGGTGGATCGATCTGGATCTTCCCGATGTTGTTGCTCTCCGCCGTAAACTGCTACCGACCCCCGGCGGAGACTATCGATTGGTCGATGCGTCGGTCATGGAGGACGCATGGCTTCAGGACATACCCGCGGATCGCCCAACATTGATCTTGCTAGAGGGGCTGGTGATGTATCTCACCGAGGAGGAAGGCAAAGGCCTATTGCAACGCCTGGTGGAACGGTTTCCCTCGGGACAATTGATATTTGATGCGGTTGGATCGATTATGATTGCGGTGCAGCACCGGAGCCAGATCGCCAAAGCTACGGGGACATCCATGTACTGGGGACTCGATCAGCCACAGGCCCTGGAAGCCTTGGCTCCGCGTCTACGCCTGCGTGATATAGCGAGATTCGGGGATCAGGATGGAGCGAATGAGTTGCCGCTCTTGGTGCGGTGTGTCGCCTGGGCTCTGAGCCATGTGCCATACATCCGAGACGTGGGATACGTTTTGCGATATGAGTTTTGAGTTTTGATCAGGCGTTGAGAACGTAGAGATAATTCCTCTTCAGAATCATTACAATATGGGACTATAGTATGATAGTTCTCTTTCATCATTCTTTCATATTCGCCGGTGTTCCGAGCTAGAATATATTTATTGAAGAGGGGACCCCTGAGGGGCACCGACAGCCCTGCCTGCGAAACAGGTGTGAGAGCAGAGTCGTCACTGGGAGTAGCAGGGTGCTAGAGAGGAGAACACCATGGGGTGACTACTGAGAAGAGAGGTGGAAAGGTGTCTGCGTTGCTATCTAGTTAGGCCTCGGGAGTGCTTCTATGTCACACAGCCGCTTAGTCATCCTGCTCTGGAAACCCCCACTGCATTATCTATCCGCCAGTGAGTCAAGCAAAAAATAACACGAGATATATTTTCGAGCTACAAGTAAACCTCCTGTTTTAACTGCCGACGGTATGATCCACGCAGAGCTCATTTTCTATTTGTTGTAATATGTGGAAGGGGTGTAGGTGTAGTCATGTTCGCCCTCTTCGGATTCGGGAGAAGCATCGGGGTCGGACGTGAGTACGGCTCCGACAGCGATTCCCGTTTTCACCTATGGCTGAATGTGTAAATAGTGTCAGTATCTGTTTGGATGTTTTGTACGTAGTTTTGACCAGCCTAGGAGGAAATGATGACAGTGCTAGACGTTGGTTTACATCTAGGGGATTGTTACAAGGACCTCCCTTCTGCCTGATTCTTCCTTACACAGAAGGCATTAATTCAATTCTGCCAGACTTAATTCTTAAATCTACACTTTTGAATTCTACTTTGTATAGTCAAAAATACATTTTGATTAGAAAAAACGTGTGTTCTATCTCATACCTACATGTTTTGATCCCTTGGTGATGATAGAGCGGTTGTTGAAGTTGTTGAAGCAGTTTTTGGAGCAGTTATTGAAGTAATTGTTGACGATGAAGTACTTGATGTCATAAAAATGACTTGATTTTGTTAGTGGTTTATATACAAATTGTAGGTCTTCGACGTTAAGGGATGTGGAGGGCTGGTAAGTTGAATCCCCAAAGGGGGTCGAATTAGCTAAAGCGGGGGGGGGGGGGGGGGGGGGAAGGGAACAAACCCACTAAAAAATTAATTTTTTTGGGGGCCACTATAGTAGAGCATAGTTGAAGTGGTTGGAGTTGTTGGGACAGT